ATATAGTAATTATATATTATATAGTAATTATATATTATATATATTATATATTATATAGTATATAATTACTATAACTTTTAGCTATTATTATAAAAATAATTATTAAAGTTACTTAAGTTAATAAAATATTTATATATAATTAAAGAGAAAAGAAGAAAGAAAAAAAGAAAAAGAGATAAATAGCTAAGTTAATTAAATATAAGTTTATTTATCTCTCTTAAATATATAAATATATATAAATATATACTTATCTTTATATCTCTCTTTAATAAAGATAATAATAATTATATTAATAACTATTTAAAGAAGTATTTTTATTTAAGAAATAAAGGTATATATATATTAAGAGATTATTATTACTTAGTAATAATCTATATCTTTAAATTATAAGGATTATAATAAAGTCTTAATAATTTATAATTTATTAAAGAGAAAAAGATAGAGTTATATATATAACTAAATATATAATAATAAGATTTATAATATTAAGCTTAAAGAAGAAATATATAGTAATTTATATAATTATCCCCTCTAAAAGCACTAGAGATATATAACTTAGATAAATATAATAATATAATTCTACTTATCTAATATGTGAAATCTAATAATTGTCCCTGGGCATATGTTGTAAATTATATTAGCTGCGTGGATGGGGGTAGAATGAAGAGCGACGAGAGGGCTCGCCGATGCTTGGGGACATGGACTTCTGGGAGACGGGCAAGGGTGACCGAAATTGCATAACATTGTGGGCATTCCAGTCTGTTGCCGCGAACATCACCTAGTAGCAACAAATAACGCACGGTGGGAAAGCAGGGGTGTAGTGCCTGATACCACGTCCTCTATTCGCAGGTCCAGCTGTCTGACCAACGGAGCGTTGTAGAGGCTATGCAAATGTGGATTAATGGCTCGATATCCGTAGTCAACATCCATGTTTGTTGGTAAGGTAGCTAAGTGGAGAGAGCCTCAGCCTGGGGAAGGGACTTATTAAGTTATCATGGGTACATATTATGGGTATATTCGTCACCAAGGTACCTAGGCAGTAACAAACGTCAGGCGGTACATGAGGAAAGTGGGGGCTTAGTGTAGCACTCGTTCCGCATCCTCTATCTGCAGGTCCAGCTGTCTGACCAACAGAGCGTTGCTTGGTTGCATAAGCTATGCAAATGTGTAATAATGGCTCCATATCTGCAGTCAGCATGTTTGTTGGTAGCCAAGTGTAGGGCTCAAGTGGAGAGAGCACAAGGTAACCCTGGCCGACATTTGGTGTTTCCTTGACGAATCAAAAGTTGTGCTGCCGTTGGCTGCTGATGTATCATCACGCCCGCGGCATTTCGCCAGGAGCGACCAAGCGATATCACTATATGGAACATGACACGTTAGCTCCAGGCCCTTAGGCGCCGCTCTCAAGGAGCAGGAATCTCTAGATATTGTGGTAGCAAGACCAATTATAGCATTCCAAACTGCCGTTGGGGGAAACCCTGGTGCCTATTATAGCAATGCTCCGCGGAACAGGTTGGAAAGGAAGTCTTATATTGGCACTGGGGGTAGCTCTAGCCCCTATGAATAACCCCTGGGAGATAATTGTTGGTAGAATCAATTGTTGGTATTGCATGTGTTTGCATGGGAGCGCAGCTTTGCTTAAATTAGCCCCAGTCCCGAACGGTCAAGGATTTCATCGGTAGTACATCGTCTCTTAGCTAAACATAGTAGAAGCTGATCCATGCTGCCTGATCCACTCTCTTCAGACATTACCATGCCACTACAACCTACCGATCTCATATGCCCAAGTATTTAACAAGAGGTTATTCCTACTATCTCGCCATGAAGCCTTTAAATCAACAAACAAAGATATGCCTATTATACTATAACAACTCTTTTGTTCCCCAACCTTATTTATATTTTAAGTACCCCTTAAGCCTTTGATTTTTCACATTCATCACGGCACATTAACTAAAAATGGCATGCCGCTCTCGTTTCGCTTACTTCATTTCATTCCTGGTGCTGCTGCACCTCGCTACAGCTGCTAAACTATATCGCATGGACTTTCGCCCGCCTTCTGAGATCAGATACGATGGAGGCATTCTCAGCCGGAACACTGGTGGGACTGGCTCTGTTATTGAACATGTAGAGGCACGTTTGGGGGAAATGGATCCATGGGTCTCAACTACCAACGATTTAAGTGTGCTTAAAGATGCTGCTAGGTCACCTGGTTACGTCTATATTTACTATATCGACCCAGCAGGCCTCACGATTAGGGATGTGGCGAAAGAGTACAAGAAGGCGAAGTTAGAAAACCCAAAGCCTGCGGAGAAGGAATTCTCAGTTCATAGGTCTATCCCTTGGGCAAATGTCGCCAAATGGGATGTATACCTAAGGGGCAAAAAGGTCGAAACTGTGACTAGGGAACAGTTTGAGCAACGTCTGATGCAAGAAAAAAGTCCTACTCCTCCCCCTTCGCCGCCGCCAGGGAAGACCTTTAATTCACGCCCCTCATCATTAAAGAAGAAACCCCAACCCTCCGCCAAGAAGCCAGAGAAGAAGCCTCAGACCCCCGCCAAGAAGCCAGAAAAGAAGCCTCAGACCCCCGCCAAGAAGCTAGAGAAGAAGCCTCAGCCCCCCGCTAAGAAGCCAGAGAAGAAGCCTCAGCCCTCCGCCAAGAAGCCAGGGAAGAAACCTCAGCCTTCCCTTAAAAGGTTAAAGATGCGCAATACCTTATCAACAAGGCAAAAGAAGCGTTCCCTAGAACGTATGAACCGACCATTAGCCGCTCGATATCTGTTAGGGAATTAACTGACTGTTATCCTACTGGATGGCAACTATTGTTGCGGTGTTTTAAGCCTATCTTCATAGGCTTAACGCTAATTTACACCAATGGTCTTGGGAGACGGTGAGATGTGTGATTGTTCGCGGTGGCTTTCTGATGGGTTGGGCTAAGCGAGACTCTCTAAGGACTGGCATAATGTGAGAAGGATTGCCCTTGCGATACGCATGCAGCGATTATATTAGGTTTATTTAGCCCTTAGATGAGTCTCAGCCAGTTTGTTGGGAAATATGAGCCGGGCCCTAGTCCAAATATATAGCATTCCGCGGCTTAGTTTTAGATTGGTAGGCGAGCAATGTTAATGTTTGTCTGGTTTATTCAAGTGGATGTCAATAACGACAGAGAAAGTGAACGGATATAATACACAGTCAATAAGTGAATGGGGATAATACTGTAGCTAGTATGTAAGAGTCATGTGCCTATTGCCTATGCTTCCATTCAGCAACTACCATAGCGTCGCTATACCTCGTCGTGTCAATCTCTGTAAAGCGCTAGGTGTGCTATAGGTGTAGTTAGAGCAATAATTCATTGGTATAGCAGCGGCTGGGTTTATCCGATGACTTAAGGCGGCAACTTCTCTAACGCACCTGCGGAAACGAGAGCATCCGGCTCTAGAGGAGAATATGATAATAGGAAGGTGATGCCTATTACATAGGAAGTATATGACTTTAGACCTGAGATTGACCCTAGGTCAGTCACTTCTCACTTTGAAGTTCGATTATTAATTCGAAAACTATATTCTGCTAATTAATAACTGCGTATACTCTCCTATTTAAGTACTAGGGCTCAAGTGCTTCCCGCTATAACTGGAGTTTCTATCACCATTGCTTAATCATCGGTATCTCTTTGCGGGTCGTAGTCACTAGGCGCTTGTAGATTGCCGGCGGCTTCTTTTAGTTCTAGACACCTACGATTACTTCTACGAGCCTGTCAGGGAACGTAAGGCCAGTCCGGAGCTAGGGACGTTTGCAGTGATGCCGTAGCAGTCGATCGAGGATTACATTCGCAACAAATAATAGCTAGTCTTCATCCAGGGATCACAAGGATGCTAGTGCCTAGTTAGCCGAGATCCTAGGTAGAATCCGACATCCGCAAGCGTACTACAGCTAGAGATAATGCGCACATCGTCCGGAGAGCTTTATCTGAAGGCTGAGGGCAGCAGTGGATTGATTCTTCGGAGCAAATAGCTGAGATGGAGGAGCTAGTAAGATGGAGAGGTTGAAGTATGAGAAAGAAGGGCAGTGATGATATAAGTGCTAAAGCTATTAAAGTGTAGATCTTATATTCTTGCACTTGTTTGATTGCACCATCAGAATATTTCACTCCATTGATCAACTAGAAAAAGCATAGGGAAGTAGGAGATAGCGTTCCAGCAGTGTTCCATCCCCTTCGACAAACAGAGGACAAGACTGCTATTTTTATGTCAGTTACTAATCGGTCTATTTACAAGAACAAGGTCGTTGGACGAAGGGTTCCAATAATACCTTACCTTATTATCATAGATACCATAGCGCGCAGGCGGGGTTTGTGGACAGTGCCGGGGACAGTGTTTAGATCAAATAAACATTATTACAGTAATTCAACAGCCTGTTACGTGGCTCAACAGCCAGTTATCTAGTCAAACAGGCTATCAGGAATCCAACAGTTATTCGAACGTGAACATACTATTAACCGCAAAGCCCTGTTGGCTTTTATCGCCGTCTACAGTACTATCAGGACTCTAGCAGGCTAACACCATGTCACGACCAACAGCCTATTAGCTGCAGCTATTACAGCTATCGTAACTGCCCTCGTCTTTCGTGCCTTCCTTTCCAGTTAGAAAGGCAGCTGCCTTCCATTCAATTCCATAGATTACTATAGCCCACCCAGCTAGCTGACTCTTCTGTCTTTCTTCATAGCAAGCAACAGCTGCGAAGCCGACCGGCGTGTCTCTCATGACGACGAGGGATCGCTGCGAAGCTGGCCTGGCTGTCTACCATCAAGACCAGCGATTGCTACGGGCGTGACCTAGCTGTCTCTCGTCAAGACGAGCGATCGCTACGGGCATGACCTAGCTGTCTGCTGTCGTGACGAGCGATCGCTGTGTAGCTGACCTGGCTGTCTCTCGTCAAGACAGATGATCACTGTGTTGCCGACCTAGCTGTCTGCTACGACGACGAGCAACAGCTGTAGACCTGACCTAGCTGTCTGCCACTATTACAATTGATTTTATATTCATCTAGCCGTAGTCGTAGTCGTAGCCGTAGCCCTAATCTAGAGCTGTAGCCACAACAGCAGCCCTAACAGCCTGTGGGATTTCTGACAGCCTGTTGGATTCCTGACAGCTTATTAGACTTCCAACAGCATACGACCCTGACAGCCAAACCATCTGGACAGCTGTTAGCCCTCTGACAGCCTTACCAAGTCATCCACAATGTCTAAAACATTTGCTGTCAACAGTAAAAGTTTTAGTCATGTGTTAGCGCTTAACATCCTGTCCCCAGTACTGTCCACAACCCCTAACTGCGCGCTATGGTATGTTTGGGCATGTAGCCGTATAGCTGCAAAGATAACATCTTGCCCCATGTAGAAACAACAACAAAATTACGGCAATGAAAAGGATTATTCAGTCAAACGGGCCTGGTGCTTCAACAAACGTCTGCATGAAAACGCCCCATCAACGGATTCCGCATGTTGGTGGATGAAGGGACTTCGGAGGTAAATGATACCTATTATTAAGGTAGGTGGAGGGTATACGTATACTCGGGTACCTATGTGGTCTGAGATACCTGTAGGTACCTTACTACAGGTACCTAGCCAAGTAACTTGGTAAGGCAGTGTTTAGATCCACGCTGACGCAACGTGTCACAAACAGGCTTAGCGCCCCTGTGTGAGCTCGAACGAAGGAATGATTAATGAGATAGGCACATGAGAGGTCTGCCCGAAGAGGGACCCGTTAGACAAGCCCCTCCTTGACATACCGAAGAACACAATTGAGGGATTAAATTGAATTGACTCAAATAAGTGACTGTTTTCCGTATCCGGTTGGATGCAACGCGTATGTAGTAGTCATCAATTAGCGCCAACGGGTCTCCTTCCTGCCCCGTATTTATTTATAAATAATCGACGCAATCCCCGAGTGGGATCAGTTCTCTATCAAGGTCAAATCACGCATTCACCACCAATAAGTATGTGTATCTGAATTTGCAGTAACCTTCACTGTAACTGATAAATATTCTAGATTACGCTATGGCATCACGCGAAAATTCAGAACTAGTGGGGAATATAAATCCAGAAGATATTCCAGACCTTGGCTCTGATGATGAACCATGTGTTGATGATGTTGAGCCACCGACTGAGGAAGAGATGCAATTATGGTGGTCAGCAAGGTACGACAGCAGCCTTGTTAAGCCTATTAAAGAGCCTCTCACTGCACCTTGGGGTCTATCAGTCAGCAGCAAAGATTTAGAGAAGCTTAAGGCTGGGTTTCGAACACGTTCTATGGATGATAAGTGGGATCTACTGGTTGAGGACCCTAATGAACAAGGCAATATTTCTCTACATATTCTTCGAAACTGGGCATACGCTGAATACTTTATACTTTATATTGTGAGTAATGAAGACAGCGGGGGTGCAGTGATTCAAGATATTACCTGGGAAGGGAATAATGATGGGTTTCGATGTGAGGTAGAGCAAGCTCAGAAGGAAGCTGTGGTATTGTGCAGACTCTTCCTCAAATGCGAGTTTGAGACGGTCCCTCAATACCCTTCCTCGGTTATATGGAGCCCTGAAGGTTACAAGAAACTGGAGGCGCAACAGGACCACTCTGCCTAGGGCGTGTACATTAAGTCGAACCCTAAAGCGCAGTACTGAGCTTGGGGTAGACGAGTGAAAGGGTTAGAATATCTGCACGGATTATTTCGATTGCTTCATTATCCTCTGGCCTAATTGCATTTTGAGCATTTGGGTAAATCGCACGTTTTTTGTCTATCGAGCCCAACCTCCCGGCTAAATCTGGTCCAAATATTTGCCACCACAGCATCCAGGAATGTGGCTCTTGTCCTTGGCGTAGGCGTGTCTTAGGTTATGCCGTATTTAAGAACAGCTAGATCATGCCTACAGCAATCACTCGTCTTAATAGCAGAGCTATGTCAGGTCCGTATTAGTCGCTCGTCTTACTTGATCAGTATTACAGTAATCGGTAATTATTTATCTCAATAGCTAGGTCAGGTATTTACTACTCTCAATAGGTTGTCTTGAAACTAGAAGTGTGGTATCGGCTCCTAAGCTCCACAAAGCCACAATTTGGTGGTTGGTTAGTGAGAGGTGGTGGTTCGATAGCAAAATCTTAATGAAGGTTTATAGCGATACAGCGGAAGAAATCATGAAGGTTATCTCCAGAATCATGACTCCTTGGCCGGCATGACTTTTTTGCCGAAGTCTAATGCCTCTGCTTCTTTCTTTCTATTGTTGTTGGTAAAAATAAAAGGTTTCAATCCAACACAATATTATAAACATTTAAATGCTATACACAGCATTCAACCACAGTTTGTAGAAGGGTAGAAGCCTTCCGCAGCCACAAATTCAAGGTTAATACCTACTGCCCAGTAATAGAGCCAGTAATGAAGCCAGCCATAATGAAGGTTTATAGCGAAAAATCTAAAGCAACTATTAAGGTTCCTTCGCCGGCATGACCCCTTTGCTGAACTCTAATGCCTCTTCTTCCTTTTCATTTAAAGGCTCCCTTTCCCCAGTCGGGAGCTTTGGACATACCTGGCTGGCCGAACCACGGACAACAAAATAATATCTACAACAACAAAAATATCAGTATCTTCGGCTGGCTGGCCTGCGCTAACTTGATCAACATCACTTGTCGCTATGGCTTCAAAGCGCAAGAAGTCACAACCGGGAAACCCTTCCAAGAGGATCAAGCATGGGCGCTCGCGGAAACTGACCTTTGCTCATCTACCAAAAGAAATCCGCGACTATATTTGGGAGCTGGCCATTGAAAACCGGGAAGCTCTACCTGAAGAACACTTCTTCTCAGCTGCTACTGAAACTGTCTCAAGCTATCAATCAAGAAAGATACGACCAGCTCGTAATGCTTGGACTCATGTCCACACTCAGCTTATTCCTATTGGTTTCAACAACTATACAAAGGCCCCGTGCTGGTGGGAACCCTCTGAATTCAAGTGGGCAGATTGGATGACACCGGAAAATGATTCAGCATACCTGCTTACCGGCCACCTATGGAATATCTGTATTGAATCACGCAAGGCTGTGATCCGTCACTGGAGAATAATACATGGTCCTAATTTCAAATACAAGAGTATAAACAATTGGGTCTATATTCGAGATAAATGCGCATTTTATCTGACAATACGCCCTGAAGAAGATCTTCTTTTCTTAGATATTGAGAATATTTCATTATTTCAACGGAATATCAGAGCACGCCATCCTAGGAACTTGGGCATTATTGCAGACCCTGACTGGTGGGAAAGAACCTTGCCATATCCTACGATATTTGGGTGTCTTAAACTTTGTCGGTTCAAGAGGTGGTGTTCACATGGGGTAAACAGAAACATCATTTGGTTGGTTGACCCCCGGCTTGAACCAACAGCATGGTGTCATCTGGCGACGATGGTTGCAACTCGAAAGGTGTTTAGAAGCCGACATCATCTGTATATTGAAGTTGTGTATGATGATACTAAGAAGGGCTTTTGGAGAATGGAAGGGGCATGGGGTAATGGAACTCGGATACTTAAATTTTGCAGCGACCTGTTGTGGTATGTGTGGCGGCGGTCCAAGAAACTCACGCGCGACTGCCCAACATTTAGGGCCCTGGCTCGCGTCCCATATGAGAAATATCGGCTGAAAAACTTCTGATGGGGCTATTAGGGTTGCAGGCAGTAGGTATTAATCAGAAGGTTATTTAGGGAACAATTATAGGTAGCTATTAGCTAGACCTGTCAGCTATCTCTTCCTTCGTCGGACAGCTAAATCGCGCTCTCACCATGAGCCTGTCGGACATTCTCTTCTACAATAGACTATTTTGAGAGGCACGAGCAGCAGCGGATAGAAGCTGCCTACCAACGTGACCGTACGGATCCGTCACATCGTCTTAGTCTAGGCCAAATTCTCAACTCGGTGCCATTGTACCACTTTACGCAAACCATCTCACGGAGCTTCTACTCGTACCGCAAACATCATATTCGACCGCACTAACTATAATTCCTCCGCCGTATATACACAAGCAGGTGGGATACAGTAAATTTCCGTATGACAATTCTGGGGTGCCGGAATATTGGGCTAGAGAGCCGATGAGGTCGCTGAGCCTGGCCCAAATTACCAAGCAGCCTATTCCACCAAGGGAAAAGTGAGACGAGACTTCCAAGATGGCATAGTGGGCACAGGTACCAGTCAGTATAAGTCAGTAGATATGCCGTGATGATCCAGCTACTATGAGTGTAACCTTGTCAGTCATCTGTGATCGACTCTAAAGCTTTGCTGACAATACGTAAGAGAAAGAGAATAAAGTTCAACAGCAATGGAAGCCGCCAGAGCCCGACAAATTAACACAATGGATACGAAAACCCCAAAAAGGGCCTTTGCTAGCCTAAGGCTGTGGTCATATGGAAAGAAAAGTCTGCAAACCTTCATGCCGATGACTCACTTGCCGACAGGACGAGCGGCGCTTTACTGGCAATAGTCACCTCAAAGTTGACAAGAAAAAGACCCAGACAGAGGCTGGAATTTCCAGCTGCATATTTCACAAAATGCTTGGAATACATCTTTCGTACCCTGCCGTTATCAGGTGAAGTCACCAGCCGGTGATATGCGTTAGGCCACCAGCATTAGGCTCAGTAGCCACAGCGGTGACCTGCTGTTAATATTGAGGAAGAGGGCTAACGGGCTCATTGCTGGCTGAGTTGGAGCCCTGTTCGTCATTCGATGGCCTTGGAGACCTGATATAAATGAGAAAACCGCAGAGGGCTTGTCGGGTTCCGAGTACCGAATGTGTTACAGCATAGTCCGTTCATTCAAGCCAAGAACCAGCATCTCCCAGCCTTCTTATCCCGGGCAGGAAACATCCATTGTTGCAACGGAAGCCTCTCAAACATTCAAGCTCCATCCGTGGACCCTCCACCAATAGGACCCCAAATAGACCGTTTAATCAGCCACTCCATTTCCTTGCTAGCCTTGTCCACCTTGCCGAACACGAAGCTTTCAAAATCAGTGTCCACGCCGTCAAGCTTAATTGTGCCCGTCATACGAGCCGCAAGCTGTTCGCCGTCGCGGAGAAACTCATGGCTGGTCTGTTGTGAGTCTGATGATGTGTGGAAACGCGCAGAGAGAGGGGAGGATGGGGGACTTACACGACTGGCTTATATTTAGAGATCTTGCCGCGCCACTCAGTGATTCCCGCGGTATAGATGTTATAGGACAGGCGCTGATTGTTTATTAATTGGTAGAAATCGGGCGTTACAGTGGCCTCGATATACCTGATGGCCTCTTCTGGAGGGCCAGGGGCTTCATCCAACTGCATTGTTTGCCTTATTATTGCTACCCTCTTGGATGGCATGGATCTTGCGACCTTTTTCGCCTTGGCATTAGGCAAATTTCTATTGGATACCTTCGCAAGCAATGAGAGATTATCCGTCGCAGTCGCGGTTGGCTTCGGCTGTGCAATGTCACTCCATCGATACAAATGCTGGCAGTCTGACTATGATCTGCAACCCTGACATGTAATGAGATATGCAATTTCCGGGGTATTTTACAGCATCTGATACTACATTGGCGCTGAAAATGCACGTGTAGGGTAGGCATGAAGTGTAGGGGGAAGACCATTTCACTGACCCGTCTCGGCGTGTTGATGGGCACCTTGTTGGCTATGGAAGACTGAGCTGCCTTTAAAAGACAAAGGCCGCACTGATGATCTTCAATGATGTGCATGTGCAAAGCCGCGCGGCTGGAATGAGCGGTGTTGATATTACCCGAGTGGAAGAATTGACCCCAGCTTGCCCCAGATGACTCGGTGATCCTCCCAACCACCGACCAACAGTTTGAAGGAGAGAGGGCAGTTTTGTTATGAGGGGAAATTGTGGGCCAGATTTCTTTCCCTCGACGAGGGTTTTTGATCCATCGTGCCTTTCAAGGTCGGCCCGATAGTAGGATTCGTGCGCATATTGGAAAAGAGGAGAAGATGAGGGGAGGGAGAATAACGGCCAGACTCACGATGGCTAGCCATCTATATGCGGTATGTACATAAGAGGAGGGAGGCAGGCGGTTCATCGGGTCTGTAGTCAGCTGTGACCCTACCGCGGCTCTCCAAGTCTACAATGAGGCTGCTCTCCTCCCTCCCGGGCGCACTGCTGCTCTCATCAATGACACCACACCTCTGCGCCTCCATGGCCACCACAGACGCAAATCCAGGCCAAGGGAGTGTGTCTCCCAGGGGCCAAGACACTCCCCAATTCTACAATGCCGCCAATCACCCCGGGGCAGATCCTTTTGTTCTCTACGACTCCAGCAGCGGCCGGTACTACGCTTATTCCACCGAGGGCGCAGACCAAGGCTACCGGTTCGCCATCTACAGCAGCCCAGATCTCTCCACCTGGCACAAACACCCTGGAGGCGCGTTGAAGAGCTGCGGGAGCGGCCAGGTCGAGGACGGCCAGGGCTGCTGGGCGCGGGACTGGTTTTGGGCGCCCGAGACGTACCACAACGAGAAGACGGGATGGTACTTCTTCTTCTTCGCTGCGCGTCTGCGCACCAACATGACCAAGGACCACTTCCGCTACTCGGCGTTCGAGGAGCCTTCCAAGCTGGGGGTCGCCGTCTCTCGCTCTCCCACGGGACCGTTCAAAGAGATCAAGCCAGAGCCGATCGATTACTACCCTTATGACCCGGATTACTACGACGTCAACCTCATCATGGATGAGAAGCAGATGCTGCCGCCCAGGACTCTCGAGGAGGGCCAGACGGCGCCCAAGGGCACGTACATTCCGACCATCGATCCCAATATCTTTTTCGACAACGACGGGCGCATTTATCTCTACACATCACGCAACGCATACAGAAACTGGAATTGGGACAAGGACCTGGGCAAGTACATCGAGGAATCCAACATCATCGCAGTAGAGCTGGAGCGCGACTGGTGGGATGACCCGACGGCAACGACGATGCCCAACATCGTGGCCTCGCAGATTGATCTCCACGGCAGCGCGCCCGGCCTCCCAGACGACATCGCGTCCTACAACGGCACCGGCGAGATTGGCCAGCCGCCTCGGAAGGACGGCTGGACGACAGTCCTCTCCTACGGGGCCGATCCTCAAGAGTGGGAGAACTACCACGTGGATGACTACAGCCAGACCAAGGGCACCAAGAAGGATCGTCGCTGGTCCGAGGGCAGCACCCTGCTGACGCGCCCCGATGCGAGGACAGGCAAGCCCGTGTATCTGCTCACATTCAGCGCAAACAACTTCGAGGCGTCCAATTACGGCGTGGGCTTTGCGACGGCGGAATCACCGCTCGGACCCTTCAAGAAATCTGCCAGTAACCCGGTCCTCTCTCAGGCCCCAGACGGCGGGCATCCCATTTACTCGACTGGGCACGGATGCGTCGTCGCGTCGCCTCCTCGTGGGAATCGGAGGGTGGGCGCACAGGACGTGACGCGCGAGACGCTCGATGGAACCGAGCTGTTTTACATACACCACGCGCGGAATGACACTGCGAATAGCCGATCGATATATAGCACGCGGATGACCCTGGATGCTATGGCTGTTTCTTACGGATCGGACAATGCGATTAGCATGCATCTGACTCCCCTTGACCAGCCTCTTCCCAAGGAGACGTACCCTATCCAGATGGAGGCCAAGCGCATCGGGGGCAGTCTACGAGTGCGTGTATTTTCAAAGACGGGAGCGCCTTTTGACATCACTGAAGGCTCCAATAGGGTCATTGGGCTGCCTGGGGATGTAGTCGCGACATCGACAAAGGAGAGAGATGGGCATGATGGTGTTTATCTAGTTGACATTGGTGACGCGTCTGTCAAGGAGTTGGCATATCAGCGTCTGGGTGTGGATGGAAGCTGGACCACGGTCGCCCAAAAGAAAATAGCATGCGCATAGAACAGAATAAATAAATTGACCATACATCTTACTCAGTAGAGAACGTGATAAGAAATTATGGTGGATCAGCACGAGCATTGAACATAAGCCAAGTGTTGGCGTGGCGAATCGCGGCAGCAGATGAAAATGAGCAGTGTCGTCATTCCAAACCGATGACGTCGATCGACAGCCAAAAACCACCTGCTTATTGTCATCCATCATCAAGAACAATGCAAAAGCCTCACGCTCGCCGTTTGTTCACAAGGAACTAAAGCCCAATCTCCTCTGCTATTTATCAATTGCGAATTATTCCCCTGTACATAGATAAACCTTTGAGGCGCCTACAAAAATGACAGATGGCAATCAACACACAACCGCCGCCATGGCCAACACAATCACCGTGACGCGGCGCGTCGACAAAACCGTCAAGATGCGGCTCCTCCAGCTCCTCCTAAAACCGTTCCGTCCACGTCTAGCCACTGCGAGGAAGAAATCATTCCCTGGCTCACCTCAATTGGCTGCTCCGCGGGCGGTCCGGAAGCGATGTAACGTCACCGAGCGACAGGTGAACGACATCTGGATCTACGATCTCACACCGCGATCGACCAACAAATCAGACGACGGCAGTCCGTCGCCCTCCAAGCGGAGAATATACTATTTCTCCGGAGGCGGATGGCAGCAGCCCCCCAGCGGCGGGCATTGGAAAGTCCTCGCAGAACTGACCAACCGTTTATCCGACACCACCATCACCATTGTCTCCTATCCTCTGGCACCGAAATGTCCCGCCTCCGTCACCATGCCGCTATTGAGAACCCTGTACGACAGTCTTATGAAGGAGTCTGAGAGTCAGGGTGAACATGTAGTATTCATGGGCGATAGCTCTGGAGGCAACATCATTCTCTGTCTGGTCGCATGGGCATTGCAAAGCCCCGAAGCGAGGGCGCCGTCTGCCCTGATGTGCATATGTCCAACCACTGATCTCCGACATCTAGATGAGAGAATTGTCGATGTAGCTAAAAAAGATCCCATCTTTACGGCTCAGTCTATCGAAGGGACAGCGAACGCGTGGGTAGGTGGCGACAAAGACCGGAAGGAATGGGGTCTCAGTGATGCACGAGTGTCGCCAGCCCTGGCCAGTTTCGAGGAGTTGAAACGCAGGAATGTCAAAATACACGGCGTAATTGGAACCTGGGATGTTCTCTCTGTCGAAGCTATTGCGTTCCGCGACCGATGTTCCGCGCAGGGCATCGAAGGGGAGTGGTTGGAGTGGGAGGGCCAAATGCACTGCTTCCCTCTTGTATTTCCATACGGTTTCAAGGAGAGCACCGAATCAGTGGACTGGATAGTTCGCACCTTGGGTCAATAGCCATGGTCAACACTCTATACCACTGACAAAACGACATCGGTGAATATTTCCCACAAGGCGACCCTTTCAGCGATGATGTTGGCAGAAATTGGCTGAAGCTGCCAACTCCAAACTTGTTTCTTCTACCTACCTACATAACATGTAACCAGCTTACTTTCTACCTAAAAGCTCAACAATTTCACCCTTCTGACAAGCACTGGCAACATCCAGCGAGCTTCTCCCTCGAGCATCTTCCCTCAATGGATCAAGACCCTTCTGCACCAATGCCTCAAAGAGCCGCTTATCATGAGTACGAGTTGAACTGGCACTTCTGCTGACCACGTGAAGCATCGACTCCCCATCATAGTTGACGGCAAACATGTCTGCCCCGCCGTCGGCGGGGAAGAGTTTCTCGTAAAACGCGACGTGGCAGCACGCGACCTTTTCCTCTTCCTTGTATTGGCCGTTGTGTCTCATCCCTGAAAGCATAAACAGGTGCATCGGGGTATTGCCAGAACAATCCACACAGTTAATGGAACCACCCTCAGCCAGGAACCTCTCCCACAATGCCAGGCACTTGCCAAAGTACTCCTGCGGCAGATCTATATTGAGCACACTGGAGTTGCCTGGCGAACGAGATGTCATGAACCATTGCGTGGCAATGTAATGCAGAGCCGTGAGGCCGTTTGGATCAGCCTCCAGTAGATCCGCCCCCAGAGACAACAGGAGCTCACAGATGTCGGGACGTAAGATCCGGAGCGCGTAATGGAAGGGGCTGAACCCTGCCTTATCCTTTTGCAAGAGCGTAGGAGCCACCTCCTTACGTTGTATAAACTCGACGAGCACGTCATCCGGCATCCCCGGGTTGTCAAGTAGATGATGAAGAGCAGTCTTGCCCTCGTCATCTACCAAAGTCGCGTCCGCCTTGAGGTCCAAGATCCGAAGGGGAGGACCTGTGGCTTTGGGAGTCCAGTGCTTGTAGAAATACCCGGGTAGGACGTGACCACACGCGCAAGATGCCATCAAAATGGTCCTGCCACGCTGATCGCGGCGGTTGAAGTCGATCCGGGCCACGCATGGGTCTTGGAGGAGCGTGTCCGAGACTTCATATTCGGGAAACTCGAATAAAAAGTGGATCAGGGTTTCTTGGTCGTTGAGAGGAAGATAGAGACTGGCCCCTCGCCTTACCAGGGAGCGGAGCAAGGGAACAGATTCAGGAATGTGGCTGTTCAGCTCCTCCGCGAAGGCTGTAGCCAAGACAGCGTACACTGCTCTGGGCTCGGAGAGGGAGTGGTGTATATCGTCACTTTGACGGCTGGTATCGAGCGTATCAACGCTTACACCATGATCTAGGAGTGTGTCGAACGCGACCAAGTTCTGATCATGGATAGCCTGGAACAAGGGGCTTCTCGCACCCAGCGTGGCATCGGCGCCCCTTCGGAGGAGCTCTGCCATGACATCGGGCGCAGAAGACGCGCGGTGAAGGGCAGTTTCGCCCTGTTTATCAAGAGCATCAGGGTTGGCCCCGTGATCGAGGAGGATACGCACAGCGTCCAGTTTCCAAAAGCCCGAGATATCTCGATCACCGTACTGCATCCCGCGTGCGGCTATGTGAAGAGGGCTCTGGCCGTTCTCGTCGACCGCGTTGGCATCCGCACCGTTGGCAAGGAGGTATCTCATCGCCTCCACCTTCCACCACTGATTCGCCGAGGCAAGCATGTGGAGAGCAGTGCCTCCAGGCTGTATCTTGGCGTCTCTCCTGTAGCTGTCTTCAAGAACAGCCTTCGCCGCATTGACATCCACATGCAGCTTCTCCACGAGAAATCTCACGGTCAGCATATTAGGCTTCGGCTCCTCGCATGCCATCTGAAGCGCGGTCAATTCGGCCTTGGAGTATTTGTATTTAGATTCTCGCTTGCCCTTCTCGAAGCTGTCTCTGACTGTATCATACGAGCTGTAATGAACCACCAACCGAGAGACTGCTTCCAAAACTCGAACGTCACCGAGCTGGATGAGGTCCTCGAGGGTATCGTAATTCGATGTGGCAGTGGTATCTGCTTCAAAGGCCTCATTGACAATATGGGCAATATCATCGCGTGGAAGCAGGCGCAAGTACAACTCCGGGTGCAGTATTACCTCAGACATGAACTGCGTATTTCCGCCCAGACAAGATCTTGGCTTCATCAAGGCCATCTGAGCTCTCATGCGTTGTCGAATCTCCGACACACATTTAGAATATGACGAATCGTCTTCAAGGCCCCTGGTCGCTCTCATGAACAAGTCCTCATCCGAGAAGAAAGGCTCAACGAATTCCCAGCAGCCCAAGTCGAGGGCCTCATCCAGGGCCGTGCAGTCACATCCATCTCTTACAGCAGCAACGTCCGAGCCGGCATCCAGAAGCATGTGCGTAATACTTGCAACGCCAGGAAAGTAGGTCCGTCGTATTCTTTGCGTTATTGGGCCTCCATAGCTATTCTTATACCAGATCTCGCGAGAATCTTTTTGCCGTGAGCCAGGGCGGAACCGGTCTTCCCGAGGAGCCAACAAAGTCTCATAGCCTCGGCCACCAGCGTCCCAGATGGCTCGCTCCTCTTTGAAATTAGCACAAGTATGTAAAGGCGTCCGACCGTCTGTGTCAGTGGCGTTCACATTGGCACCATGCTGGAGGAGAAAGGCTACAGACTCGGCTTCTCCTGAGCTGCAAGCGTAGTGCAGCGGGGTTCTGCCGAGACTATCCTCTTGCTCCAGGCCGTCGGTGCCAAACTGGTCGAGGATCTGACCGACAATGCCGGGCATCCGCGCACAGCTTGCAAGATGTAGGATGTTTTGCCCGCCCTGCGTCAGAAACGTTGGGTCTGCACCGTTGCTCACAAGCTTGGCTAATTCGATTTCTGTTTTCGTGGCCGCAATATGGATCGGGGCAAAGCCATCCTGGTCCCTGACTTCAAAGTTGACCGTATTTTCAAAATTTATGGCATCGATAAAGTGGCAGCGGTTCTTTTCGTAGACTGTTCCTCCACCGGAACACCGCGTCAAGTAATGGTGAAGGATGGTGCGTCCAGATGTGTCGACCGCGTTGACGCTTATTCCAAGACCAATTAGCCACCTCATATAGGTGGCCCATTCCTCTGCAGTGTTGTAGTTGGGCACGATATGATGCAGCAGCGTGTACCCGTTCTTGTTTGTGCTCAGGGGATCGACTCCGTCAGCAATCCTCCTCTCCATCTGCTCTTGTTGGATGCTGCCGCTTTTAGCCAGGATGTGCAAAGCGTTGTTCCCATAGCTGTCAACCACATCAGTCCTGGCCCCGTGTTCTCGGATAGACTGTAATCTTTCCTCATCGCTTAGACATTGGAGATAGAGGGTCCGGCCGTCCTTTGACTCAATGTTGATATCAATGCCATCCGCCAGCAGCAGCTTCATCAAGTAGGTAAACCGTTCACTTTTGTACATAGAAGGCAAGTGGAACCAGCATTTCCTTTTGATAAGGTCATCACTGCATTTCGAGAGCAGCAACGTGAAAACTTCCGGTTCTGCACATGACATTGCTTCTTTGAGTGCACTATTCCCATGCTTATCGGACATATTGGGATCAGCTCCTTGATCAAGCATATACTTGACGATGGTCAGGGTATTTTCGACCCCGGTTACCATGCCAGGCTGGTAAACACAGGACTGGAGGATTGATTTTCCCGAGCTATCCTTCGTGTTCGGGTCAATGCCGTGCTCGATCAGGAGCCGCACAAGGCTGGGGTCTCGACACCTGTCCAAAACAAGATGTAGGATTGAACCCCCGCGCGATTCCTTGGATGCCCCGGTGACATCCGCTCCTACTTCCAACAGAGCCTTGAGAGCGGAGTTGCGAACGTTTGACCTGTAATTGGTTTCACTACTTCCAGCAGCGATGAGCAACGGTGTGTTTCCGGAACCGCTCACTTGCTCTAGGTCTGCCCCAGCATCCAGCAGTAGCCTCAGAATGGCCCGGCAGTCCTTGTCGTTCTTGTCCGTCCAAGACGTAACCAGGCAGTGTAACGGTGCTGTTTCCCTTTCCCTGCTACAGGTACCTCCAACCCTCCACCTCCTTGGCTTGAATGTAGACATCATGGACACATCCGCGCCTCGTTTGATCAGCGCCTCAACGCACTTGACGCTCGTCGCGCGGCACGCAAAATACAAGGCGGTTCCCTCCCTGGACGTAGCGTTAACCGAGACGTCTGTCGTGTCCAGAATAGCCAGCACGGCATCTATGAGGCCGTGGTGACACGAGTCGCATAGAAGCCGTTCCAGAACCTTCCCCTTGCAGAATGGAATCATGGCAATGATCGTCTCGACGTAGCCACCTTTGGTCGCGTAAAGTATGGCGCACTCCCCCTGCGTGATGGACTGGCCGCCCATCATGGGTCCTCTGTGGCTCTCCTTGGTCTTGATTGTATCGGGTTCGACGCCGGACTCAAGCAGGACTGTCACTACCGCAGCGTGATTCCTCCGTGCAGCAGTGTGGATTGGCTTCAAACCGTATGCGTCTTCGGCGTTGGGGTCACATCCTCTCTTGATGAGCAGTGAGACGACGCCTTGGTGGCCGTTGGCAGCTGCCCAGTATAGAGGGGTGCGATTGTGCGCATCCAGGTTTAACACCGAGGCACCGTCCTCGATGATCTTCAGAGAGAATTTAGACAGGCCAGAGTATGCTGCAAGGTGGAGCGCTGTCGGCAAACCATCTGAACTATCTTGGCTCCTGGAGGTGGCTCCCCATTGAAGCCTGAGCCATCTCCTGAAAGCCAGACTTTGAGGTTTGATAAAGTCCAAAATCGCGGCGAAGAATTCCTCGTCATCCTCATCGTAGCTGCTAGCATGACGGTTCCAGTTCGTGACAGCGTATTGGAGGAACGGATAGAGTAGTCGCGCTTCTTGATACTTGAACGGATCTTCATCTGTTATTCGGTCAAAGGGAAATCGAGCTAGATCGCGCTCACCCGGGGCATATGGAATTGCCGGCTTTCGGTAGGTGATGGCCACGCCTGACTCGTCTTCGTTCCCGAGCGAGCCTGACTGGAGGTATCGAAGACAGTTCATAGCCATTGTCTTGTGGGCAGTGAGGGAATCAATGATCGGGAACCGTGTAGACAGTTCACCTACGGAAGCATTCCGGGTGTCACCACGCAAGAATTCAGTGAAGGAATGATGGACAACCTGCAGAGTCTCGTCTTCCAAGATCTCTACCAGCGGCCCGCAGCTCTTGGCGACGAGAGCTTTGTATCCTTTTGGTGGTGCGGAATCTGGAGCTATGCACTCAATGAGGCTGGCTAGCTCATTCAGACGCAGCGGGCGAGATGAATGGGTCACTGCTTGTAGGACAAGAACCTGCGTCCCGATACTGACGCCATGCTCCTCACGCTGCTTGCTCAACATCTTGTCATATGTATCTTCCAACCCAGCGGGAAGCGTCTTTTCGAGTTCTTCAACGCCAATAGCGTGTGATGAAGTTAATGCAGCCTCTACCTGATCCATGGCAAGCTTGGCGTACAGGAATAACCCTTCAGACCGTGAGGCGACCATGTCAATGATCTTGCCCCTCTCGAGGTGCTGTCCGCCGAGCACGCCGTCAAATCTGTGATTTAAATATAGAAGAATGTCGCGATCAACAAGTTTCTTCTGGAGGCTGACGTGAACAATTGAAGAGTCTCGCAGCGCGCTCTGTAGATACTGCTTTGGCCTGCTGGTCATGAGAAGCTTCAGAGATCGAGGGCGGTATGTGGCAAGTCTGTTCAAATTCTCAAGAAATGCCCTATTGTCGGCCGTCATCTCATCGAGCGCATCTACAACGCAGTAGAGCCTTGGGACACATGATATCCCATCGGTGAAGAGCTCCATAAGGTTGCTGTCAGATATGTCTTCCAGGCTGGTGTCGACACGAGCCCAAAGGGCCACCTGGAGTCGGGGGGAGTAAGGCAGAAGCTGGGCCAGCCAGTCCTGCAATAGACCCCGCGGGGAGAAGTTGGCCGCGACAATGTTTCGGAAGAAGAAGAAGAGAACGGGGCAGTCTTCGGTTGTTTTCAAGTGTTGGATGATGGATGACGCCGTGACTGACTTGCCCGCGCCTGGCACGCCGTTGATCCATAGACTGCCATGGTCTGGTGAATCGTGCCATTTACGGTACGCATCCGTCTCGCAAATCCAAAGCCCTGTACCAGGAGCCTGCGATAGCAGGTGGCGGCGGAACTCACCTGAGTCCGCAAGGTAGTCCGTGGGCTGGAGCCAGTCGCGGACCTTAGCCACGTCTTCGGGACTCAGTGCCACCTCCTCATAGTTGATAAACTCATATTCATCTGCAGTGTTCACAGATCCAGGCATTGCGGATACAGAATGAGACCGAAGTTGTAGTGTGATGTGTTGAATATTGACTGTAAGAAACGAAGCATGAGCTCTTGCATGGGCCAGGCTGTTACAATCCAGCTGAGGCGGAGTGCCTAATGCCCGACCCGGTTGAAGATACATGCGGATGGATATTGAAACATCCGACGTATTTAAAGTGGCGCTCGGAAAAGCGCATATTACGTCGATGTCTTTGGATCGGCGGAATGGCAGGAACCGGGAAGTTTGGTATTGCCAAGTCCATAATACAGGATCTATCGTTCTCTGATTCTCAGCATCAGCATAGCCGCAAGCCTCACAACACGGCACTTGTTCTGAGCTACTTCTTCCAGCCAGGACACACTTCTAGTAATCTGGCCCAAGGACTTTTGTCACAGCTCGTTCAAGCCCAACCAAGCTTGGTATGTCACATCGAGCCCCAGTTCACCTTCTGCAAAGATTTGGGGGGTCTCTTTAATAGTAGGAATGAAGCACGTCTCTGGAAGATTCTCAGCTCCTCCTTGACGTATTTAGCTCATGATGATGTTTACTTTGTCATTAATGCTCTGCACGAGTATTCTGGCGACGTTCCCGAGCTCTTTGGCAGGATAGAGGCGTTGATCTCGATCAACGATCGTAACAATTGCAAAGTTCTCTTAAGTAGCCGGCCCTCAGCTCTAGAGAACCGGATCGAAAGCAATTGTGAAATAGTTTACCTCGATTCCCCCGATGAGCGGCGTGCCGTAAATTCGGACATTGGGGATCATGTCCCAGTCGTCCCGGTGGACTTGACGACGTCGCAGACTCTGATGATACCAATGGAGAAATCATAAAGTCGCTCCTCGAGGATCCTCAAGCCTTGGCTCTATGGACCAAGGTAGTGAGTGAAAACCCCATGATCAGGCCCCGATGTGTCTCAACAGCTCTCGAAAGGAATCACAAATTCGGGAACAAACATTTACGGGATGTTATGCAGCATTGGATGAGATCATCACAGGATCACAGATGTCCCTGGCCACCTTTAGTTGATATAGAGTACTTCAATTGCCATATGTAGCTGGCAACTAAAAATGTCGGCATTGTCAGATTCCCTGTTGTTGTTTTATATAACCTCCTCGAAAATAAAAGAAAAAAAATTACTATTAGCTCACTTTATCAATGGCGGCCATCGCCCTAATCAGGATGAAGGTTGGAAAGGCAACTTTTCTTCCCAGCCAGTCGATAAATTAGTTTAAATTGACTATTCAATTTGAGACAGCTTCTCGGTCAGCATTCCTAAATAGGCGGTAGAGCTGCGCTCGGATTGCTAATGGCAATGCACAAATGCGGCGAGATGGTCTGCCTCGCTTTGGCCAAGGCCGGGATTTTTTTACCGAGCACCACAACAGAAATCTATGAGATAAATGCATTGGTAAAGGCGTACCAGGCAGGCGTCGCGCAATAATCGACCGGGAGGAATGAAGACAGGCCAGCCAGAGCGAATCAATCCTACCTGCTTCCGAGAAACGCGGCGTTCACGCTTGTCACGATTCGCCCAGATTGATCCGTTGCAAATACCTGAGCCTGGAGGGTAACCGTGCGTACAGCGTGAATCTTGGCATCCATCCATCTCAGTCAAAAATTGCTCGAAATTATTGCTGACATACATGGATGGAGTGTTCACCCCTGCAAGGTTGCCTAGCGAGCAGCCCATCATCTCCGCTTGGCTCCTCCCACGACCCGGACATAAAACGCTGACGGCCAGTCCCCATTCCTTTTTTGATTATTCTGCTGACCTCGAAGCTCCAACCTGAGAGGCCTCACTGAACCGACACGATGGGCCGACCTTCCCCCGCCACTGGCAATTATCGCGACGATCCCGATGCCGTGTCCTTGCGAACGGAGCCTGGCGATGCCTACGTGGACGATGTCCCTGAGATTGCAACGTCTCCACCAGCCTACGGCGAGGCCACTGGCGAGGGTGACGCGCTGATCGACGGGTTCGATGACAGCGCTGATCCGGGAGGTCTTGTCCTCAAGAATGGCACCACCCCGGCCGAAACTCACCAAGAGGGCACCTCGTCTCATATCTTTGCCAAGCGCACCCGCATCACCAACGAGGTCAATGCCCTGCAAGACGATCGCTCTGATGGCGACCCGGACTTCCTGGAGAGGTGGGTCAGGCACATGGCAAGCAAAGCGCCCTCGCCGTACATCCACATCACGGGCAATCACCGCGAGACAAAGCGTGACATGAATGGCAAGAGCAAGACCGAGACGGTGGAGGACTTCCGCATCCTCGTCAGCCTGCAGAACTACCTCTGGCCAAACTTCAACCCTCGCGGAGAACAGGTGATGAGCTTTGACACGGTGGACAACGGCGAGAGTACCTTCCGCGGCACCGTCTTCAAGGGGCGGGCTCCCGGGTCAAAGGGCAATATTGAGGTCGGAACTGATAAGCCCGGGCTGGGGGAGTGGTGCCACCGGTACTGCGCCAAGGCCAAGAGCACAAGATGGTGAGACCCGAGGCTGAGCCCCCCTTCATCAAGCATGATACTAACATCATCACCAGTTTCCGCCTTACCCGCACAGTCACCGGCTTGGATGAGCAGCTCTTCCGATCCCGACTCGAAGGTCTGATCCGTGGTACCAACTACAAGGGCAAGCTCTCCATTGAGTTCCCCGTGGCCGATCGGGCGGTTGATATCTACTCCACCACCTGGATGAACAACTGGCGTACCACGAACTGGATCCGATGGATCTTCTACCTCACCTTCCTGTGGATCTTCTCGTGGCCCATCCTATACTTCACAACGAAGAAATACTACGTCGTGCGTGCAGAGTGGCCATTCGCCAAGGTTAACCCTCAGGGTCGCAAGACCTACACCACCGTCAGCGAGGAACAATGGATCGAGAATTTTGGCACCGCGGTCCAGCAGCTGTGCTTGGACCGGTACCAGGGCCTGACTGGCGATGACCATTTGAAGCAGATCCTCGCGAGGCCTGCGACACAGTCGTCTGTCGCTGGGGACTTCCGGAATGCGCGAGCAGCGCTGAACGTGGCAACGAGTGCCGCCAGCGCTCTCCGTGGAGGGCCTGTCAATGCCATCAGCCAGGTTTCCAACATCATGCGCCTCTCGAGCGGGACAAACGACCAGGTTGGATGGGGGTTTGACACATGAGGGGGCATCTGCACTGGGTAGGGATATTGGATTGCCTCTTGTGGGCTAAGGATTTTTACAGGGTTTTGTGTCTTTAGTGTACCCGTTGTGTGTATTAAACGTCGTGCAGGTATGGTTCAGGATCTGGTTCTATCGCAATCTGTTGAGGGATGATTTTACTGTTACTTCGTTGGATTTGGTAGCAGAAGATCTTGTTTTCTCGCCCATGTCATTTTTAATCACGTACTTATACACCACCTCTTAAAAAAAACGAAATATTTCTTTTATTCTTACTTCTTGACTAAAACTCATTCCCTCGGTTTTTTTGGTCTCGATTAGATACCCTTTTTGATACTGTGGCTCCAAAAATCATTGTAATTCACTCCTCCTTTCTCCCACGCTGAGAGTCTAGGGTAGCGCAAAATTGACGTTGCCAATATTGGCTGGCTTGGTTTTTCGGAACTCTCGCCCGGAACTCCCTTCCGAGATTAAACCTTTCTTCAATTGTTTCAAATGAATGCTCATGTGAACCATCGTTGGTAGTGTTGTTGTTCCTCAACCGATGAGAATGTTAAGTAAGATAATTGGCGAGCTTTGAAGTCGACCAGCATCTCCCGTATGCTGTCATTGCCGGAACTTCCAATCAGCCGAACAAGAAAACTGCGTCTTGCGTTTCTGGCCGTTGAATGCTTCAGAAGTAATTCCAAGAGTGCTGTGTCCCCGTCCTCAGCTACCAAAACCCCGTATTCTAGTGCCGATATAAAATCAGAATGGGGCGAGGGTAAACGCTCGAGGGTGGCTCCGAATTCGAGTGCAGACACGATGACTTCCTCCGCCTTATCGAGATTCTTCGTCACTAGAGGTCGATGACGGGGCTTACCAAACAGAAGGCAAAAGAGTCCTACCAAGAACGTAGTTCGGGTTCTGTAATGATCCCTTTGCCACCAATCGATCACGGTCGAGTTTAACTTGGCGCCTCCCTGAAGGAATACCTTCATACAAGCGGCGTTCAGTGTAGATGCAGCGACAAACACCGGTGTTGTCTCTAAACGCAAGGATGAAAAACAACATGGGGTGTCAACGTCAACGCCCGCATCTACGACTCTCTGGACAAGTTCAGTTTGTGAACTCGGTCTCATTTTTGGTAGCGTCGCAAAGACATGATGCATATCATGAAAATCTGACGAGGCCACCCAACCCGCCGGATCGCATCCTTCAGCTACAAGCATCGAAACAATGTCGAACTTCTTGCGTTTGAGGGCGAGGTTTAATGGTGTACGACCACCGCTGCATGTTTGATCAAGAGGGACTTTCATATCAATCAACAGCTTGACAATGTGTAATCTGCCAGAGCGATGACTACTGCATGCATAGTGAAGGGATGTCTGGCCAATGCGATCAGTGTGCGTCGCTGACACGCCCGGTTGTTGTAACATCATGCGAACGACTTCGGGATGGCCGTTGGCGCATGCGAGGTGAAGCGCCGTTTGCCTTTTCTTGTTCTCGACTGCGGGGTTGACCCGAGGTTGACGAAGGAGAAGCTTGATGATCGAAATATTACGCTCCCATGACTCCGCCGCGAGATGTAAAGCAGTATCACCCTTCCAGTCAGCCGCTGCAACATCGGCGCCACGATGTATGAGGTCAGTCGCCAGCGAAACGTCGTTTTCTGAAACCGCAAAATGCAAATTATTCCAAAGCGACACCGAATCGGGATAGGAAAGAAGTCGGTTTACGAGATTCTTGCGCCCTTGAGAGGAAAGGGCATAGATCGCAGAAACGCCTTCGGCCACCAGGAAGGCGCCGTTGGTTACGAGAAGTTCAACCAGCTCGAACGCCGATTTGTTGTTGAAGGGCTGATTAGCTCCTTCGAGGGGATGCCATGGGGTTTCGATTCCAAAGAGGCAAAGATGAAGTGGATAGAGAGGTGCGACGCCAAACGGCCTGCTGTTGCGGTAGAAATTCAGGGCAGGCGCGTGGACGTCGACGTTTTTTTCTAGAAGGTATTGCACAATCTTCACATGCTGGCGCCCGACGGCTAGGTGCAGCAAGGAGAAGGACCAGGGATAAGTAGGCGGACGCCATGGCGATTCTGGATCAAGGGGCAATGTCCCCCACGGTGGACAGTAGGCCGTCTCTTTGTGTACTTCAACTTGCATATCTAGGTTTGCTCCATGGGCCACGGCGCGCTTGACCGTGTCGAGGTTGCCAACATCTACCGCCCATAGGAGGCATGACTCTGTGACTTGATCATTCTTGAGATTGCGCTTGTAGAGTTTACCGTTTAGCGTTTCGTACAGCCAGCGGCATGTACGGGCGAGCGAAGCGTGGTTTCTTGCGTAGGTCGCGGGGTGGGCTTTTTCGGATGAGGGAGAGACGCCCCAGGTGCTCATCTCGGCGATGCGGAGGAGAATCTCCATCGGGAGAGTGTCGAGGTTTGGAGCCATCGTGGCGTCCTTGTGTTGGTTTTCGGCAGGGCACAAGGGTAGGAGTGAATGTGGAGAGGAGGCAAGATGCGCGAGGTTGATGAGGAGTTTGGAGAGAGTGAGGAAGCGTTGTGGAGGAATGGATTTAGTTAGTGAATGGAAGAGTTGTTGGAACGTTGATAAATAAGGCACCAACTGTGAGTGAAGTGAGATCAAGGTGAGAAAGTTGTGAGAGATGCTGCGGCCACCGGAACAAAGGATTCCCCGCCTCCACATCGAGGCAATACAATGCCTGTGCCTAACTTTGATATGGGCTATCAAGAGTGTTTCGGATCTTAGGGTTGAGGCCAAAACTAACTGGAAAGTTTTTACCGCGGGAAGTCATGCTGAATTTAACCAACATAAGAAGAGGTTGGCAATTTTAGACGCTCGCAGATATTAATAAAGCTTCTAGACACAGCCTGCTCTATGATCTGCTCCAAACTAATGATATGGAAATTACCAGAGCTAGAATTCTCAGGCATCGCTCTTGACGATCTAACACCCCCATCTGAATAAGAGTGACTGGCCCCCCAGCGATATGGCGTGCAACCAAGTCAACGCGCGGTCGTTGTTTGCCCGTTATAATATGGTGAAGGCGGGACACTTTCTGTTCGTTTCTTACTGAAGTCACTGTAGATGTCTTGCAATGCGTCCCTGATGAATGTAGAGTTTTGAGCCACACGTCCCGTTTGGAATATGCGGCGCGTTGGAGCTGTGAAGAGAACAGAGGGTCAACAACTTAATACAGAGCGACCTGCCTTATTCGGCGCACTTCTATGACAAGAAAACGCGACAAAAGGTTTGTGCGTCTAAATGATTTGATATGACACCAACAACTGGAAAGTGTGCCCTGTCAAGATCGTGGATCTGAGCACGTCATGAATTACACTTCTCATCTATCCGGCGGGTCCCTCAGTACGCTGGGGCACCCGAACAGTGATTCTTAATAATATAATGGCGTGGGGCTTGACCATCGATGGCGAATGTGTATTCTGGCTGAACGGCAAGGCTGGTACTGGTAAGTTGACCATATTGCGGATTGTATCTCAGCAGTTGGCAAGCAAGGGTGTGCTCAGGGCCAAATTTTTCTTCAATCGAGGAGAAGGGGATCGCGGGCGACCAAACTATCTCTTCCCAACCCTGGTCACTCAGCTGGCTGGCATATTGGAACATAAGGACTGTCCGACCTGAATCTTGCACATGGCCCTTCCGCTGGGCCAATTCAGAGCTTCGTTGCGTCGCCTGACTGCAGCATGTTAGCGTTTCTTTACCATAGACCTACCGAGATGGGAGTTTGGGGATCGATTAGTGACAATTGTCTCAACATAATGAGGTTGCCTGGCGGGGAGCTTTCGATGGCCATTTCCCATGAAAAGACGAGGCTGGCGAGATAACCATTCGACAGGACAAGAAAACGTCTGGATTTGGGACATTGCGACCGGTACCCTCGTTACAGCAGAAATTGGGACGCGTCACCACATGCCCCATTCGCTTTGTTTAGGCCCCTCGTAACAAAGAAGTATTGTATTATCTTGGGACACTGTGTTGCCTTTTCGTGTTCTCTTATAGCCGAGTCTGGCGCCCTAACACACGAGCACCCAGCTGTAAGTATACTGGTCGATCGACATGCTACACGTGGGATGAAAGACTTTGTGCTTTGACAGTAGAATAAACTCTCATAACGGCTTGTATCGTTAGGTTGAAATGAAAGATATGGGGCAGAGGATTGCCCATTTAGCGGGATAATATTGCTGATGCTTATTTCAGTATCTTGGAAACGAAATGGTAGAGACATACGCCAAGACGAAAGCTCTAAGAAATGGAAGTTGGATTGCGAGACGGGCATGTCTTTCACGATGAAAATTCTTGTGCTGGCTTGTCGTTAAGGCGGTGCGCAAAGGAGATCATCATAATCTCGTGCAAGCTTTCGGAAGATCCCGAGTCAAAGACTCCAAGCAAGCGAATTTATTTCGAAACAGCCATCGATTAAATAAGCGAAATTCGTTCTCTAGGGGGGATCTATCTTCTCAGTGCCGTCGACTCGCCACGGGCTTCTTTTGCGATAGCCAACTTCCTCGTTGCAAGGCCAGCCTCATTTGGGCATCGGGGCAGACAGACGTCTCAGTTGTTTAATTACGACCGCGCGATTATAGAGAACCCTATTATAATAGCGGCACCCATGGCCAATTCCAGAGCCGTCCTCCGATCAAGAGTCCAGACTTGAGCTTCTTGCTCCTTCTGAAGAAATGAACAACGTTTATCAAGCGACTAGTGCTACTAGCGACTTTCTAGAGTGGGAATTCGTAACCAAGACCAGGGACGGGCAAGGCACGTCAGACGGGTCCGTCGCGCGCTGCTCTCGGGAGGCAAGGAACTCTCCCTGGCCGAGATCAAGACCAGCTCGCATGGTTCAGGGGGTTTCCTCTGACGCCGCTATTGTCTGCGGCTGTCGAGGAGTGACACACTTGATAGTGCTAATACAAACGGGGCAAAACGGACCAGGGTCTGGGTCTTGGAAGATTCTACGCGAGCAGCGCTAAGACCCGAACTGACCAAGTCGTTGGCTGTCTTATCTACACCACTTTGCGGCTGCGGGAGCCTGATTCGTGTGTGAGAAGTGATCACGCCACACCACGTTGGCGTGAAATTTGATTCTGATAATGGATGGGGACGTTTTCTATCACAAGGAACAACTTTAAATGGATGAGAAAAAGCAATATGTGACAGGGAAAAGAACAAACACACCTGTGTAACCGGGTGTTTCGCGTGCATTCCTGGATGTCGGGCGCAAGGGCCCCACTAGTCATGGAACCAAATCCTTTAGCTGAATAGAGGCATCGTCCCAGCAGTAGGGCACGCCTCCGTTATCTGTGATTGGCAGCCACCCACAGTGGTGATGCGTAGTAATTTGATCTACAGCTGTGCCCCTCGAATCTAGTGTCTCCACGAGTCAGCCAAGTCCAGGACCAGGAGCCCTTCTAACATCCAATAGTTGCACGCCAGAAAGCCAAGCGGCGGCCCATTCCCCGGATTTCTGGTATCTTGGGACCTCGCACTAGGAGGGCCCAGAGCAGGGTCAGGCCCCCCGTGAGTTCCGGGCCCTGGCTTCCTCTTATCTTTCGTTGGGTTTGTTGCTCTTGTGCCTGTTGACTGCCATGTGCGTACTTGAAAGTGACCAGTTCAAATTGGGGGCTGATCCTCGCTCTCCTTCATTTAGCCCGTCTCTCTTTCTCTCCCTTTGGCTCTCCAAAGTGTGCACGTCTTCTCGCATGTGTGTCTGTGTCGCCCAATAGGTCGATTGTGACCAGAAAATCCGCCAGTGCCTATCCCTGAAGGCCTGTGCGCCTGGTATATCTCTGCTAACATGGCGGGACTTCAAGTCAACGTGTTTGTTGGCTTCGGTGTCGTCTGGGCCCTCGCCTTTCTCTCTATGATTGGGCGTGTTGTCGCCCGACGCATGACCAAGGTGACCTGGTGGCATGAAGATTACTTCTGCCTCGCTGCATTTGTATGTTTTCGTCGTGCCTTGATAATGCTAATTATCCTTCAAGCTAACGCGGCATCTCAGGTATTCGGCAGCGTATACAACGGCCTTTGCCTTTACTGTAATTCCCGACCGATATCCCATGCAATGGCACCCGACTAATATATTTGCTTACAGGGGCGACGGACTGGTCTCTTGGTCTGATAATTCCCGATACGGTCGATCCCGCTGTCAAAGAGCACACCCTGGAGGTCTCTAGAAAGCTCGCCTTCTTCTGCTCCTTGACCTACGCCTATTCCATCGGCGCCTCGAAGCTTGCCATCCTATCCCTCTACTGGCGTCTCTTCAAACTGTCTTCTATCCGAATCCCCATTCTGGTGCTATACGTGATTGTCGTGGCGTGGATGATCTTGCGAACGTTCATTGTGGTGTTCCGTTGCTCGCCCGTGCAGGCATATTGGGATCTCAACATCCCCGGTGGTCATTGCCCCATCCAAGACGGGGCCTTCTTCTTCGGAACGATGCTCCCTCACTTTCTCATGGATGTCGTGATTCTCATTTTGCCTGTTGTTGAGGTCTTCAAGCTCCGTCTGCGCCTGGCCCAAAAGATTGGCATTTCTGCCTTATTCCTGATTGGTATTATGTGAGTGGTGATGTTCTCGGATTGAAATGATGTCAACTAATGATGCTCGCGTGACAGTGTGTGTACTGCATCCGTGAACTGCTTGGTTGAATCCATTCGCACCGACCCGAAAACGACACAAATGCCCTATGATTACGCCCTGAACTACACGTGGGGTGCTGTCGAAGTGAACATGGCTGTTGTTTCCTGTACGCAGCCACCTTTTCCACCTTGACTTATGTATCTCCCGTTGGTGTGACTAACATTGTGCAGCATGTTTCCCTCTGCTGCGCCCCGTCTTCCGCGTGCTTGTTGGCTCCAGGGTCCTCAGCTCGTACACTGAAGGGACTCACGGCGTGAGCTACGGCGCCCACACATACAGCCGCCATACCGGCGTGGAATTGAACAACATGACCGCAAGATCGAAGCGAAGAAAGGACATGGAGCTCTCAAGTTCAATGCGCCGCTTGGCTGATGACGAAAAGGATATCCTTGGTGATCCTGCCTTGGTCAAGTCACCGGACCGCATCCTCACCACTGTGACGCCGTATCATGCGAATGAGTGGTCTGACAGTAACGATAACGGGATTCACGTACAGAACGACGTGGTGATTGAAGTGCATAAGCTCGAACAGTCGAAATCCTTCAACAGTGACTATAATTCCCAGGATTCAAGCAAGTTTCGCTAGGGCTCGGGTTTAGGACTCGTTTTCTTTTCTCTTATATATATCTACTATTTGTACTATCTACAGGGTGACGGGTCAATGGATACCCAACAATAAAGCACGTGGGGATAGCAGCCCCTTCGGTTAAATAATGCTTGGACACAGAGCTGTTTGTTCTGGGAGCAACGATAGAATACATGTTGTGTAATTAAATGATTGATGCCCGCAAAGGCCTATTTACTCCTCATGGTCTTGGTCAACGTGCGAAATTAGTAATGAATTTTGTAGAGGTTCTTAGATGTCCTGACAGTTGTCTGAGTCAAAATATGGTGTGGGCCTGGTGATTACGACGTGATCCCACGGGCTGAATCCAGAAATGGATCTGTGAGGGGAATGAAATGAGCGGGTCGACACAGACGACAACCTGATTTCTGCTCGCTCGTCAGCCAGACAACATCACTGGCGCGATGTCGGCCTACGTGCAAGGAAATGGCTCTCCTCTGCCTGCCTCGCATCCGGCGACAAGTTTCCAGCCGGAGCAGCCGAGAGAGGACGAATATGCACCGCCTCCCGGTCCTCCTCCCGGCTGGACCTCAGCATCTCAGCCAGCTGCATCTCACACCCAGCCGTCGCCGTCGCCGCCTAGTAGCGACCTCCCAGAAGTGGTATCAGGTCCTCAGTCTCCGATGAGTCTCCCTGAGGTAGTATCGGCCGCTCCGCCTCCAAGCAACCTCCCGGAAGCAGTACCAGTCCATCTACCTTCAAGCAGCCTCCCCGAAGTGGTTCCGCTCATTCATCCTTCAAGCGACCTCCCAGAAGTTGTTCCACCCCCTCAGCCGTCAAGAAATCTCCCTCAAGTGGTGCCGCCGGCTCTGCCCCCAAGGCAAAGCCAGCAACGGTACTCAGCCGTATTTACACAGCCCTCCCAACCCGCGGATGCTCCTCGAGCGCGTCCAGTGTCTATGCAGATTCCTCGAAAACCAACTACCCAGCCTCCATCACCTGTCTCACCACCAACGGCTCCACCGGCTAACAAAGCCGTAACATCATGTATCGACTACATGGCCTCATTCCCCACGACATGGTATTGGCACCCTGAGGCTCCCGCCTTCTTCATTTGCTCTCGTTGCTATCTCGACCACCTCCAATGGAACCCGGCTGGATCAGCCCTCCAATCTGCTTACTTCACAGATGGGATACCACGGATATGTTTGTGTAGTTTGCCTCGCATGAAGACACGGCTTCTCCCTCAAGCAGTCGCTGCTGGATCGCTTCACCCTGCCCTCGAGTACATGCGGTTCCGCCCAACCATCCAGCAATGCAAGGGTGTAGATGGAATCAAAGGCGGGCAAGGCCATCGCTGGTACAAGGCCGAGGGAGACTCGATTCCCGGCTTTTTTGCCTGCCAAGCCTGTTTTGAAGATCACGTCTTTCCCACGTACTTCGCCAGGAAGTTCGAACAAGTACCTGAGGGACGCCAGGGTCCTAACGACATATGGGCATGTGATATTGCGTCGCGATATGTTCTGAAGCATCTGGAGCTCAAGTCCAAGACCAATAATTGGCCCGGGTTCGTCACCGAGGCTAGGGCGCGGCTTTCAATCTCCAGATGTCCGGGTCCCAACCCGGTCCCAACCTCTGGTCTCTCATGGTTCATGCCCAAGGAGATTCGCGGGCTCGCGGCGTGTCCTGCTTGTTTCTGTGACCAAGTGCTCTGGACCGACGAAGATGCCAAGTGGCGCGAGGTTACGGAATGGAAAGCCGACCGGCGCCAGAAGGTGACATGCTGCTTTGCCCAGCTGAATTTGAAGCTCTGTGTTGAGAGAGCCCACGACCTGGAAGACTACTCTGGGTTTTGGGCCGCCGCAAAGAGGCTGTCGCATGTCCCTATTTGCAGCCCGCAAGGTATCAAGAACGGCCAATGGTACACATTGCGTTCAGATCCGGCCGACTTCAGGATGTGTAAGGCGTGCCATATCACCATCGCAGAGTCTTTACAGGTCTCCCAGCATTTTGTCCCTAAGATTGGTCTTCCAAAAACTGAGCAACTATTGTGTTCCTTCAATCCAGCGCATGGTCGGATGCCACAGTTTTTATCCAGACTTATTGAAGTTTACATGAAGGCTGATCCGTCGCCGCTTAGTTCCTATGCATCTGTCTGGGCCAAGATCCCCCTCTGTCCTAGGGATCAGGATAAGCCAGGGATGCACTGGTACGGATGGCCTGGATGCACGATCTGCCAAGAATGTTATCTCAACTTCACCTCTAAATACCCTAATATGTGCCAGGTGATGGACTACCAAGATATATTCATACCTCAAGCCACGCTTTGTGAAATGTATAGCCCGCGGATGAGAGATTTATTCAAACAAGTGGCCGCCGCAGGGCCTTCTGGCCTGCCCGCCCTCTTCCACGCTGTTGCGCAACGACGAATCGTGTATGCCCAAACGGTGCCTCAAATACGTAACACCATAGCGCATCAGAAAAGCCTTCTTGGACAGCAGGACATGCTCAACACCCAGAGCACCTTCCACATGGTTAAGGGCCACATGGACCAAATATCATATGGAACGCCTTACACGTACAGCGCGGCTGGTGTTGGATCTGGTTTTGCGAACATGGACTTGCTCCAATCCGCGCAGCTAAGGCAAGAAACATTTGGGATGGTAGCAGGGGCCCAGAATGCATCTTTAGAGGTGGCGGCGCTCGAGAAGCAGTGGAGGGCAGTGGAGTAGGATACGTGAAGTAGGCCTAGAGCGTTAGAAGCAAGCCAAGCACAAACCATTATAGATATGTTCATGTTTAGACCTTGCTTGTTTTTCTTTCACTCATTATTGCATTGAATGGACATCTGAAACTTTCACCTACGAGAACTGTGAACACGGGAGGGTCTCTTTCCCCAAAGCAGATGGCAAACACGCTCGTTCTATGCCATCGTCCATAGCAGGAGCACCATCATTGCATGTTCTGAACTCTAATGGATCAGGTATTCATCTTGGCGGCAGTGGGTTTTACTTTCACTTTAGCGAGAACAGTTCTGTGTTTGGACGTAAATAGGCTTGATATCAAGAGACATTTATCATCTATCCTATTCAAACTTTATTTGGGTTGCGGTTTAATCCTTCTTCGGCCGCCTTGATTTGCAACGCAAGATACTTGGAGTAGATGCGGCAAATCGCAAGGTTCCCGCCCATATACCAGAAATTAGGATGGCCACTGGGTCGCCACATCTAAACATAAAATCATTAGCATAGGTCAGGATGATCTGGTGTTTAGGACGAGTACTCACGGCATTCAGTTCACCCTCCTCATCAAGATCCCACACATCCTTCAGCCGGGATGCAACCTTGTCACCCATAATCTTCTGTGCCGTGGTCTTCATGTTGTCGAAACCAGTGGCCAAGACTACGATGTCAGCCTTGAGCTCAGTGCCATCCTTGAGAACAAGCGCATCAGGAGTGAATCCAGTGATTCCTCCAGGGCTTTGGTGAACCTTGATCTTGCCGTCGATGATAAGCTTGCTGCATCCAACATCAATGTAGTATCCACCACCGCGTGTGTAGTAGAGTCGCGCAATCCCGGAACCATCGATGGCGTAGTCAAGCTTAAACCCGGCACGCTCAAGACCCTCGATGGTTTCTTTGTCGGCCGCGGAGATGCGTTTTGTCCCTTCTTTGTTGAGGGCGAATTGGACGGGGAAGGGCAAGCTCTCGCCGACAACATCACACTCGTCCGTTGGTGGTCTGGAAACAGCAAACATCAATAAACGAATGAAGGAACACAATCAAAACAATGGTTGACTTACCCGTTATCCTCGTGCATTCCCTCGTGGAGCAAGAACACACCCTTGTCCAAGGACAAAACATATGTTCCTCTTCGCTGAAGCATGGTCACCTCGGCGCCAGCGTAGTGAAAATCCTCGGCAATATCGTGGCCACTGTTGCCAGTTCCAACAACGATAACCTTCTTGCCCTTGAATTTAGACTCTGACGCCTCATCATGCTGACTGCCATGATATACCTGGCCTTTGAACTCTGCTTGCCCTGGGAAGGAAGGGACTAATGGTTCTCCAGCGTGGCCAGTGCAAAGAATGACATGCTTTGGCTGAAGTGTTCGTTGGTTACCATCCCGGATGATATCCACGCTCCACTGCGCCTTGTCATCATCAAAGCTGGAGTTAGTCAATGTCGTCTTAGTCCAGACATTGAGTTCCATCAAAGAAACATAGGCCTCAAACCAATCGCCCAGCTTATCTTTAGGTGTGAATTGCGGCCAGTTCTTGGGAAATGGGAGGTAGGCCATGTGTGTGAACTCTGCTGGATCGTGTGTGACGAGGGTCTGTTAAGTGTTAGCATCGCTTTCAATCTCATTCTTGTTCCTGGTTGAATATAGACTCACCCTGTATCTGTTTCTCCAATTGTCACCGACCCGGTCGTTTTTGTCGATAATCAGAACCGAGAGTCCCAGTGATTGAAGACGAGCGGCAACGTTCAGACCAGATTGACCTAGTTGAAAATATTAATCACTCCCCTTTCTCTCGATTCCGCAAGGTTTGAAGAGGTCGAAGAACTCACCAGCTCCAACAACAAGCACTTGGGGATCCTCGTCAAGGAAATCAACCTGCCGCTTCCGGCGCTCGCTCCATGTCCCCTTCGACAGGCCCCCTGGCATGGAATCAATTGTTCCATACCAACGCTTCTCCACCAATGGCTCATCATGGGCTTTCAGTGTTTGCAGGGCAGTGTACACAGCAAAAGCCTTCCAGACTCCAGGGCGCTCCTGAGTCAGTCGCAAGACACCCGACCCAGTGCCGATTGGAGACTCAAAATGAAATAGCGAAGAGATCCACGCCAACCCGGTCTTTTCATTGACTATTTCAAGTCGCGGCTGGAACTTCCCAGTCTCGTGCAGACGAAAGCTTGATAGGGGTCCTGATTCCTTGTTTTGGGACAAGAAGTTCTGGATGGCTTCACGCCCGTGAATGGTGCGGAAGTCCCATTGCAACGCGATAATATCGCGCCACCAGGAATCTTCATTGAAGAGGTCTCCAAGATTAGAGAAATCTCCGGATGAAAAGGCAGCTTCCAGGTTACTGAGCCATTGTTGTGCCACTCTCCATGCATTGGGCACGGACGTGACCGGGGCGGTCTCTGGGAGGTCGATGATATGATCGTACCTCTTGGGCGGGGCGTCCTCTCTCAATGCAATTGGGGACATTTTGGGCTTCAATGTTCCAAGATCGAATAAATGCTACGGAGAGCTTTTGTGCAGAACAACGGCCACACGTTGATTCGAGCGAGGTAAGACTAATGATGCTGGAATGATCGTTCACTTCGGAGAACTGGTCGCAATATTTAAAAATTTCAGAAGCACAGAGGAGTATCCTTCAGAGCATCTCTTGTCTCCATCAATAGATCATCGCTGAAAAGCAAATATGTGCTGACGTGGAACGTTCGATGCGCTGAATAGCAGGACATGTGATGCTTGGCGGGACCCTGCCGACCAGTCGGACACCATGACCGTCAGTATGTCCGCACCTCAGCATACTGCGGAGTAACCCCATCGAAAGTAGCTTGGGGAAGTCACAAGACAGAGATCGACTAATCTTTTCCGTGAGCTGTCTTTGATGCCAAACAGCCGTGGGATCGGTGCCCAAGTGTGGGGGGCAAGCTAAGCTCCGAGAACGGAGTTTCGTCCGGGGATGGAGATGAGACCGAGCGGCGATGTGCCGAGCGCCAACTCCTCACCCTTTCCCTTATATTAGATAGTGGAGAAAAGCTGGAGATCTAACAGGAGGTTGATATCGAATGAGAATGAAGTATGCATTCTGTTGAGATAGCTCTGAAGCTGTATGTCGGATACTCTCCCGCCTAGCGATCTGGGGAACACACCAAGCACGAAAGGGGAAGGGTATTAGCTGGCACAGCCATACCAAGAGCCAAGATGTCCGCGGCAATCACTCCATAACCCTACTTCCTGTGTGAAATCCCAGTTGTAAATGGATTTTTCAAAATATCAATATTGAATTCGGAACATATTGCAAGTGATCTGTCCCCAGGCGATACATGTACTTGATTTCACCTACTGGCGAGAAGGCATCGCAAATAAAATAGCCCTTCCACTTTTCTTTGTATTAATTACGTGCAAGAGTAATATGAGAGTCACACTTGACTACATAACATGGGACTATGGAAACGTAGTATCAGGCCGCTCTTAGACTAGCGAGCCGTATAACCACCATCGACTACCATCGAGGTTCCAGTAACCCAACATGCATCCTCACTTGCGAGGACAACAGCGAATCTGGCAACGTCTTCTGGTTTTCCCGGGCCATTAAAAGGATGCTTCCGTTGCAAATCTTCAATTGTCGTCTCTCTTGCGGTGGTTTCTTTGAAAATTGATGTTTGGATATCTAAACTCAGGTTAGGTCTTCCGCTTTTTACGTAGGCAGACGGTTCAGCTTACAGCCGGGACAAATAGCATTGACATGGATTCGAGATGATGCGTAGTCAAGGGCAACCTGCCGAGTCAAGCTGCTCACTGCTCCCTTTGAGGCGCAGTACGATGCTAAAGTGCTCATTAGTGTGTGGGCAACGAGGGGTATGATGTTGACAGCACCCACGGTTGCTCGGCCCTCCAATCAAGGCCATGATAGATGAAATATTCACTATCCAACCCCGATCTCCAGATTGATGGGGCGCCTGTGCAAGCATCTGGCCGATAGCGTACTTGCAGCCAAGAAAGACCGACTTTGAGTTAACCATCATTGTCTTATCCCACAAATCTTCATCAGTTGTGTGAACCTGTGCTGGCGGTCGAAGCGCCTCTAGACCGACTCCTGCGTTGTTCACCAGACTATTGTAATTGTTAGAAATGCATATAGAAACAGTTCATAGATTGAAATCATGACTTACATATCTAATCTTCCATACTCTGTTACTGCAGCTTGGACGACAGCTTTCCAGTCAGAAGCGGAGGTAACATCAGTTCTGACGAATGTCGCCTTTCCGCCATTCTGGATGATCAACTCGTGTGTCTCGATATTGTTATCCTCTGAGTCCGGGAGACGAGCCGACGGCTTCAGGTCTGCACACACAACCTTTGCGCCCTCCTCAGCGTATCTTAATGCAATAGCTCGACCCAGTCCAGAGGAGGACCCGGTGACGATGCTAACCTTGTCTTCTAGACGCGGTGACATATTGAAGAGCTGGATTCAATTATAGTCATATAATTGCTCTTTCAATTCATCCAAGAATAAATCTTCCTGTTGGGGTGATTGAATGTTACGAACTGGAGATATATATAACCTGTATATCGATCGACTTTGTCTCATCTTGGGCTGCAAGCTGTGGCTCGCCACGCGGAGTTGATACCGAAGGTGGGGAGGAATTGCTACGTCAGCTCGCATGTGATCACTGCTACTTTCCTCACAAAATAGTGTTGCATTTTGTGGGAGAAGTTGGCTTTTGTGCCCAGAGTGGCCTTCTCGTGCAGGTGCATCAATGCATTAATTAGGTGGCAGCAAGACAAGTAAGAGTCACTGTTGCGTGGATCATGTTTTCAATGAGACAGTATCTTACCATCATGGAGAGCTCTTCGAGATTGAGTGGGACAATGGTGTGTGAAAGCGAGCAGTAATTTATACTTTCTATGTATTATTGACCGAAAATCTCGTCGTACCCTGTCATGGTAAATCGGTAACGAACATCGCCCTTCTTCATACGTGAGATTGCCTCTTGAAGTCCATCCTGGCCAAGCTTGAGTTCTTCGACCCAGCCCTCCAGCCCATTGTCTGCCGCAAGTTTCAACATATCAAGCGTCTCCCGTCTGCTTCCAAGGTGGCTAGCGCCAATCAAAACGCCGTTCGAGACGAGATTCTGAGCTTTGATGACTTGCCCTTCCTCTTCTGGGAGACCGACGGAAATCCATCGGCCATGAACGTCCATCAGAGAGAGATATTTCGCAAGGTCAAACCCGGAGGATGAGTTCGCACAATTGACAATTAAGTCAAACGTACAAAGGTGAGCAGTCTCCCAACCTCCCTCGGCTGTCGCGATAAACCCATCAGCTCCCAATTTGCGAGCTTCAGCCTCTTTTGCCCTAGATCGCGAGATTGCCCAAGTCTCGGCGCCCAAAGCCTTGGCAAACATAATTCCAAAATGGCCAATGCCTCCAATTCCAACTATTCCAACCTTTTTGCCTTTCCCAGCTCCATGTCGTACCAAGGGTGAGTATGCAGTTAACCCAGCACACAGCATCGGAGCCACGGTCTTGGTACTCAACGCGTCCGGGATAGGAAACACCCAGTACTCGTGGGCTCTAATATGAGATGCTAGTCCACCTTGACTAATTATTCCCGTCCCCGGCCATTCGGAGCCGTAAGTGTTGATCAAGTTTACCTGGCAGTAGGTCTCGTTGTCTTCGCGGCACTGCTTGCAGTCTCCACAGGAGTACACCTGAGCACCGACTCCGACTCGCTGACCTTGCTTTACAAGAGTTACTTTGGGTCCAACTCGGACGGCGTGGCCAACAATCTCTGTGTCGGGGTTAGTAGCAACACCGTTGATGGGAAAGCATGTTTCTCACCATGTCCCACGCAAAGAGGAAAGTTTTGTTTTCCCCATCCTCCGGTTACGGTGTGGACATCGCTTCCGCATACACCGCAAGCATCAATTTTGATGTCAACATCTATAGAAGTCAGTGGTGTTGCGACACTCGGAGATACACAAGGCTCGGGTCTCACCATAGTCACCCACTGGCTTCAATTTAAACTTAATTATATCTTCTCGTTAGTAAACGAAAAAAAAAGCCAGAGATTTGTACCAAGGCTTCGTGGGATGAAGTCTCTCCACGGTTTAAAGGGTCTCAAAGAACCTACCGAACGCTTGTGAAACTCAGGCGGATTTCCTGGGCCATCAACTTGAAAGCCTTCAGTCTCTGCCGGAAATGCCATTATGGAAGCAGTGCAGAGGAACAAATGATATCAATGAAAGTGAAAATATCTAGCGTTCAAGTAAGGTAGTGTAAGCAAGTTTGATTCCACCCTTTCAGGAACCTTATATTGTGTCTCATATGAATCGTGAGCGGGGACAAGTATTCGGATGCCATCGAAGCATCTGACTATCATGCAGGATACCATCCCGAAAGCGGACAGATGCCTCCACAGAGCTATGCAAAGGCATGACTGGAGTACGTAAAATTTCATCGTAACTGTAGGCGTCTCACGTGAAGTTCCAATTAGCGGGCGTAATGCCGAACGTATCGGATCTAGGGCCGGGGAGTTAGGACCAATATACCGTCGGTATTCGGCCGTTTTGAGTGGAAGAAATGTAGTCACGCGCTCGTAGAATCAGACACTCAGTCGATCTCAGTTTGTATCCCGGGGATTCCCAGTCGCGCATCTCTCACCCTGGGGGAAAGACCGAGAGATCGAAATTACACGTGGCGCACGCCAACTAACCACCACTTTAGTCACGAGAACAATTTTGGGAAATCTTTGTGTATGAAGAGAAAATAATTAATACAAGACAAATATTGTAGATGCACGCCTACTTAATGAAGCGGTTGAGATAGAAGTTTAGAACAACCAAACCACACATCTCCTTCAACCGCCACCATGGACATCCTTAGCAAGAAGCCCGTCAACCTCGCGGTACATACCAACCCCGACCACGATCTACGTCTAGTAGAATGTGAGATCCCGGAGATTGGGCAATACGATTGTCTTGTTCACGTTCGAGCGTCTGGAATCTGCGGTTCTGACGTCCACTTCTGGAAGCACGGGCGGATTGGCCCCATGGTAGTCACAGGAGACTATGGTCTTGGCCATGAGAGTGCCGGAGTCATTTTGAAAGTTGGAGAATCGGTGACACGTTTCAAAGCCGGTATGATACTCAGCTATATCCGCTTATCTTCTCGTCCTCACTAATCGAGGTGTAGGCGATCGCGTGGCGTTGGAATGCGGGGTTCCTTGCTCAAAGCCTACCTGTTTCTATTGTCGGACAGGTAGATATAACGCGTGCCCAGACGTTGTATTCTTCTCTACTCCGCCTTACAGCGGAGTACTGCGGCGATATCATGCTCACCCCGAAGCTTGGCTACACAAGCTCCCCGACCACGTTTCGTTTGAAGAGGGGTCATTGGTTGAACCCCTCTCAGTTGCTCTTGCGGGCATCGACCGCTCCGGTCTCCGACTCGCGGATCCTCTTGTAATCTGTGGTGCTGGCCCTATTGGGCTTACTTCTCTGCTAGCTGCGAACGCTGCAGGGGCTGAACCGATCGTCATCACCGACTTGGACGAGGGGCGGCTTGCGAAAGCCAAAGAACTCATTCCCCGTGTTCGTACAGTTCTGGTCGAGAAGGGCCAAGACTCGAAGGCCATCGCTGCAAGGATTGTCGAACAACTTGGCCAAGAAGCCAAGCTTGTGCTGGAGTGTACAGGCGTTGAGAGCAGCATCCACTCCGGTATTTATGTAAGAATTAATATAACCCCCATGAAGATTTCCTGGATTACATGTTCTGAAATAGCACTAACGATTATGCCTGCGTAGGCTACGCGATTTGGCGGCTCTGTTTTTGTCATTGGTGTTGGTAAAGATTTCCAAAATATTCCTTTCATGCACCTATCTGCAAACGAAATCGATTTGAAGTTTCAATACCGATATCATGACGTTTACCCCAAGGCAATCAGTCTGGTGGCGGCTGGTATGATTGATCTTAAACCATTGGTCTCTCATCGTTTCAAGTTGGAAGAAGGAGTCGAGGCTTTCAAAGCGGCAAGTACGCCTGCAGCTAGAGCAATCAAGGTCCAAATCTTGGACGAATAAGAAATATAGTGGCAATTCTTAATGATAAATCGTCACCTAATCCAGGTTGTAGCGAGTATCGCTCATCCTTAACGCTTTATCAAGTAGAGTCTGGTTCCTCAGATACCTACCATTACCATACCTTGTCAAGACTAATTCCTATATTCCTTGACACATGCTGACCCCTTGAGTGTTTCGGATCGTCATCTTTTGCCCATGCGGAATTCAGTTTGTCTGACTCTCTAGTACTAACTAGCTAACACCGCATGAAACTTACCCGAGGAACCTGTATAAGACCTCAATTTCGGCGTAAATCGGATTTTACTCTCACATAGGCCGGGCCTTTTACAATGAAGATGATCTGGACTTCATTGGGACAGGTGTGTTGGCAATAACACGGTGATTAAGGTGCTCGGGGCTATCTCCGAGTGTGTCGAAGCCCACCAAACCGGCCTCGGGCTTGCGCCGAGGCCAATAATGATGCTCCAACGGAGTGGGATCGTCAATGCAGCGGATACGGAGCAAAGTGCGGGGCGAAATCCTACACTCAAGAGCTGGAATTCCGACCTTGAAGTCAGCCCAACATGAACCACAATTCTGGGCATGTGACAATGGCGAGAAGATGCATATTGTCGTGTTCCATCGGCTTGACAAATAGGAACAGTTATTTTTGGGATCCATATGTTATTCAGATAGGCAGAATCAAGCATGTACACGCTCAATTCTGCCATATATCCCGATGTATGTGTAAACTATCTACATGCTACCACTACTATCCTCCGTAGTCGGGAGACAAACATCAAAGAATGTCCCTCCCGAATCCAATTAGAGCCCCTGATTCTTCCCAATACCGGGCTAGGCAAATGCCTGGTCAGTCAAGAGGAAGCGCTAATTGTCAACCCTCAAGCAACATTGTCAACATCCTCCGCATGCTCCACTGCTACATCCTGGGCCTTCCCATCCGCGGCTGCCGCCATGGCAACACGGCTAGCCTCCGCATCAATAGCCTCCTGTGGTCGCTTTGAGGACTTGGCAGTCTTGTCGCCGATCGCAATGATTGTGGAATGCCCCGAGTCGATGTCGAAGTAAGCATTGAGGTCCTCGAGTGTTCGGTTGGCGGTCTCCGGGTAGAGGAAGTAGACGACAAAAATGAAAGCCAAGTTGAAGACGGCAAAAACTAAGCATTTGCGTTTAGCAGGAGATCTTTCGTTTGCTGTAAGAGAGGTCATCTTACTGATATAGAATCGATATCCAATATTTTCAATTCCCGTAGGTGTAAACTGGGTGCAGACGAAGCCAAAGAGCTTTGGTGGGATTTGTTAGCAATCTTTCATGTAACAAACAGTTGGAAATAAAAAACGGGGGATAGGAGAACTCACCCAATTCGTCGATGTAGCAGCGGCAGCGCCAACAGTTCTCATAGCGAGCGAGTTGACCTCAGATTGGTAGACCCATGGAACCATGCCCCAAGTGCACCCGAAGGCGGCGTAGTAGAAGAACAGGAACGAAATCGCCACGACACCCCACTGCTCCTGTTAGTGGTCTGTTTGATAAAGTTCGAAGAGGGTTATTACCTCGAATGGTGCTGTAGATAGCAATCCCACAGAAATAGCGACCATAACATAGGCCAAGCTTTGCAGGGACAATCCGGTAAGCATCAGGATTCGGCGACCAAACCTATCAATAATCCAGAAGGCGCAAGCTGAAGAAATCATGTACGATGTAGCGTTGCAGCCGGTCAGAATTCTTGCAAGCATCTCGTCGAGGCCGACATTCTTTGTCAAGATGATTGTAAAGTAATAGTTCAGTGCGTTGATTCCTCCAAATTGCTGCAAAAAGTGTAAGCTTGGGAGCCTTCAATATACAAGGATAGCCTGGTCATGAACTCACTTGCATGAACTGCCCACCACAGCCAAGGAGAAGACGCTTCAAATGACCAGAGCGGTCCCGACCGGTCAGGACAGAAATGAAGGAGATCTGAGACTGTTTCTCAATCAAAATTGCACCCTTGATTGAGCGATACTCGTCTTGGACAATGGGATCGTTCGATGAGAGCCCATTCCCAGAGTAACGGCGAATGACTTCAAGCCCTTCGTCGCTTCGATCATTCATCAGCAGCCAACGAGGGCTCTCAGGAACAAAGGCCAGGAACGTCATCATGAAAAGGCAGGGAACAATCTATGAGGTTAGCTCAACTGCAATCAGTTAAAAGGCAAGAATGTTCTTACCTGTAAAGCTAGTGGCAGACGCCATTGCCAACCTCCCGAGGCGAAGGAGCAGGCCAGAGTGAGCCATGTCGCGATGCAGTAGAACACGACGTTATGAAGGACCACGATGACGGATAGTTTTCCTCTACGGGTGCTGGCGCAAGACTCGGCTTGAAAGATACCACAAGTAGAAGATAACATGCCTGCGAATCACAAGTACTTTTAGTCAGGGTGAACAGATTATGAACACCGATCAGGTAGACCTACCGTTACCCACGCCGTTGATCACTCGCCCAACGATCAGTTGCGGGAACGAAAACGCCGAGAACTGCAGAACAGCCCCGATAGCGCTGACGACACCGCCAACCCTGAGGGTATTCTTCCTTCCTAGACGGTCGCCATAAATAGCGGCCAGCAAACAGCCAAGCAGGTTACCAAGCTAATTCAAAGTAAGTCATTATAGGTCAATTTAGTTGCTGTCGGTGGTATGTAACTTACAGAGAAACAGCTCGCTGTGATGCCTTGTATGTCAGCCTTCTCGGTCTCTGGGAAGACCTTGATGAAGTCCGGACTGATGAGCATTCCGCTCACAACACCCTGGTATCTAGTTAGGCTACGTCGGGCTCTGGGAAGTGATGGAGAATGATAACGAACCTGATCGTACCCATACCAGGCTTGAGCGGCGGAGTTGGCCGCCGTCAAAACGATCTCAAGGCCGTTTCCCTCCAACATGATCAACGGCAAGTCAGCGGTCAGTGCGTGAGAAAGTAGCGATTGATAAGACTGTGCATGAACGAAGATGTTCAAATAATGGTGATTGATGATATCACACTATGGGGAAACCATTGAGCTATATACTAGCCGTGGCAAGGCGAGCACGCATGGCTTCACAAGATGGAAATTGACCTTGAGCAATCCCAATTCCCGACGTGCTGGATGGATCTGGGGCCCCGGACCCGGTCAAGCGAAGCGAGTCAAGCGACATGGCTCCCCCATGGGGTTTGCGAGAACGGACTTGCGCCGAGCCAGTCCCATGGCTGGTCTCCCTGCAATCCCCACCAGCCTCACCATGCTAACACTCACTGGGAATAGACAAAACATTGGAGAAGAGACTGCCTCCGTCCAATGGTGACGTGACTCTGGAGCTGGCACATTACGTAACCCGCATATCAACATTCCCAGCTGATCCTCGGAGATGATTCTCCCTCAAAGCAGGCCATGGGCTTTCTCCGCAGATCTCCCCCTCTACCATCGCGCAGGATGCCCGAAATCCTGAGCTGGGCTCCGAACCATGACCGAGTCGAACGACCACAACCGGGTACTACGCAAGTCCTTCGCTTGCGATGAGTGTAAGCGACGCAAGATCCGCTGTTCGGGTGGTGACCGATGCGCCAATTGCTCTCGGGACTCCAAGGACTGCCGGTACTCGTCCCCATCGCAGAGACTGGTGTCGCTGCAGAGGTGAGCAGCTAACTCCCTTGCTTAATCATCTTGGCAATCTCTCATACGTCATGCAATAGGCGACTGCGGGAGAGCGAGGCCATTCGCTCGGATATGGTCAAGGCCTGGAGGCTGCATCTCCCGGGAGTAGATCTGGAAGCTGCTCTACGCAGTCTCCCCAAAGAGCCGGCAGATTCCCAAGAGGCACTCCCATGTGAAGCCGAAGATGTGATGCAAGTGAATGATGCAGTGGGCCAAAAGAATGAGGCAACCGATGATGGGATTGAAGAGCCAGCGGAAACCCCGATGGAACCGACCAACGCTGAGGACTATGAGTTTGATGAATCTCTAGATGTAGAAGGTTCCATCGACGGCATGGCATTTCTGACAGCGGGTCCACACAAAGCTGGCTACACTGGACCGCAATCTGGCATTGCTGCTCTCAAGTTCCTCCAATCGCTTCCGCCGTATCTACCCATCCTATATGCATCTCCTTTATCTAATCCCGACGACCATGACATCCCCGAAGCATCATCTCAAACATCAGCAACCATCAACCATTACATCGATGAATATTTCTCGCTCTACCACCCAGCATACCCCATCCTTCACGAAGGAACATTCAGAGCTCGAGTGTCTGGTAAGCTTTACAACAACTTAGCCTTCGAGTGAACGGGGTCTAACTTAAAATCAGGCGCACTTGCAAAACCCAGAGACGGCTCCTGGCCCTTGTTATACAGTTCCGTTCTCGCCATTGGTGCATTTGTCAGCGGACCTAATAGTATGAGGAATGATTTGCCTTTCTTCAAAGAGGCTCGAAAACACCTGAGCATGGACATTCTTGAGAAGGGCTCGCTCAGCTACGTCCAGGCCTTAACTCTGTTGGCGAACTATATGCAGAAACGCAATAAACCCAACGCAGGGTTCATCCTTATTGGCATCGCCTTCAGCATGGCATTGGCCATCGGCCTGCACAGGGAGTTCGACACGCCCACCACATCGCCTTTCACCATGGAGATACGCCGGCGTGTCTGGTGGACTTTGTTTGTGTTTGTGTCTGGTGCACAGCTGGCCCTGGGACGTCCCGCAGCCTCTCTGGTTGGGGTGAATGTCCAGCTTCCCGCGAATCTCGATGACTGGGACCTTGCCGTGGATATGGACGAAATGCCACCGCCCAAGCCTGAGCCTACCGTTTCGTCCTGCCTCATAATGCAGGTCAAGCTAGCAAAGGTTGCAAACACCGTGCATAGCGAGCTTCTGACTCATCGTCGCCCGAGCTACGCGAAGGCGATGAAGTTGGAGGAGATCATCCAGTCATGGTGGAGTAATCTTCCTCCTTATTTTGACGAAGCGACTATTTTAGAACCTAAACTGGAGTTCCCCAAGAGGGTGCTCCTCTGGAGATCATTTAATTTACGAATAGTGTTGAACCGGCCCTTCTTATTCGAGAATATCGCCGCGGGAGCACAGCTCGACATTTCAATCAAGCCCATCAATTCATGCATCACGGCAGCAGATGAATGCGTCACTTCTATTTGCGGATTCATGAAATCCATCGAGATGCCCAGGAGAGGCTTTGCTTGGTATGCGACTGCATGGTTGATCACCGCCAGTTTCGTGCAGGCGACATGCTTAATTTACAGCCCCAACCATCCGCTTTCCGCAGGCTGGAAGGTCTCTCTCTTTCAAGCCGTCGAGTGTTTACAAGTACTCGGATCCTCGCTAGACGTTGCGCTTCGCGCCAAAGACATCATTCAAAATGTATTGGGTAAGCCTCGCTCAACTCGTACTTCTCGTGACAGCAAAATAACCAAGAGCCTCAACATGCAGAGAATCGGGGCTTCTCGAGTCCTGCTCCCGCCGGGAGCATGAATCCAATATCGACGACATTATCAAGACTTGGCGTGAACATGCCTGAGAATTCAGCCGCCAGCACCAATCAAGCCCCGAGTGATCTCTCTTCCATGTGGTCTGAGGACTGGTTCACCCGGCTACCTCAAGGTGGTGATAATTCTGACTTTCTCGGCGCTGCTAGCGGTTTGATGTATGGCAATGTCTTTGATGTATCGTAATAAAGAGAGAGCTCGGTGGTGTATTGTAGTGGTGAATAAAGGATGAGAATGCGTACCAACAACTACCCTGTATCCCCTTCTTCATGTTGTTTAAACAGCCATCACAACGCAGATATCAACTAAGAAAGCAAGTTAGTAATAATAAGGGCGTCTCTATTCGACGTTAATGACAGGAAGAATTCTTGAGATTAATTTGTATCTGGATTTCTCATTTCATCGTCCGATTGCAAGTTTCTTACTGACAGCCACGCTAGTCATGATTAAAACATACAGCTTTCCTGACAGTCAACAACTTGCCAAAATAGTCTGAACTAATTTTATTTAAATTGAAAATCAAGTAGGCAAACTCTGGATCTGAATTTCTGATTGGATTAAAATCAACCAGAATTAAACCCACAGCTCAGATCACAGATTCGCCAGACTTATGGGCGACCAATCAGAAAAAGTTCTTACATTTATTTCGCTGGCAATAAACTTCCAAACACTGCGATCAGCTTGCAATGGAAGCTTCTACAAGATGACGTGGATAGCTGAAGCTTCTTGTGAAAGCAAGGCTTAGGGATAACCTTAATGTAATTTCAAATCATAATGTGCTGGAAAAGGACCAGACCATAGCTGCCCAAGGGCCAGAAAGTTACAAAGCAATGGCCACCATTTGTTGTTTATCTATATAGTGACGCTAGAGTTTCTAGAGAACTAAGATTCATCTTATATTCTATATATATTCATTCTATATACATAAAAAATAAGTTATAAAATCAATAGTAGCCATTAGGAATAGAAGGGATCCAAAGATATAGCTCTTATATTATTAGGAGATATAAGTAGCTTAAACCTCTAGCTACCTTATACTTTAACCGATATTATTCAATATACTTCGAAGTCCAGTGATAGCCCTCTTAAATTACCCATAAAGCTTTTAATCGCCTAGAGGCTAATAACTCTCTAGTTTAAAGTTATAGGTTTCAGGATTCTAATTAAGTCCCTATCCTTAAATAGTCTTAAGCCTATAAGAATTATTTAGCTAGGTCCTAGCCCCTTCCGCGGAGGCAGGTATATTAAGCATAATAATTAACACCTTAATCTAGTTAAGTATATAGTATATCCCTAGAATTAGAGATAAGTCATAAGTCAGTAATATATAGCAGAGGGTAAGATATCTAAGATTTATACTATAGGTAGTACAGTACCCGGCTAGGAGATTAGGGGTAGAGTACCAGTCATAGAGCTCAGTAAGGAATTTAAGCCACTTACTAGGCGCTACACAAACAATATTAAGAGCGAGGTTAAAATCTCTAATAAAAATTTAGTTTTACCCACCTCAACAACCCCGATTAATAATTCAATCATCCCGCATCTAGCACGTAATAGTCTCACGGGCCTTATAGTTAACAAAGGATAACGAGGGCACATTTAGCTAGAACTTTCTAAGGGCCTTATAGCTAGAATCAAGGGTAGTTTAGTCTAGTTAGTCTAATTCCAGCTCAGCATCATTAGTGAATAGTCTATAGCTTAAGTACTATTTCACGTAGAAGTAAAGGGCTAGCGCATTAGCGCTAGGCAAGGCCTTAGACTAGATCTACTCACGTAATTCTAGAGGAAGGCAGGAGAATAATAGAAACGCTAGGGGGCTACTAGAAGGTTCATCTATAGTCGTTACAGAGAGTCTTATCACTAAGCGTTAGGCATAGTATAAACGGATGAAGAAGGTTCAAACTACTATAGGGAGGTATAATACTAGCTAGGAAACGTTTATACTTTAGCTAGTGCGTACTCTCACGCCTACGTTCACTTATTAGTATATATATATATAAAGGTAGTATTATAGGTGTTAGGATACTACTAGAATAAGTTAGCACTATAATAAATTATTAAAATTTACAAGAAAAATAAAATAGTCTCTTAAAAATAAAGATAGGATACTAATTTATAAATACTAGCAATATATATAGCTTTTATAGTTATTTTTTTTTACTATTTATAGTTCTTAATCCTTTTAAATCTAATATACTTTTTTCAAGTAATATCTATTAGCCTTATATAATATTACCTTAAAAAGTCTTTAATTATATATCTTATCCCTAATTATGTATAGCTTGACTAAGTAGTATCTAGGCTATACTTAAGAGAGTCTAGCTACTAATGATCTAAGTATATATAGGATAGACTATTAGCCCTTCCTATTAACCTAAGGCTACTTATAAAAGTAGTAGTATTACTTATCTCTAAATTCTAGTATTATAACTAGATCCTAGAAAATATACATTAAGAACACAGCCTTCTTAGTTATACTATTTAGAGTAATAAAGCTTGATCTTATTCAGAAGCATCCTTAGCTTTGCCCTAAAAGAAATATTACTATATCTACGATACTACGTAGAGTGGCCATAAGCACCTATTAACTACTAGATCACAAGAGGATTAATCACTTATCTAGAAGATTCTCTTATTATCTTTTTAGGTTGTGGAAAATTATTATTAGTGACTATACGGATATAATTAGCTAATAAATCACGAGGGCCCTAACTAAGAGAAAATAACACAGTTAATTTCTATTTTTTCCTTTCTTGTTTTCTTTTTTGATTGGATAGAAAACCAAATGCGGCTTGCCAAAAGTTCAAATCAGAAAGCCGATTGAGTTGCATTTGGCGAATCAAATAATTGATTTAATATGTTCGACCTATTCAAACTTTACAACAGAAACCCCGCAACCAAACGCTTAACTCTGATTTTGAGCCGCACCAAACCTCAATGTTAAAGAGAGCACGTATTGCAGACCTTGGCCGAGATGTGAATCAGTCGTAAACCGCACTTTTTTTTTTCTTTCCACAGGGTAATCAATTTTGATTCGGTCATTCATTTCAGATAATGCCTGTCGCCAGGCGAAGCACTCCAAGTTGTCACAAGTAGTTATCAATTCCTCTCGGGAAATGGATACACTCTTGATTCAAATCCTGCAAGTCCAGGGTAATGATTGAAAGTAACAACAACATCAGATCCCCGGTGCACGGATGTAATTTTAATTTTAGGTGACTCACTGGCGAGGTGGTAGAATGACTGCCTCTTGCGAACTTACATGTAGGTTTGAGGTCCGCGTGTTGCCCTGTTCGCTCTTTGGTTGAGGGGCGACCGCGGCAGGAGTTACTTCTCTGTCGAAAGGTACTGACTCTGTTATTATTTGCCCAGGTCTGTTATGATTTCGCTCAAAAGAGATGCACTTTCGACAAACTCAGTCGTCCGGACGGCATGAATACAACTTAGTTTCAAGTTTGCCCCCATTGAGTTACCAGTGATGACTCCATCTACCATGCGTGACGGCATAAGTTGCCCAGACATTGAGTCTATCCAAGTCATCTAACACTTTAACTCACTCTGTTTCTTCATTATTCCAAATTGGATTAAATCTGCAGATTTTCTAAGTTATTTCAAACCTTCGACCAGGAATTAGTCCAATCAAGAAATCCTAAACCTCCAGCTCGCTTTGCCACGTAAACCCTGAGATTGAGTCAGCGAAATCTTCACAAGAAATTGGAAACTTAACCACTTGTTGTCAGACAGCTGCCAGGATCACTCGCTGTCGCTCCTGGCCCAAATGTCTATAAAGCCAGGCCTTCTCCCCCTCTTTCCTGACTTTCCTTTCCTCCTTCCATCAACCGGTATCGAAAGCACACTCCCACACAAGCACACGATTACGAACAACCAACGAACGAACGAACACACAAGCGGAACGGCAAGAACACAGCACGCACCAGAACCCTCGTTAGTATCTTCTCATAGTTATTTAATATATTATTAACATGTTTACTGACCCTTATTGAACGCGTCACAGTCGCATCGTAAATCGTCGTCTCTCGAATCACCCCAACTTTCTCCATCAACCAACGGATGTGGGTACACACCTATCATCAACTGACTTCTACCACAACACCCCTTGCCAATATCGTCATTTGTGTTGAGTTGATTATTAACCCGTGAATGTTTATGAATTTGTAGATCAACTCGTCAAGCCAATTTTTCACGATGATCTCCGCAGCACTCTTCAAAAAGCCAATCGACGCGTCCAGCATGCTCGACAAGTCGTACCTGTCGGAGCTGCGCCACCCATGCGGGGGCGGCCATGATGACTGCGGTACGACTGCGATCGACGACCGACCCGGACGCCGCCGGAGCGGGCTACGAAGAGCGGCTCGATGGGTGAAGGAGAAGTTGGAGTGGTGGTTGAGAGATCGAGGCATAGATCGGTATGACAAATTTGTGGAAGGAGTCGTCCAGACGCGCAAGCAGACGGACGACCCGGTACGCAAATCCCCTAAGAAAGTACGTTTCGGACGGGCCACACGATTTATGTCGACCGGCGAGACGATTTACGATCCTCGGGAAAGAGCGATGGTTATGGGGACGCTGAGCAAGAGGAGGAAAGGGTTAAAATAAACATATCTTGGTCTGGAGGAGCGGAGGAGTGGAGGACATCACGAATGGCAGGGAATCGTTGGGCAAGGTTTGGTAGAGGGTTTGCTAACTGTGGACAGGTTGCTTTTGCTAACAGTGTACAGGTCGGCTTGGGAGTGAAGGTATGTACATCTCCCCCCCCCCCCCCCCCCCCCCGTTCCCCTTTTTTTTGTTCTTGTTTTCTTTGTTTTGTCACTTCATGTTGTTTCTTCCCTTCCCTTTCCTCCCCTCAGCGTCATCCCCAGCGTCATTCACAGCGTGCTTTCCCAGCGTTATTCTTCCCATTTATTATCTTTTTTTTTTTTTTTTTTGCTTTTTCCCAGCGTGTCTTTTTACATTATTCATATTGAGCGATTCTTCATTCCCTGCAGCGTGCTTTTTTCACTGTTTTTTTTGTTTTCCCCCCTTCTTGATTTTTCCCCAGCGGCCACTGCCCTGCCAATGAAGCCTTGGTTCAAGTGAATCATGAGTGGAGGTCCAGAACGACTGGCTGGCACCTTCTCGCGGTGTTCTGGGTCAGTAGCCAGTCTTCCTTGCATGGAATTCTGGTGAAGCTAAGACCAGCCAATGTATACATAGTTACTAGATAGAGGGTAAACAAACAATGCAATGTCAGGTGCCAATTTCCACCACTGAGTTTCTTCTATCATCTTCCATAAACTTTATATTTGGTTGCCCAGCACCGCGTATAGGTGACGCGTCATTGAGGTTACGTACACACTTCTTTGGACGAGAACTTTCGATTCACATTTAGTTTTAAGTTGACAGCTAAAGGCCTCCGATGACGATACAAATAGAATCAAAGCGACTGATGATGTAAAAAGCTTGATAGAAAGATTCTAGCAAACTAATTTAATCCAATAGCCCCATCACCTATATTCCCTCTTTTTCCGGCTTTGAATGCCAACAGTTCCTCTTTGAAGTCTTGTTTCCAGGCCTCGTCAAGCCTCTTTGGCTCCCAACCGAGAAGCGTCTTAGCCACGGTCCCCTTCTGCGCCTTATGGCCTACCAGCCGCTCAGCCACCTCCTGCATTCCAAAAGTGACTTCATCTGCCATCTGCTTCAAAGTGATGCGCCTTATCTCCTTCTCCTTTGGTGTATCTTCCCTGGGCAACACCCCCTCCTCGAAGGCCGCATCCAAGGCCAGCTGCATGATCTCTATACTGGAAGCCCGAAGCACGGCCGGAAATATGATACCGTTCTTGCCCGACGGAATGAAATCGACACCTCTGTCCTCCCTTTCCAGTATCGCCCGTACAAGAAGAATGTAAAGATCGGCCAGATCCTCCACATGCACCAGGTCAAAACTGGTTGTATCAAGGACTGTGTGTCCATAACCTCGGGTGATAACGTATCGCGCCGCAGACGGAATGACGAGGCCGGCCTGATTGAAAAGCCCTGTTCCGAGGCCGTAGATTCCAGGTGTGTTTAAGCTAACAGCCTGGACGCCCGTCTCCTCAGCCCGAGAAAGGACAGCTACCTCGGCCGTGCGTTGTAGATACGGGCTCCTCTCGTCCTCCGATTTGAGAAACTCGTAGATTGCATTGCCATCCGCGTCATCCCATTCTCTGTCTGGATAAGCTTTGCCCGTGATGGGCAAGTCTGACAAGTTGGTACAGCCGGCAATGTGTATCATCCATGGCGCTCGCTCACCATTCTTAACACGGCGAGCGAGGCCCTCGACAAAGGCCGCGGCACCGCCAGGGAAGAAACCAGATCCCGCATTGATAACAATATCATAATTCGCTGCTGTATTGATAATGAAATCCTGGTCCGTGAGGCCTTTCCAAAAAGCTGTTCCAATTCGGTCCCCGTAGGCCTCTCGAAGCTTCTCCGCCTGGTCTTCCTTACGTACTAAGACGTCAATCGTAACTTCTTTCAGACTCTGGTTTGTGTCCTTTATCAGATGATCTAATACAGTCCCGCCCACATATCCAGTCGCTCCTGTTAGTAATATTTTGTTTATAGACGACATGTTGATCAGCAGCCGTTTATTCTTACAATTATTGAATGGCTAAAGACTCGCGGAGAAGAAAGTAAATGAGGGGTAGGGGGCTCGGCAACGAGTAAGTCATAAATGCAATAAGAGAATTTAGCCAGAATCCTTTTGGAATATTGAAAATCATGCTACACCAAGAGCAGGAATACCGATCCTCTGGCCCTCAAGCCAACCATATGTATCACCAGAACAGGAACTTTGGTGGCAGGGTTTGGTGTGGCCGCACGTACACTACAACCATGGATTCACATCAGATGTTTAACGTTTAGGCTATAGTTAATTTTATTATTATGAAACTCATCCTAGACATAGAACGTAGTTTGAAACGCGTGGGAACTTCAGGCTCTTACTGGAACTGGGATCGGACTAGAGTTATAACCTGCAACTGCTCTTAGCTGGGTTTCTCGCCTTATCGGCGTGCGGGTTATCCGATGAGTCGAGTCCTGCCTGGTTGTCCGGGAACTCCGCCGGCGCCGACATGAACCACAAAATTGCAAGTTCAGGCTCCACCGTGGTACTTGGGGACTTGATAACCACAACTTTTTCTCTGGACATCTCCATCAAGTCTCCACATGCCTTAGCGATGTCAAAGCCGTAGCGTAATCGCCTTGCGTTGATTCTAAGGATGGGCGGGTTCAAATGTATCACACTATTTGACATTCAATGGCACAGAGTCTAGTGGTGCAACGGAAAAGCCGTTCCTGGCAAAGTAAGCTCTATCTAATGGGAGACTTAATTGGCCAGGGCTTGCTTCGCTACCTCTCGCATTTATACATTCACAGAGGGTCTGACATGTACAGATTTCTTATTCATTGAAAGATAAACAATCATATTCCTTATACTTCTACTTCTTCTTGTTTAACAGTTTCCGCACAGAAACATCGTCACTATGAGACTCATTGTGCGCGAAGATTCGACTTCGGTGGCAGAATACGTGGCCAACTATATAACAACACGAATCAAAGAGTTTGGCCCTAGCCTAGCTCGGCCTTTCGTATTGGGCCTTCCTACTGGTAGTAGTCCTATCGAGGTGTATCGGATCCTAACCGCCAAGTACAAGGCCGGCGAGGTACGCTCAGTTTAGACCATCTGCTCAAATGAAGCCGGACTAATTCTACCGTAGATATCATTTGAACATGTCATTACATTTAATATGGTACGTTGACGTGGAAGAAGGCTCTTTCCTTGATGTTTTGATATTTGCTCACCCCTAACCTGCGTCTAGGACGAATATGTCGGCATCCCAAGGGATCACCCACAAAGCTACCATTCCTTCATGTGGCATTATTTTTTCTCCCATGTAAACGTTAGACCTGAAAATGTTCACATTCTAAATGGGAATGCAGAAGACCTGGAGTCGGAGTGCGCTCAATTCGAAACAGCAATCGAGGCACTCGGGGGTATTAATCTATTCCTGGCGGGGATCGGCGAAGATGGCCACATTGCCTTCAACGAGCCTGGCTCAAGCTTAGCCAGCCGCACTCGTGTGAAGACACTAGCCTATGACACTATACTCGCCAACTCAAGGTTTTTCGGCAACGATGTCAACCAAGTGCCAAAAATGGCACTGACCGTTGGAGTTCAGACCATCTTGGATGCCAAGGAGGTTGTCACAGTTGCGTTAGGAGCCCGCAAGGCAGTGGCGCTGCAAAAGTGTATTGAGAACGGCGTCAACCACATGTGGACGCTTTCTGCCCTTCAGCTCCATCGACACTCCATGGTAGTTGCAGATGAAGACGCGACGCTCGAGCTGCAAGTCAAGACTTTCAAGGTTCGGAACCACCATCTACACCCTATGTCGATCATGACGCTAACAATTCATACAAAGTATTTCAAATCGATCGAAAAGGTTGCTAGGGAAGAAGGTTTCGATCAGGCTCTTCCCCGAAGTCTTCGTAAAGGAACGCGCGTGGCACTCTCTGATAACATCAAAATCAACGGTCAGATACAGTCTCCGGTGGCTCTCAAGCCCATTGAAGTGCAGCCATATCTGCTTCGCGCGAATAGTCCAGTGCTCTCTGGTCCAATTTCCAGGTCTGCAACTCCTGAGCCCAGTCTAGACAGTATGAGTTCGCGAATCGAGATTGGGGCTTAGCAGGTCGATTCGATTACAGTACGATTATGAGACATAGGGTCCAAGTCCCCAGGAATCAATCCAATAGTTTAGATACCAATGAGTTTTTTTGGGTGCATTTCTTACCCGTATCTTTCCCAAGTGATAATGTGACTTCTGATATTGCGATAAATACACCTAGAGATCGAATTAATCTTCAGTATAACTAGATGTTGTGCGCCATGGTATTTAAATTTCCAAAATCAACCAAAATCAAGTCTTAAAATACGATACAAGAAGCTCCATGCTTCAATCATATTATCAGGGCCACTCCACGAATATCATCAATAAAATGGTACAAACTTAACAGCCAATATGGCTGTTTATAAATTATATGATTCCTCCTATGTAGTCAGGGCTACGAACAGAGACCGGCCACCAGCCCCGGCACTCCCACCTTCTAAGCCAAAGCCTCTTCTTAATTCTTGACATGCCCATCTTTAACATTTGTGACTTCCATCTCTGCACCTTCCTCAATCTTGTTCTCAAGCTCGCCTTGAGTAATTTCCGGCACTTGAGTCCTTCTATCTTGCCACCAAACGACACCAATCCAAGCGGCGAGGAGGATGGAGACAACGACCATGGCAATAGCACCTTTCCGAAATCCCTGAGAAGTACAGGTCAGGTATGGGTTCAAGCTCAGATAGATACTGACACTGAAAACTTACTGTAGCGGCATCGGTGGCAGGGTAAAGGGCGATTCCCCAGAAAGAAAATAAAACCGAGGATGACCCTATTAAAGATAAGCCAAGGGACTGGTAGATAGTCACGCAAGAGCCTCACCGTTCATTGCATATAGAATCACAGCGCGTGCAGCGTCGTCACCATCTCTTGCGAGTACCTTGTTTGCCCACGTGAAGACAACGGGTTGGATAAGGTAGGCAGTTCCAGCCAAATCTAAGAGTGCCGAAGACGATCAGTCAAGTGCTCGCACCAGCATGAAACTACAGGCTCTGAAAATACTCACAAAATCCTGCCATCTTGGCTTGGGTGCCGACAAGGTCCCAACACAGAATGATTACGCAAGTGACTAGTTGAACACCGCAAGCAATCAAGCCGTACGGACCATGAACGCCTGTAGCGTCGATTAAGATTGAGGTCAAAAGCGTTAGAAAGATGCCTGGAGTAAAGAATCAGTGTCTATATTCTTCAACGAAACACTGGGGAAAAGTCTACCGATGGCTGTTATCCCCAATGGGTAGGTGTTGTTTTGTGGGACTGTAAAGAGCTTGGATGCTTTCATCCAGAGGACCATGCAGGTCTGAGTAGAGAACGCTTCGAGAGCTCCTCCCAGGGTCCAAAAAATGGTAAAGATCCAACTAGGAAGACAATTAGCGACCCCGTATCTTGGAAGTTGACGTGAGATTACTCACAAATTCGGCGCAAACAGGACCCTCTTGATCAGAGAGGGACCAATATTGTGACCCTCTGGATTCTTGGGGGGAAGACGGGACAGGGCAAGCTGTTTCTCATGGGGTTTTAGATAAAATGCCTGGGTCGTCTCGGGCAAGTCGGGGAAAAAGTAGTATCCAAAGACAGCGACCGGTATGGTGATAATGCCGTCAATGATGAAAGACTGGGCAAGGAGCACGTTAGATGAGCAATCAGTACCGTAGTAAAGCAAATCAAATGAAACTCACCCATCTCCAACCAGCCAACCCCGAAACGCCGTTCATGGTGTTATAAATAGCAGTCATGAGAATACCAGCGAACATTGTCCCAACCATTCCAGAAGCCTGGAACAGGCCAACTCGCTTTCCGACTTCCGGTCCCTTGTACCAACTACCGATGATGTACTGTGTGCCACTGTACGTCGACGCTTCAGCAATGCCTTGAAAAAATCGCACGGGCACGAGGTGGCCGAAGGAGTTGCAAGCTGCGCATGCCATGGTGAGGAGTGCCCACACAAGAGTCATGAGCGGGAACCATATGCGTGGGCGGACTTTCTGGATCACAAGGCCATGAGGAACCTGTCCAATAATATCTTTGGTACCTGTTAACAACCTTCGAGCTCAGAGGCGGCTAGGAGATGGCACTCACATCCAACAGAGAGAACAGTAACCAGAATGTTGTACTCATTGCCTGTGAGGTTGAGGTCTTCTTTCATGCCGGATACATACGCATTTCCCAGCACAGCACGGTCTGTCAAATCATTGTAAGAAACAGTCCGGCTCAGGCTCCAGAGATCCGTAGGGTCATACCGAGGTAGTTGAAGAAAAACGCAACGCAGCAGTATGTCTATGTATCTTGGTTAACATTGGATTCTTCTCAAGAGAGGAATAATCCTAGAAAGGGGGTTTACCAGAATGAAGAAGTCTATTTTCCGAAGAAGCTATTCATCAAACTCGTGGCATTAGTATTGCATCTACAGATCCAGCTGATCAGGTGCATAGACACACCTTGCGCTCCTCAGGAGTGTCTGGGGCTTCACCCCAGACGGCGACACGAACGCTATGCAACGTGGTGCCCATTGCTGATAGAGGTGACGAGAGCTCCGGATGGAATTATGAGAAATGCAAGATAGCACTTTCTACTGGATTGAGACGTGGAGAAAGAATGAAGACAGAAGAAGAGCAGGGTGAGGTTGCATGGTTGACTTTTTTGGACCTCTAGATTAAATAGTCAGGCGGAATGGGACGGTTCTCCCTTAAAACTGGGGTCCCCCAAACTGACCCCACAGCCGGGAATTTGCTATCAACGCTAAGAACAGTTTGTTGCCGAATCAGAGGGGATACAGTATCTTGCCTATCAGTACACCAGTATTCCTTGTAGCTACCCGAGAATTTACTCTGGTGTTGCTTTGGCTTAGTGGAAACCCATGTTCGGTAACCGGAAAGAGGTGCGTCCTAGTCTGCGGGAACAGGCCAGGACACAGAGAGTCCACAACCAACAACCACAACATGTCCATTAATGAGAAGAGTAACTTGGAAAGTGTTATCACGAGACCATTCTGCACCTTGGAAGCCTTTCCCCGCACGTAGTCTCCATTTCCCCGCAGATATGGCAACGTGATGTCTCCTTGAGTAATTTGACCTTGTTCCGTGCATAAAGAGAATCACCCTCTTTACGTAAATCTACAAACTTAATTACTAACCCAGGGAACCCGCGCCACTACTTCAGCACCCTGGAATTAATCCATTGTCTAAAATTGGTCAAGACTGGGTACCAAAAGAATGGCGTCGGGTTGTCCGCCATGTGAGATGATATTCTCTTCCGTAGGCTCCACCACCCTCCGGAAAACCCGTCTTTTCTTCCAAGAAGATTCAATGTTTTCATTTATCGAACTTGGCAATCCAAAAACAAGTTTCCGGCTCAGCGGATGTCAAGTCCGAGCTGCAATTTTACCCTGGAAAGGAGACGGTCAATTTCATCTTATTCTGTTGAACGGGGATTAGCTCTATATCCTATTTCGATTTTATTAAGTGTCTTTTCTAACATCTTTGGCTGCATGCTTGACCAAAGCCCAGTATTGCTTCTCCATTTACGCCCCCGCCGCTTGCATGATTCTTTTTCCTCTCGTCCCTCCGCCCCCCGGACTTGACACAATGCCTTCGAGCCTGGCAGATCTCCAGACGGAGCAAAAGAACTCGAAGACATGGGACATCGACATTGTGTCAACTACTCGTCTCTGCGGTGCGTCCTCCCCTCGCGATATGAGCAAATCCACATGAACACAATGGAACATTCCTAACATGCCGCAGAGGTGATCAATGAAGAGGACGCAACAGTTTCCAAGGCAGTGCAGAAATGCCTGCCGCAGATCGCAACCACGATCGACATGATTGTGCCCCGGCTGTTGGTAGGCGGACGCGTCATCTACACTGGCGCTGGAACGAGTGGACGGTAAGAGAAGAGTTCCATGTCTCTTTCATGCCCCTACTAACTGTTGAATGCTGTTAGGTTGGGAGTCTTGGACGCTTCTGAGATGTGAGTACTGATGATATAATGCATTATTGTCCCAGTTGTGGAACACTTTGGGTTGACTAGCAGATCAATTGGTTCCGTAGTCCCCCGACATTCTCAGCACCGCTGAATCAATTTATTGGATTGATTGCAGGCGGTGATCATGCAATTCGAAATGCGGTCGAAGGCGCTGAAGATTCCGAAGCAGATGGCGCGGCTGATCTCGTCCAGTTGACACCAACGCTGAGTAAGGACGACGTTGTCGTCGGGATTGCCTCCTCTGGGAGAACTCCGTATGTGCTTGGAGGGTTGAAGTATGCCCGCTCTGTTGGTGCTGCCACTGTCGGATTGGCATGCGTCCACCCCAGTTCGTTGAAAGGACTTTGTGACGTCCTGATTGAGTGCGTCACGGGGCCTGAAGTAGTAACAGGAAGCACTCGACTCAAGGCTGGAACGGCCACAAAAATGGTAAGTCTGATGCCGCAAGGCCCTATGCATCCACAGCTGTTTTCATCGCTAAATCGTCAATAGATCCTCAACATGATCTCAACCGGGTCACAAATCAAGATTGGGAAAACTTTTGGCAACTTGGTATGTTAACTTTCACTGCTCTATGAAAAGAAGCAACATTGTTTGACTGAATATTGGTAGATGGTGGACTTGAAAATGTCCAACGAGAAGTTACGGGACAGGGCAAGACGCGTTGTTCGGACGGTTGTGCCATCTACCTCAGCCCTTGATATCAACAAAGAAGATGTTCTAGACCAAGTTTTAGCCAACTGCGATGGCCATGTCAAGCTCAGCATCCTAGTAGCTACGCTAGGGTGTTCGCCGGAAGAGGGCAGGTTAAGGCTAGAGGCTTACCACGGATCATTGAGACATGCGCTGGAGATGAAATGATACCTGGAGTTAGCATAGACATGAGATCACCTTTCGCATCCATTAGCCTAGAAGATAAATAGATATTATCATTTTCAAGTTATTTTGAAATAATCTATGCTCCAACGGCCTCGAGAAAGCACTATGTTCCCGACTAGAAATTCCGAGATTGAGGGCCGGATGCCACGCGCATGTCAAGTCTGTCTTCATGCGACACTTGACTCGTAGTAGTGTGGAGCAGCTTCCATCAACTGCTGACCAATATGAGAGCTTATCTCATTTATGCTGGAACTCCATAAAGAGCAAGTCTCGTGACGCCAAAGACTTCGGGTTCTCCGTAAATCTGGCAGACCCGCCAACCACCAAGTTAGCCGCAAACCGGGCCAGATCCGGATTAAGCTCGAGACTTTATTTGCATACGAGGCTTGACCATGAACATTCTGTTTCCTGGCACTCGTATATCAACTTCATCTGCACGTCTCTTTGATACATATAGATGGGGAAGGATGAAAAGAGGATTAGTCTTGAGACACGAGTAAAGCCTTATCTGTTAGAGACCCTCGGAAACGCCCCTCAAGTTCACGTTAAACAAGGACCGTTTGCAGACCTCGCTGTGAAATAAACCTTGGAAGAGACCTTGCCTACGCCCGACATGCAGTCGCTTAACGTCTTGGGTCTCAACTGCGGGACAAGCATTGATGGTCAGTGAGCTGTGAATCTTCTTTGTACCAAGCAACTCAGCTAAAGTACTGCAACAGGTATCGATGTTGCACACTGTCGAATCTCAGCTGTACCATCGTCGAACGATGTGCACATTGATCTGCTGTCCTATGTAGAGATACCTGTCAACCCAGCTATCCGAAGTCAAGTCCTCCGCTTATGCCGCCCCAATGAAAAAGAAGCCGCAACATCTCTGGCTGAAATATGCGACCTCAACTTCGCGCTCGGTCGGGAGTTCTCCCGCGCAGTCATAGAGTCTGGGATCGAATTAGCCCAAGTTGACCTAATCGCCAGCCACGGGCAGACGTTATGGCACCAACCGCTTGGGGAGCATCGCTCGACCCTCCAGATGGCAGAGCCTGCGGTCATCGCCCAAAGAACAAAGAAGCAAGTTAATTAATCCCGCTTTTTCGTCTTCTTTGTTTAACACCGGTTCTAACCGTCAACTTGAAATCAGGACAGTGGTCAGCGGTTTTCGAGTTGCCGAATTAGCTGCAGGGCGTCAGGGAGCACCACTTGCAGGTTTCTTCGAGGCCTGTCTCCTCTCCCATCCTGAGTTGACACGTATCAGCCAAAACATAGGTGGCATAGGTGTGTATAAAAGCCCAGGGTGAAAATGGACAGAGCATCATTAACTGATAACTTCACAGGAAACGCAAGTGTGTTGCCAGCTAAGAAAACAAACGCAGAAGCTTCCTGCCCAACTTATCTATCTTTTGACACTGGCCCGGGAAATGTTTTCATAGATGCAGCAATGAGAATCATCAGCAACGGCGAGACCCATTTTGACAAAGATGGAGCACTTGGATTACTGGGGGAGTCCGAGGTAGATGAAGAGGTCGTCAACGACTACCTGACCGGTGAGCCTTACTTTCAAGTCAAACCGCCTAAAACAACAGGCCGAGAGCTCTTTTCAGATGACGTCGCACGTGCACTCGTTGAAAAGATGAGATCTCGCCACATGAGCCCTCAGGCCATCATTGCCACTATTACAAGAATCACAGCTGAGTCTATCGCCCGTGCGTACGAGCAATACGTCCTGCCTCACCTTGATGAGGGCAAGACAATCGATGAAATCTATATCTGTGGCGGTGGTGCGTACAACCCGAACATTATGAAGCATCTACAAACGCGCTTTCCTGCCAGCCGGGTGGCCAGGCTCAGCGAGGCACCCACCAAGATCGAGCCCAACGCCAAGGAAGCAGTCATGTTTGCGCTATTGGGGTTTCTGTCAGTCAGTGGCCGCACTGTTCCACTTGCGGCTGATTCAGAGTCTACAGAACCTGCTGTCATGGGTGTCATCACACCTGGTGAGAATTATCGGCAGATTATCGACGCTGTGGTTAGAAATGAAGGGTTCTTAGCAAACGGAGTGTTGGGCCGTATTCAAATGTAAATACATTCAATTCAATTCACAAGTTAGTCACAATGCTGAATTGTATCTCTGTATCAAATTCATCATATTAGACGAAAGAGTGTATCAGAGAATTGGTTGCTTGGGGTGAAAATTCGTGAGTAAATAATATGTTAATTCTTTCCAAGGCATAATTCTAGTAATAACAAAAGAAAATGCCGAATGCTCATCTACTACAGGAGAGTCAGAACGGTCCCTATTCGGCTGCTTACACTATTGAAGCTGACGAGTTCTGAAAGGGTAGATCAGAATCGAGCTGGCTTCAAACAGGTGAATTTACCCACAACAGGTCAACATCTCTTCTTTAACAATCCTGAGGTTGAGCTACTATCACATCAGAATATTTGTCATCTCAGGGGCAACAATTTTATGGCTTTCCTTCAGACCAACCCTGATATCTTTTGGCGTGAAGGCAATCATTTGGTACACCTGCATACATGGATATAGGCACAAGGTTATGGATATGGCTTTGTTTTGCTTCTTTTTTCCCTCTCCACCCAACTGACTCGTGTCATTCGCGGAGATATCTTGCCCTTCCAGCAGGCTAATAATAAGACTGCTACGTATGTAGAAGCCTCCTAAGTATCTTAGCACAGTGTGGGGGGGGCGGAAATCCCGGAGGCTCCTCATATGGAGAACCCGATGATGGAGTCAATAATCAGGCTGGCCAGTATACTCGTCTGCACACGATGTATTATCCCCTTTACTGGTAGTTGACACTACTAGAGTTGGTACAATCGTGACTCGGGGTCGCGTGGCGGAAAATCCGTCCTTGGCTCAACATGGGGGTCCGTTTCATGCCTATGGACATACGGGAGCTAGGTCCAGATGGAAAGACATTGGAGCTCACAGTCGGTTAGACATGACGATTTCTTTGATCTGGGATAAGACGGTTGTTTAGATGCTACGTTTCATGTCAATTCAAGCTCAGTGAAGAATGCCAGCATTTGGTTATACAATTGTTAGTGAACTGCCAGCCACATGATTGCTGAAATTGTAACAAGGTCTGATAAATTCTTTTTTTATACCTATTCTATTGCATATTCACTTTCCAAGAGCAAGAAGCCCTAGGGCCAGAAGCCTACACTCAGGACCTATTGAAGATCAAAAACTCTTGTTCTCTTGGCAATTTACGATACGAAAACATGCCTGGGCAACTCTATGCGCCAAAATTGAGTGGCATTGTCAAGTTTACCAACTGTCGCCTGGTCCGGAATGACAAATTCGTCTTTGAGGATCTTTGGGTGAGCTCTGAGACTGGAACTATTCTCTCCAGCCAGGCAGCGTTCTTCGACAACCATACCCTCCCCGATGAAGTGATCGACCTCGAGGGACGAATCATTTCTCCTGGCCTGATCGATGTGCAGCTGAACGGGGCTTTTGGCTTCAACTTCTCCACAGCCCCCGAGGGGTCATCGTATGCCAAATCCATCGCAGATGTAAACCGGAAGTTGGTTCAGACTGGTGTGACTTCTTATGTACCGACTCTCACAAGCCAGAAGCCATCACTATACCAGAAGGTGAAACTATACTTCGATTGATCATATAGTTCAGAGTGTTAACAAGCGCAGGCACTGCCTTTTCTCCGCCCTAACAACTCTCGCGTCGGCGACAATGGGGCAGAGTCCCTTGGAGCCCACGTTGAGGGGCCGTTTCTGAACCCTAGAAAGAACGGAATTCACGATGTAAATGTCCTTCTCGAAGCCAAAAGCTTTGCTGATATCGAAAATTGTTATGGCAAGGAGAATCTCGGAGGATCGGACTCTGGAACAATCGCTATCAAGAAGATCACTCTCGCACCTGAACGTGGAAACATGCTTGCCTTGATTCCCGAACTACGCGAGCGAGGCATCATTTGTTCCATCGGACACTCCGATTCCGCATATGAAGAAGCTTCGAGCGCTGTTTCTGCGGGAGCAACCATGATCACACACCTCTTCAATGCAATGCGGCCGCTTCATCATCGTAATCCAGGCATCTTTGGGGTGCTAGGCATTGCTGAAAAGCTGCCTAGGCCCTACTTTGGAATCATCGCTGACGGCATTCATCTACATCCCACAGTCATCAAGATCGCGTATAATGCGCACCCAGAAGGGTGTATCTTGGTCACAGATGCTATGCACTTGGTTGGTCTCCCTGATGGTGCATACCCCTGGGGAAATGGCGATGTCGAGAGCAGAATCATCAAAACCGGCCCTACATTGCGGCTTGAAGGCACCGACAAGATCGCTGGAAGGTGAGGCATAATTCTTGGGATATAATAACTGTATGTGCTGACGTATGTCTTTGAAACTTTAGCTCCATTACCCTCGTTGAGTGTGTCAACAACTTTCTCGAATGGTCAGGGGTTTCCGTCCCCCAAGCGTTGAAAAGCGTGACCATCACGCCCGCAGCCATGCTGGGCGTTGAAGGGACCAAGGGGTCGCTTGCATCCGGTGCTGATGCAGACCTTGCAATCTTCTCCGAGATAAAAACAGAAAATGGTGCCCCCCAGTTAGTTATTGATGAAGTATGGAAATATGGGAAACGTGTTTTTCGTCGGGAAGGAGTGGAAATTCCCGAGCCAACAAGTCCGCTCGGTTCCTTTGAATAGTCGGCAAATTTCTTTTAAGCAAAAGGTCAAGAGATGGTCCCAATCGATTATTAGGATCAAGAAAGCTCGATGAACCCAGAAAGCTGTTACAATCACAACTATGTATTTCCCTGACGTTGCCTTAGAAGATGACTGGCGCATGTTATATTTCAAAATCTACATGTCGAAGGACTCTTGAGCTAGCTGAGCTTCAGCCCCTTGTAAAACCTCGAGAAAGCAACCGGTGGAGAGCTAGGCACAAACTCATTTGCAGCATGCTTTCAACAAACACACGTCTTTGAACACGATAGTTCAATTAATGCTTCATTGTTCCAGTTTCTTTCAAGTAAACTATAATGACCTAGGACAAACATTTGATCCAATCCAAGCAAGCGGCTCAACCGATCCATAGGTTAGTTAGGGAACGGAACATCCCTACCAAGACTCTTGGCAACCCAATACCCCATCGCCCTTCGAACAGGATTATTTGTACCGTAGTATCTACTAGGGTGAACTCGGTTACTAAAGTGAATCCAGAAGGTGTCGGAAGGACGATCAATAGCAAGCGTAGTGCCGGTGAAACCAGAGTGGCTGGCCGTCTTCAGGCTCTGCATGCTCCCTTGGGTGTACGACTGGTTCAGCGCAAAGCCAGCGCCGTAGTTGTTCCCGGGGAACTCTGCATTAAAGTCGGTGAAGATGAGGTCGACAGATTTCTGGGAAAGAATACGATGCTGGCCGTAGGTGCCGTTGTTCAGGATCATTTGGCAGAATACAGCGACATCGCCGACGGTGGAGAATAGCCCCGCGTGGCCAGAGAGTCCGCCTAGAGCCCATGTGTTCTCGTCGTGGACGGTTCCCCGAACAGGCTGCGGCCTCGGCGGTTCCTCTGGGCCTTGGGCCTCGATCTCAAACTCTGTTGGTGCGACACGGTGGTAAAAGGGGTTGAGCGGACCCTCGAGGTTTCCCCGGTTGTAAAATGTAGAGTTCATCCCAAGTGGTATGGTGTATGAGTAGACCAATAGTTCGAAATTTCTGCCGGTAATCCTCTCCAACATGTATCGCAGGGTCATGAAGCCAATGTCTGAGTATATAAACTGCGTTCTGGGTGGCACCTGAGGGGGGAGAGTCAGGAGGGTAGCCACTCGCTGGTCAATGGAGGAGTAATTCGACTTCCAGAGGTCCGGGGTTGGCAATGGCAAGAGGCCACTTGAGTGTGTGAGAAGGTTGATGACGGTGATATTCTCTTTCCCGTTGGCGCCAAATTCAGGCAGGTATGTAGCCACCGTCTGGTTCAAATCAATCCTCCCCGCATCGACCTCCCGAAGTACGGCAATGGTGCAGAAAAGCTTCGAGAGGCTTGCCATGTCATAGACAGTATCAAAGGTCGCATTTTCCTGCTCTTCAGGCTCGAGCAGGGTGCCATTAGCATCGGCGTAGAGCTTCCTGTGGCCAACCGCGAAAGCACTGACGATGGTGCCGTGGCGAGCGACTAGGTTGACGGAGCCAGGCTCCAATGCCCTAACTTCTTGAAAGGATGCGGCTCCATAGTTGCGAGGCTCGGTGTAGGAGGTGATGTTCTGGATCATCGCATTCAGCGGCTGAGGTAACAAGCCGACTGACTCTGGGCTGCCATGCTTGAGCACGCGAGTCTGACCATTCGCGTGAGCCGCTGAGACAAGCGCAGGATACAGCAAGAACGAGGGCTTCATGTTGGCGAGTTGCAAGGTGAAGATGATGAACTGCCAAGGGAATAACGGCAACGAACTTCTCTCATTGAGGTACTTATCGGTGTGGTGCTATATAATATCAAGGGCTATTAGAAAGGAGCTCCTCGTTCATGGGGGTTGCAGATTGCACAGAAGCCGATCAGTATATCGGGATTCCCGTCACCATCAAGCGTCAAGCCCCACTGACTTTTAAGCCGGGGGGATCTCAAGCTCGTCAGTTGTCAGTTGAATATTACCAGGAGGCTCCACGGCACACTCCGGCCCCGCGAATCCGAACGGCCAGCCACCGGAAAGTTGCAGCCAGATGGAGGGGATGTCAATGGATCTCGCTGATGTATCGCACGTGGCGAATTTGACTGATGCCTGCAAGTTGGGGAGTGCAATCAGCGTGGGGTACCCGTCCCCTGGTTGGGGGCGGAAGTCGTCGAGCAGTTCATCCTGTTCCTCTGGATTCAACTCAATGCCATGATTTGTGAAGAATCTCTCGTTGACGTCGCCGAGATAGGCTGCCTTGTAGAGGTCGCGCATGACATCAAGAGCACGGAGCCAGTGATTGGCCACCTTCCACTCCCCCGTCCACGACGAGACAAGCTGGTGGACGAGATCAAAGTATCGACTGGCCTTAAACTGGTACTCGGGTGTAGAGAAGGTCTCGTCGTGGGCGTACTGTATCCAGAGATACACGTTGGCGGCCGTCAAGGTAGTAGCGGCGACCCATATGGTCTGCAGGGCCGGCAGGTCGTTTGCCTGCTCCGGATCCATCAGATAGTCCAGTATCTCGCCGATGATAAGGGCGTTGGATACACAATTCGAAACAAGTGGCTCATCCCTGTAGAGATAAGACCAACCAGCCGCGTCAACAAGATCGACGAGGTTGGTGTACAGAGTAGGATGGGGCAGATAGCATTGGTGGGCAATGGATAGAGCGCCATGCAGTAGGAACTGCATCGAAAGGAAAAGCTTCTTCTGGCCAAGTGCGCAATGGGTATGGTAGTTCCGGATGCTCCAACGGAGGCCCGCAGGTAGAGAGTCGCGCCATTCCCGCGCGGCCTCGGATCGAGCGAAGAAGACGCTCTCTGGGCTGGTGGGGGGATGTTTTTCGAGACGGCGCCGGGAATATGCAGCAAAATCGGCAAGATCACTCCACAGGATGATTGTTTTGATAAAGTACGAAGTCAACCCCAGATCAGAAGGACGTGCGTAGGCGGCGAGGCTGGCCAAAGTGACGCCTCTCGTCTCTTCTTGGTAGAGCATCGATAGATCCGTGCCCGGCACAGATATGGAAACGCTGTCCTCGTTGACAGTTCGATGCTTACCAAGGAAGTAAGCCAACGCCCGATCAAACATGAGGCAGGCCCAGAAGGTCCGGCGCCGAATCTCCTGTTCCCTGTAGCTGTGTTTCTGGTGGAACTCCTTGTTCAACCGCATGATCTCGGCCATCCGGATTGCCGTGCCCGTGAAGAGCCAGTGTCTCGAGCCAGAGCTGGAGAGTAGCTCAGCCAATGCCAGGACAAGGTTGGCCTGGATGTGAGTAACTACATGGTGGCGTGGGTGATGAGCGACTCGGTAACTCGACAGGGTTCCCAATAGATGATGACTTACCGCTCGGATCATCCGATGCCATCTTGACAAGATTCCGGGCTCTGCGCATGTAGAGACGGAACACATCGTTCGGTGAAGCAAGCCCAAACTCTGTCTGAGCAGTCTCGAGCGAGAGGTATCGACTGCAGAGCGCAATGACACATGACGCCAGGACGGCCTCCTGTCTGCATTTGGACTCAAAGTCTGATCTAGAGTCGAACGAGCAAAAGTCACTGGCAAAGTGACGCTCAAAAAACAAGTCGAGACACGACTGCAAACCCTTGTCCGTCGGTTCAGATGCGGAGGAGGACGGCGGCGGCGGTTCTAGGTGAGGCACGCTGTCCGTCGCCGACGTGTCAGGGGTCAGTGCGATGGACTCGACGGGCGGTGCATCGTGGTCCGGCATTGCCCAGACACACTGCAGGTTCTTGTTGGAACAATGCTTGCACCGGGGCCGCGTGCCGTCACATTTCGTCTTGCGCCGCCGGCTGCGGGTGGAACTGCAGTAAGCAAATGGCACGCAGATGTCTGGGCTGGGCCGAGACACCACATCGGATCGGGGGCAAGGCTGAGAAGACGGCACTCACCATGAGCCGCATGCAAGCGGGGTTCTCGTGAAGGTTCGCGGCATTCCTTGCTTGAACAGCTACTTTCTGGCTGAGCAGCGGAGAATCCGTGTTGTGCAAATGCAAGGTGAACCGGAAGCCGTCCGGGGAGATGCTGCAGATGACTTTGGTTTGGGGAACTTGGGAGTGGAGAGCATCGGGTTATCCGACAAATATGGCTGAAGCTCACGTGCGGCGATAATAAACCATCCCCGCAGATACTGCTATACCCATTTTATCCTTATCATGGTGTAGTATATGCATTCGTGTAGAGCTTACTACCTATAATCTCCTAGTGATTAATTGTTGACTCGTGACTTTATCTACTTCAAAATCGAATTGTGGGCGATCTGGAGAGCGAGTGGCCAGTATGTTTCATGAGCTTAGAGTTGTCTAGGTTTCGTCGGCTTACAAAATCAGTCAATTACCTCACTTGGACATAACTTGCCACTCGACTTTTTAGATGGCTTTTCACGTGGGGAATCATATTATTTTCTACACAAATTAACAAACGGAGGATATGAATAGAGGGTTGGCACCGTATAAGACTACCTGCTTGATGTCTTGATGTAGGGATACAAAGTAGCGATCGCGATCAGAGTCCTCAGCAGCACGGTCCTGACTAAAGAAGAGGCAATGCGACAAATGAGATCATCAATTTCCCTAAAATCTCCGCGGCAAGCGTTCGGTTTCGGGGTAGTTACTATCGGAGTATTGGAGAATTGTGTTTGAAATTTCTTGACTCTGTTGCCCAAGGTGGAAATTTATCAACACTTTACATCTGTTTTTGTATATCGTGCCTTTAATTACGGCTCTCGCTACTCAGATGATATGTCAATTGTGCCAGTAGGAATATTCCTCCAGGCTAGCATGACTGGATTGCTGGGACCTGACGCGACTTGGCGCCCTCGTATCCATTTCACAACACATCTATCCCTTGACGTGGACAATTCCGCTCCAGTAGTCTCAAGAGGGCGAACCTCGTGCGTTCTTCTTATCTCTATGCTTGAGAGATCTTCAAGTTGATCACTTCTGTTTCTCGTGCCGGCTCAAGACGTGTGCTGACAGGGCACCCATTACCACGTCATTGGAAATTATGGAAGGGGCCAATCAATGCCGGTTAGATCGACTTTAGGGCTGGTAGTTTGCACGGTGTAGCCAAATTTAGCACATTACTCCAGGGGTATGAAGTGAACATAAGGCTGCCAACCCACGAAGAAGCCAGCCTATACGAAGCTGTAGCAGCCTCGTTCTCACACAGGCTGGCTGCTTTATCCTCTCATTGACTGCAGATAGACCGTCTTGGTTGCTGCCAAAGTACCCAACACACTCCTGCTTGCGGATACATAGCTTGCGTCACGAAGTAAAATTAGATGTGCTCTCCCGAAGGATTGCACTGTGCTCGGTGGGTCTGTTTGCCACAGTCCAGTCCCACATCGTCATTGAAAACAAATAAGGGGATGGAGAACGGATGACCTTGACCTTTTGATGTTTACCCTCCAAAACTCGGTGGACATGTCAGCTGCCGTAATACGAGTAGAAAGACCATGACTTTCTACGACAATACCCACCCTCATACCTGGGGGGTCAACCCGGAAACAACCCAGATCGTGCTCCGGCTGGTGTCCAATCCCACCCCACAACGCGGTGACAATGGGAATGGATCTCACGGCGCCTTGGCTTCCAAACCGGCATCAAACTGTCGGGAGCTGCAGGTTGGCCGAGCCCGTCGAGGAAAGGACCCATTGAGAGCCCTAGTGGAGAAGCAGGATCGGCGCAAGAACCTCGTCCTCGGCGCTCCCCAATGCATGGGGTGTGATTTAACCTGGGTTGCTTTTGCAGAGCCAAAGGAGCCATACATGTCGGAAGCCTGTGCTGACTGTCAGTCTCCTCCTCCACCGTGTATCCCCGAAAGTGAAACAGGAGAAGGGCGCCATGTAATCATACTAACATCAAACCAGTTCTTACTTGCGTCAGAGACACGTTTTATCCCTCTCAGGTCTGCGCGAGGCTTGACAAAGTCGACAGATCCTTGTGGGTCGTCCTTCTCGAGGACCCCCTCTACTTCAATGCTATTCAATTTGGCACTCTTGCATACAGGGAGCTGCTCGCCGGCCTACCATCCAGCAAGGAGACACACAAGCATAGACTCAAGACTATCGGCCTTCTCAGGGAAAGACTAGGTTCAATTGATAAGCAAGCGGCAACTTCCGATGCAACGGCCTTGGCCATTATAATTCTAGCACATTTTGCAGAAGCAATTGGGGACACCAAAAGCTTTGAGGCCCACATCAATGGGCTGAAGGCGCTGGTCGATGCACGAGGAGGCTTGAAAGACTTGAAGTCGGGTCTCCTGGAGCTTCGGACAAAGATATGCAGGTGCGTCAGCTGACATTTCTAGCATGGCTACACTTATCCTTCCTAATTTACCTCTCTCCCTTGCTGGCCATTCTTCTTTCTCCTCTTTGATTTGCTAGCTGACATTCTTCATAGAGTTGATACCGCTTTTGCCTTCCTCTCTGACCGTCCTCCAATGTTCTTCCAGGGTGAAGTACCATGGGACCGCTATGTGGTAGATCAACAGAAGCCTACAAACACTGGCTCGAATTACATCCACCTTCAGACTATGCAGCCGCTCGATTGGAGACTGGTTAACGTCTGGTTGGACATGCAACAATTTTCATTCATGTGCAACGACAATCAAAAACGTGGCGTGCGGCTTGATCAACTCGTCTACAGCAAGATCATGGTTTCGATGCAATACCGTCTACTCAGCCTGTCCTTCAACGATTTCTCCTTGAACAATGCATTGCGCGCCGGCATGCTGGTGGTCATGACAAGATTGATGTTTGGATGGCACCCGAGAAATGATGCCCAGGTTCGAGCCGCAGTGCGGCTTGATGAGGCCATGGTCTCTATCCTGGATGGAAAGATCGATGTGCCCCATCAACTCTTGTTCTGGATGCACATGGTTCGAAGCCAACTGGGCGGCTTGGCTCGAATAGACGTTCGCCTCAATGCTTGGCTTGTCGACACGCTCGAGGCCCTTTCTTTTCGTTCCTGGGCAGAATCAAGAGAGCTTCTGCTCTCGATGGTGTGGTTTGAGTTTTTTGGCGACTCGCAAGCTGAACTCGCTTTTGATTATGCCTCCATGAATCTGCCCGACCGTTGATGGATCGCGAGGAGATTTTCTACTACTGCTCAAACCTCCAAGGGTAAGGGGGCTCCTCGGTCCGATAATATCGGCTGGGCTTGTCGTCACAGGCTGCAACACGGCTTTGCAGACACAAACGCTGAATGATAACTCCATCGTGCCAGCCTGAAATTCAAAGATAAATGTCAACAAACAGAGATCGAGCGAGCTAGACTGCAAGAGCCAACTCCAAACCCTACTTGATCTTAGGTCCTTGATCAAATTCCCCAAGGGCAGGGGTGTCACGGCCGTCGATAATGCGGAGCGAAGCTCATCCATTCCTCACAATCCAGGCCAGAAATAGCGGTCAAACTCCCCGGCTCGTTCATTATTTCTGGCGTCGGAACCGGAATCGGGTACTTTGTTGGGGTCTCCCTTAGTAGTATTAGCGAGCCTGTTGCTGAGACAAGACTAATGCTAGAAACCGCCAGCCTTGGAACAATGAAGGCTAGCAAGATTGAAAGACTGAAAGACCTACTTTTAAGCGGCCTTTGAATCAAACACAAATGTCAAAGGTAGTGTAAACATAGAAGAAGTATAACTAGTTAGTTGCCCTAGATCCCTACATCGAGGTTTAGACAATAGGCCAATCTAAATTTGCGGTCAACGCCTTGGCCGTTTTGAAGTGTTTTCAATGTGCTCTGATAGCCTGTGACAAGGTATCAGCGCTCTACATTAAGTCTATTTAACATCGCTAACCCCCTGAACCATCAATATCCACAGCAAAGCAGCTTTATCTTGGATAAGTGTTGGATCGTTTCAGAAGCCTTACGCGCCCTTCCAAATCCCATGCGAGTATCTCATCATCAGTGAGGTGACTCCCGTACGGCCAGATCAGACATTGGGAAACTCGCTCTCGGAATTTGAGTCGGCCTTTCAGTCTTGTCTCTGCTCTGCTAGTTTAGGTGATTGAATTGTCAGAAAACCCGAACCTGCCGATAATATATGAACGTAATATTAAACGCGTGTTTGAATATCGATCTCCTGAAGTGAGAGGTTACATTATGCAATGTATGGGTAGATTATAGCTTTCTCAAATATTTTAATAGCCGCAAAAAGACCCCGTGTAGCATCAGCAATAAGCTTGTATGTCGGGAAATTTCAATTCATTGTGTTTTTGATTCTCGGACTTAGTTTACGTGTCTAGAATATATTGAGCCAGAAATTTGAGTGTTCAATTTCACGATAGATTCTTTAAATGCTAACGTGGAGGTCAAAGTGAACTTTCCGGAACACCAGTGGCTTATTTGAGCATACCCTCACTTATGAGTGAGATGCTTTGAAATTATCCTCAGGCCCTAAGCTTTTGTTTTTTTAACGCCATGTTGCTCTTTCCCGGGCTGTGTAACAGTGTGTCTGGGCGGCTGCTGTACATGGACAGAGGGGCTGGTACTGATACACTTGTGCAGCTACCCGTTGATACTTGGTCAGTACGCGTTGAACCAAACAATAAAACGGCATTCATTTTTGCCGTGACTCTCGTGCTACTTTTCAATATTTTTTCACATTCGTGACTTTTGCTCCACTTCAACTTCATGTTTTACTCCGTTGAATCACGCCAAGGTAGATATTCATCACCGCGCCAGCCATATCGATATCAACTCGCTACAAGTTTCGCTCCTTTCAATAATCAAGGAAAACCACCACGCTTCATTTTCCGATAGATTCATCTAGAATTCCCACCCGACTTCTTCGAGTATGTCTAAAACGAGCTCTGCATCCGCAGATGGCGATACTCCAGTCCGATGTCCAAGCTCGCCACCTCAGCGACCCAGACGGGAGTTCACCGCGATTCTCGGCCACAGATGGGAGAAATGCGAATTCCATATTCATATTGAATGGGTCGGCGTATATCCCACATGGGTACGAGAGCGGAACCTGCATCGAGATTCGAAAGCCGCCCTGTTGCACTACTGGCAAAGCCTGCCCGACGGTCGCCCGATGAACCCAGACGATGACGAGGTGTTCGAAGTGTTTCGATTCAGGGATGATAAGGCAGCGGATGAAGGTACGAAACGATTACTGTTAACCGAATGGGTCGGGTATGACGAGAAGGCCATGACCTGGGAACCTGAGGAGGAAATGATGAAGGCGGTCCCTGAGCTTGTGGAGCTATTCTGGGCGCAAAAGCCGGTTTCCAAGGTCAAGAATGACTTTTTTTAACAGTCATCTAAGGGGAAACTTAGCTATTCATTTGTGGCAGAGACTGTAAAGGGCTTTTTTATCTTTGATCTGTCCGAGGCTATGCTATGCGGCTGTGGTGGGGTAAATACGTTGCTTAACAATAGCCCAATGTTCATCACCAACAAAATGTTTCATTTACACATATCAAGGTACCTAAACTGTGATTTTGTGTCTGCCGGTGTTCCCAAATACAGTGCTTGATCGCGTACTGCAAGGTCTAGGAACACGATTCGAGCGGTAGGTGAGTCTGTACCACATTCAAAATTTTCACGCAAATTCTTGAATTTGATGGAATCACGACCCTCCAGCTCAAGCACCCGGTGGTCCCTGTGAAAATCGACATGATACGGTATTGGCAAAATCCCGTGGGGAGCGACTTCAACAACATTGAAGTTGGAGGACGAAAACAGCAGTCTCATTTCCAAGCAATCATGGACAAAACTCATCGCTCAGCCAAATCTCGTCCATGCCATCTGGATTCTTGAAACTGGGGCAGATGGGCACTCCCCATGGGGTTTTTATTTGGATAGGCTCTCCTCTCTTTTCCCTGGACAAAATCATTTCACAAGCTAACAGATCACAATCAGCCTCAGGGAGAGGGCGATGTAGTATTATTAGACTAAAAATAAGCCAACGAATTTCACACCCGGGACAATGCACTAAATTCTAATAATCCAGGCCAACCACCCATTCCTAAATGCAGCACATGAAAGCCTTGCTAGCCAACATGATGCTCCCTCCACGTCTTACCACTTGAGCCATGTGTATTCAATTGCAGAACGACGAAATCAAGTCCATCAATGTTGAATTGCATCCACCTCAGTAATGATAAGTTATTGCGCATCAGGTAGCATTTTAGGGGTTGATCCCTGCATCTTTCATTACCCATGTCCCAGCCCCTGAGATCGACGGACGGATGATGCCGGCTTGACTACGAGCAGCAAATTCCAGCTGAATACCTGCCTACCCTATAAGTGCGTCACCCCAGCCGCGACACGACAAATGACTCATAAAACGGTGAATCGTGGGTAGCAAATTATAATTTATGAATCAAATAATATTATTCTCGAATTCCAAAGTCCTTTACAAGTGCACGCAATGTTGTGGGTTATTTCAGAAATGAACGGTATGACAAAACATGGGCAAACAGAGGCATGCTATGGCTCTGCTAGAGGAAAAAGAGGCCGATGTGTACTGAGCCAGGGAAAGGTCCAGATTCAATTCTAAAACTGAGAAAAATGTGATAGGATCACGAATATCTGTTTTACCGCATTGATGGATTGAAGCCCTAGCCTGCTGAAGGAAGTGCATGGAGCAGTGGAAATGAAGCAAGCTATATAGCTTAACTTATGTCATAGAATCACAAGGCAACGTGCCAGAGTGGTTAATGGGTAGCACTCGAATCATCTTAGTGATGCTATGACTTCGGTCGCGCATGTTCGAATCATGCCGTTGTCGATTTTTTTTTTCATTTTTACTCACTTGCAATCAACCTTTTCTTGGATCCGACAGCGGATATTAAAGTTTTGAAACATTACTTAATTGTCTAATCTGTGAGCAGTAATTTCGGGCTCTTGATCTAACGAGTTTGAATCACCACCTCATTGATCCCTTCATCCTCTTAGTAAATGGTTCTTCTCCCCGAGAACATATATATTAGAATATAGGGTCTGAAAACTATTAAACTCGTCTATATATACACAGGCGGCCCCATAAGCCTTAATTAATTACGATTTTTAGAGGTTCCTCTATCTCATAGTCCTCCCAGTATTCCTTTTCGTTCTTTTCATGCGTCCTCTCCCATTCCTCAGACAGTCCCCGAAAGTCTGCAGGAACATATGGGCTGGTGAGCTCAGCGTATATCGTCGGTTTTCGATTTACCCGTAGTCCCAAGTCTCTCATCAGCATGTTTGCGTACGGTATACCATCCAGGCCGAGGTCAGGAATATTCGAGCCATATCCGCACGGGTATCGCCATTTGCCCCACTGAGTATGAAGCATCACCTCATACGTGACTTCTTCAAGAGTGTGCGGTGCGCGGTCAAGGTTGCCGTCGAAGAAGGTTGAGATCCATAGGCCTTGGATAGTCGCGATGATCGGCGATGCTACCGACGAGACCAACCCGGCAAAGGCCAAGTTTCGAGACGGAACCAGCGTCGGAGGAATCATGAATCGGTAATATCGTACAGGTTCTTCACCCCTTTGCTGGTGAGAGATTTCGGGCTGGCTTGCTAGACCGGGGAACATGTAGAGGATTCTTTCGTCTGCTTTCTGTTCCAGCAGTCTTTTGTCCGATTTGTTAAATGGTAATCCAAGCCCTTCATCACCTAGCCCAATAAATTTGATAGAATTGTTCTTCTTCCACCCCGTGGCGCATATAAGAGCATCGGTGTCTATGATGCTCCCTGATGCCAAAAACGCCCTCTTGTATTCGAGAGACTCTATCTGGTCAACATGAACTCGGATTTTGCCCTGCTTGATAAAGTCCCAAATTGGTTTGTCGTAGTTGAGGATACTCAGCCGACTCCCAATCCAAAATGACGAATGCCAGGGTTTGAGCTTTTTGATCTCTGGGTGGGAATCGTAGCGATTGGCAGAGATAACGTAATTGCCAAAAGTTCTCCAGAACCAGTCAACAAGAAAGCGACCTAGTCTTGTTTGGTGAAGAAAGTGTCGAGTCCGAGGGAATCCATCTTCAGCACCCCAAGGACATGGGCTGAACCAGGTAACCCATCTCACATTTAGCAGCCTATCTAGAAACTTTTTGAACATCGTCACCACAGGGGGCGAGATCCAGGCCGGACCTCTTCCCTTTGACCGGATTACCATGTCCACCTCGGTTCCATCCTCAACCAAGGCGTAGGCGGTATCAAAGGCAGACTTGCCTCCCCCGACGACGATGGCACTTTTTACTCCACGGATGACCTGCATCTTCTGGCAAAAATCTCGGACATGAAAAAAAGGAGCGCCGAACGTTTTCAAGCCTGGATAGGAAGGGATGTTGGGGGTGTTGGTGAGTCCCGTGGCGATGATGAGTCGGTCAGTTTCAAAAGGCTTCACGCCTCTTGGCCCAGTCACCAGAAGCCGCCAGCCGTCGCCACTGGGCTGTACCAAGTCAACTCGGGTGTGAAACTGAATCATGTCCAGAATGCCATAGTACCGCGCATAGTCCGTCAAGTACCGGAACAATACAGCACCGGGAATGTGGCTGGGTGGTTTGAGGCCGTATATCTCCTCCGACATGGGGAAGTCTGGGAACTCATATGTGCCCACGCAATTGTTGGACTTGAGACTCGGGTAGAGCCGGTTCCTTGACCAAGTGCCACCGCACGATTCTCCAGCTTCCAATATGGCGAGCTTGGAATATGGGTGCATGTGCAAATATGCTTTGGCGGCTGCTAGGCCGTACCATCCTGGCGATGATTGTTAAAACTATATCCGATAGGGTGAGTTTGATATAAAGGGGAACCAACCTGCTCCGACCACTATGACATCGTAAGATCCCCCCATCTCAGTGGAGACAGGAGCCAGCAACTGCACCTGCAACAATGGTACAGGGGTAGGAAACACCTTGGGAAGGTCGATTGATAGATGTGGGAATCAAAGGGACCTATGAAGGCAGATTATTCTGGAGGTAGGCCAGTCGGGGAGCAAGGGGATATCAGTTTTCCTGGGTGAAGTGAAGAGAAAATTCCGGTTGGATTGATATCATTATCGTATGTTTCGAATCCGGCCCAGATCATTTGACATCCTCGCTGACAACCCCTGCTCTGCTCCTCCGCCCGGAATGGTCGGGTCGAGGGCCCACGCCACAATCAGGCGGGTCTGCCCGGTAAATTTAGTTGTGGGAGAGAAAAACCAAAGCAGCCATTGGTTGAGGGAAGTGCCTGGGTGGTGAACACGAACCAGGGTAATTAGAGTTGGATTCGGGTCAAGAAGCTTCGTCTCGTGCTAATCCCCGTTTCATACGAGTTCAAGTCCATAGTAACAAGCAGCAGTTGGACCCGGTGCTGTTGAAACTAGTGAAGGGAATCGTCCCACGACTATCTTTCATTAGGGCTGATAGTCTACAAGTCAGTAGACCTTGAGCAGCACAAGCTATGCGGGTCTTTGCACAAGCCGGTCTAATAGAATGTTTCACTACGAGTGCAGGAGCAAGATATAGTAATGACTATATTCGATCTATTAAATTTCTTATCACTGGAAATGTAACATACAGTGAATAGAGTGTGGTGAAATGCGTCTTTGGAGGAAATGAATACCTCACACCCTGCTAATTGGGATAAATGTTGAAGTCTCCAGGAAACGTGTTGTTGCAAGACTCGAACAACGCTAAATGGTTAAGAAACATGACAAGAAAGGTATTTGAATTGCACTAAAATACCCGATGCCTGATCCTCGATCAGCTGTGAGAAGATCGGAGACCTGCCATTCAGGCTGCCGTTTTCTCGGAACTCTCCACCAGGGAGACGGTTTTGCGTCTCTGCAGAGCATCCCAAATCGCAATGCTAGTCTCGACTAGATGAATGATGAAGAAGGGAATCAGATTGTACTGCCAGCCTTGAGTAATGTGCACAATGGAAGATATCTTGGATCTGTCGCTAGGGTTTACAAGGTCGAGCTCAAGGAGAGCAGAGAACCAGCCCTGAGGTGTCCAAGTCCCTTCGTCATACTTTTCTCCGTCAAGGCCAGCAGTGACAGCAGCATCGATCGTCTGGCCGGCATAGCGATTGGTGACGACAAAGACGTAAACCAGTGCGCCGAAGGTAAGAAGGAAGCTCAGGACATTGACGAGTACCCAGAGATGGTGAAAATAGATGGCAAAATTGCTGGGATTCGGGCGGGAGCGCAGGAAGAGAGCGATGGATCCTCCGAGGCCGATGAGGATAAAGGCAGTACCGGCGGCAGCATTGCTCGTGTGCCCTTGATCGGTCATGAGGTCTTTTGGTTCGCCCTTGAGGTCGATCGTTGCTCCATCGCTGGTGAATGGAAATGTGCCACTAGCAGGGCCGTGCAAGAAGCCAACCGTGGCAGAGACAAAGGACAGCTCAATTATCGCCACGACCATCAAAAGGCCAACGGCCGGGTATAGCAACTGACTACTGGACGGCATTTTTATTTTCAAAGAAGAGAAAGTTAGTGAACTGCGCACCGAAGGTCAAAGAGAGATGGTAAGCTGGGCCAACAAAGGGCTGTGCATCGCCGCCCCTATTGCTTGCTTATATACGCTCGCATTGTGAAGGTTTCTCATGTAAGACCTGACTTCTTAGTGCTGACCGCTGCGCAGATGCCCCGTGTTTGAAAATTAGAGGCCGTCAACATGTCTGACACTACAAGCTCACTAATGCCCACTACTGGCAATGAGGCTTGCTTAGCTTATGGCTTTATGTGCCGACGGGCCGCTCTGACGCAGGGGTACTTGAGCTGAGCAGTCAGTGCGTCGTGCTATTGGCAGACAAGGAGAGGAGACTGCCGACGTGGCTAGGGAGTGGCTGAACTATGCTCTCGTTACTCGCGAAGGCTTACACCATTGGGCTGTGCTGGTTAGTTAGGGTATAGAGTATTGGCAGAGTCGCGTGCCCTGATGCCCAGATTTAAGCGGTGAAAGGCCAAAGCTGATGCTCTATTGTTGCTTGGCGATGCACGCGGTGGGAAGGGTCCAGCGATGACAACCAGCTGACAAACCTGCAGCACTGTGCTCAGTTGATCCAGCTTATGGCAAGAGCTGAAAGCGCTGACGGATGACACAGTCAACTTTATTCCCGATTTTGGCTCTGGATCTTACTGCTTTTATCCAAGTGCTACTCGATTAGAACCCGCTAAGTATTGCACCAGGGTCGATCTTAGTCCACCTTAGCTGAACCCGCTTTCCGCCTCCCGGACCAGCTTCCTATATTTTCTTCCCCTCTGCGGAGAAGACAGCAGATCAGCTGAAGGATCTTTCAAAAACGCCTCATTCGTAGTGCTGCCTGAATCTATCCAGAGGCGTTTAAGTTTGCTATGTGCTCAATCAACCCCTCCATACAACTCGCAAGCTTTGGTTTGCTCTACATGGAGGCTGAAGGGCGATCTCTGCTCTTAGAAAAGTATTTCATGTCAGTATCCTTTCACGGGAAGGAGTCACGTTTATGGCAAGTTGACGTAATATGAAATTGGACAGAGGAGTGACTCAGTGTTGCGCTTACTTACATATGTGTGATAGAATCAACGATGAAGGAGGACACTGTGATGACATACAAGTGCTGGGCCTAAAGATCAGCCATCTATCTGCATTCTCTAGCATGAAAAGTGGTCTTCGTCATGAATCTTCGCGTTGGTGCAGACACGTTGACTAAAAAGCGCGAAAGTTGGCGACTTGAGAGAAACCTCTGTATGCTGTCTGGTCTCAAGTAAGCTCGCTCATCCTTGTGTCCCACTGTGTTACCTCTTATCCCATGCAGTATTACTATACCCTTCAAGTTCAATTTGGTCTCATTGCTTGATTTGGGTACTCTTGCGAATGATCACAACCTTGGGTGCCTTGTTTTCCTGACATGGAGATTTCAACTTCGTCCGTCTTTCACACGAAACAAGGCGTACAGACTTCTCCTCCTCCATCAACCTGCTTCGTTGTAAGTTTACGCGTTCCGGAGTAAAATTACCTTTTCGGAACTCGTTTCTGGCCGTGATAAATCGTCCGTTCGCGTTGTTATAGCGGGCGAAGCCTTTTTGGTTGTCTAAGACATGCAAGATCTGCGCTTACGAGGAGCGTCTGCTCGTCCGGCTTGGCAAAGACCAGGTAAGTTATGGTTTCATGGAATGTCATCAAGTCGTACGAAGGAAGCCAGGTGAAAGAAGGTAGCTTTAATAGTCATTCGACGAGCCGCTCGTCCTGACGGCAAGTGAGTCATCGGTATGAAGGTTTGCAGACTTTTCTTTCCGCATGACTGCAGCCTTGGGCTAGCAAAGGCCTTTTTTTAAGCTTCCGTATTCATTGTGTTGAGTTGTCGGGCTCTGGCAGCTTCCATTGCTGTTGAACTTTATTCTATGATATCCGCTATCTGCATTATATGGATATACTAATGCACGACATCAAGGGTGTCGACATTTTGGAATCAGTAGACGTGTTGAATGGCTCGCTTTAACAAAACCGCATGAAATTGAAACCGCCGATGCCATTGAGCTGGTGGAAGATCTTCTGCTCAGGGCTAGATTCAATGTCTACAGATACATATATGTTAGGATGAATTGAGACTGTATTTGTAATGCCAAGGCGGACTGGTCTGATAGGCACAAAATTATATGTAGTATCCCTTGAAAGTGGTTGCGCTCTAGGAAAATTAGCAGGTACATATTTATCTATCTTTGATTTAATTGAACTGAGTAAGGTAGTAATAGAGACTCACACATTTATTCATAGTTCTTGGGTTGAAGGGAGTAATGTTTTTTCCTTCTTGGCAGTCGAACAAGCATTTTCACAAACCATGAGAGAGCTGATGCAAGACTGACAGGAATTCGGGGGCTGAGATTGAGATGTATTATTTGTAGCTTCTGGAGTTAGAAGGCTATACCTTTCAAGTGAGGAAATCGAACAGGAAATTCACACATCCAGAACCCCCGACCTAGAACAGACTGCGACCTCATATATTGATGGCTCCCGGGAGAGCTTTAAGAGCCTCATGCCATTTCTCCCGTGTACGGCCTGGCCCAAAGCTTGGATCAATATTCTCACGACCGATACCGAAATACCTTGACGGACTAGCTAGGCACTGCCAAATGGGATCGTCTGGCGTCTGGCATCGCCCAAGCCGATGGTACGTTACCAGCTCCAGCGTCCAACCATTTTCATCTCTCTCAACCAACAATTCATAATCCGTGAAACAATGGCGGCAGCTGCCCTCGACGTATTTGGCAGCCAGGTTTCCCGCGGATACGTCACCTTTGCCAGTAGAAAACCGGCTGCCCAGAACCTCGTCCAACAAAGCGTACCATGGATCTATTGGAAATTCGTAGTCCCAAGGATCTTCCTCTCCGAAATGGTTACAGATAGGGAGACGAAGCCAATTCATCACGCTGAGGAAGCGACGTCGCTGAACCATCATGCTACTTACTCGATGAAGACGAACGACATGTAGTTCATCCCCCACAACCATGGCGTCATATGTGTGGCCGAGGCTCCAAAGTCCGGGTCCAATTATAGGCCATCCTGGCCTGGTAATCCGCTTAAGAGCCTCCGGATACATGGATTGTTTGAAGTCTCTTGGTTCCTCCGGCAGTAGTCCGTACCGTCCGCCGGGCAGATACTCGTCCAAAGGGAAATAGTCCTGGGTCCATAATCTTATGCAACAGTCGAAATTGAGCTCCTGTTTCAGAATATCAAGGGATAGTCCATATCTCGGCCCGTACCGATGCCGGCTCATGACCAAGTGAGCCTCTGAAAATGAGATTTTTGGGCCGTCCTTACGAGGCTGCCAGCGGTGAAGATTGAAACGAACTTCGTAGGTTGTGGTTCGGATACAATGGACCCAGTTGTCCTCGGTGGTTTCATGTGAGAAGGTGAGCCTCCCTTTCCGGTGATCCCCGCACAGTTCATGGCCCTTATCGTCCCAACCCTGTGTCGGATGTCTGACCAGGCGCCGGAGCTTTCTGCAGCCAAAGCAGACGAATCTGGTTGGGCTGTCCCTTTCGAGGAGTAGTAAGAGCCTAGTCAATTTCTTCCCCTTTAGCTTCTCAAAAATGATCCCACCGAAAGTGCGCCTGCAGGTTAATGCGAGAGCAATACGAGACTCTACCGGTACCGAACGACAAATGATGTCAAGAACCTCGTTTGGGAGTCTCGGAAGCTTAGATTCGGCTAGTGTTGAGGGCTGCTGGGTTAGAGCACCGGATGCCATCTTAACCCGGTTGATTGCTTGTAGAAATTGGAAATTTAAGTGATGTATGGATGCCGTCCTGGCATTCTGAAAAGGAAAAGCGACAGCTACAATTTTGTGGAAAGCATTGAAAATTCTTCAAGTCAGGGGAAATCTCAATTTTGTGCGTAAAGTGGTGGCAAAGGGCTAATTTTTTCACATACATAAAGTTTGAAACGTTGGCCTTCTTTTATAGCCCTACCAGCCGAATACTATCTGACAAGGTTTAAGATATTGCGCCGATCAAGAGTTGAAAAGAGAAAACTGGCATGGCTTGCGCTATGCTGGAGAACACTGAGATGATCCACCACAATGGGAGACGATATTTCCCCATGGAGTTGGGAAGATGCTCAGGAGACAATTGTGTGAAGCATTCGAGAACTAGGTTTGGATATTGGCGGCAAGAGTGAGCCGCGTTGTGTGACTTTTAGGGTGAGGGTAGGTCTGTCTCTCCGTGTGTGCGTGTGCTGTGCGGACAGGGGGGCCTTTATCATGGCTAAACGTCAATTGTCACGAAATGCATGAGGAGCGGCTAAATATGATATACGTGAACATGCACTAGATTTGCCGATAGCTGGCTGCAGTGCGGTTGAAGATGATTGCAGTCAATCACTACTCTATCTAGAAGACTGGACTGCCTCGATTCTTGGTTATTTCACCATAATCGGAAAGTTTACGGTGGCAAACTACGTGAGAAGGAGAATAAAGTTTAACAGCAATGGAAGCTGCCAGAGCCCGACAACTCAACACAATGAATAGCGGTGGCAAACTACAGTTGATGCTAAGAATTGCAAGTACTACGAGGCTGAGTAACCTACTGTGCGCCTGGGTAATTCTGACTGAGAGGTATTTGCTGTTTCTTCCCGCACAGAAAAATCCACCTTGTGATAAAGAGCTCTGTGCTTATATATATTTAGTGAACGATCAATAGAAGAAATTCGCTTGGACAGGGAGTGACTCGCTTCGGGGATCGTTGATGGATGTGGCACTATCTAGCCGGTTGTCTCTTTTAGTGCTGGATGTGGTGGTCATCGCCTTGATTCCCGGCTGGCTACTCCTGCCCGCAACTGGGCCAGCTGCTGTACAGTAAATGTTCCTCCCAGCTTGCGTAGCTGCTCCCTGTCCATCTTGTCCGAGACTGTCATTGGCAGTCGGGGCAGAACAAAGTAGAGGTCTGTTGTCATATAGCGGGCAGGTGGTGGGCCATTCTCTCTTCTACTGGGGAGGGACATCACTTCGATCGCGACATCCTCGTCTGCAGCCTTGTCTAACCGCAGCAGATGGCGCTGCTCGCTATTCAACTGTAGAAACGCGGCCAAGACTGTATTCTGGCCCTGTCCACCAGGTGTGATCTTCTCGACCGCCGTGTGTTCTACCCCGGGCATGGAGTCTCGAATACAATGATGGAGCATGGTATCTTTTAGAAGGGTGTTAGGTTAGGACATCACGGGAGCCTGGCGATTTCCTTGTATATGCATTGGGGTGGAGGGTAACGATTATGAACACATGCGGCTGTTCTTGAATTGCCGTCTTATTTTTTTTTTTCACTTCGACAACTCGGAAGTTACACGAGGGCGAAATAATATGGGATAGTTGTACGTATTGGATATGGTCCACGACGTGACTGACTTTATTAACTGGTGCGCCTGCGCCCTTGAATAAAATACAAATCGCGTCGAACACGTGAAGCACGGTAAGTTAAGAATACATCAGTATGGAACATATACATCATCATCCATATTCACGTAGGCATCCATCATTTCTAGGGGTATCGGCATCAGACCGCTTTGATCGGGTGCAGATCCGATCCAATCCGATCCGGGAGTCCGGCGACAGCCTCAATGGAACGCAGCCCGGGGTTTACCTCCCTTGCCGAATTTGCGGATATAGAGGAGGCCTGGGTCGATGAACGGTGCGTTGAAGATGAAGAGTCGGCCGAGGAAGGGGGATTGTGGCCGTAATTACGGTACTCGGTGGGACTAATCTCTATTCCACGCACAGATGCGAGCCAGGCGACTGAATCCCGAGCGCTGGAAAGTGTGTTGGATGGCCGCGATCGACGCGATGCCGCAGCAGTAGAGGTGGTCCTTACGGAGGTGGAGGGCGAAATACCCAGGTCGGCAGAAGCGGGAACAGAAGCATGGGCCGAGCGAGGGTCTTGTTGCTGGCCTTGATTTATGGAAGGACGACTGGTGGCTGTGATACGTCTTGTAGGAGCACGGCCAGGAGGAGATGTGCCGTTGGTAGCAGGGTGGACAGCGGCGGCAGGGGAACCAGTCCGGGTCGAATTACGGGGAAGAGGCTCAATAGCAGTGTGAGCATTGGTGTTACTGGTCGTGGCCACACTACCGACCAGATCGACACGCTCGATGGCGTCCTGGATGGGAGCATCTGTGGTCCTGGGCTCCCAAACCCGCCGTGGCTCAGATTGAGCTGCGGTGTAGCGGTACTCGGTCACCAGGCGCACGACGTGGCGCATCTGTGTCTCGATCCTCTGCTTGCTGGCATCGCTCCATCCGGCCCTGCATGGGTGCTTGATGACGACCTGCCTGATGCGATTGATGCGGGATCTGGTGTAGTAGAAGTGCCTGCGCGAGCCGGTGCGCAGCGAGTATTCAATGAGCTGCAGGTGTTTGAACACGACGATCCATTTGTCCGTGACGGCGATGCAGTTGAGGATGGCGATCAGGACGGCCTCGTAGTAATGACTTGGGGATTGTGAGACATCAAACACTCAATTGGGAGGGGAGGAGGACGTACTCGTGTGTGAGCTTGGCGACTTGCTGGAATTTCAGAGGACAGTTGCGCCAGTTTTGGTTTTCGACGGCGCGCCGCAGGGTCCGTTCAATGTCGTTGGTCAGTTTGTTGGCCTTGTTGTCGCCTGCTCTGCCTCTTGCGTTGAAGAAATCGAACAAGGTCGCAGGGTGGTCTTTGTCCTGGTTTGTGCCGCCGTGACACTCTGCCTGCAGGGGATCGCCCACCCGCCCGAAGATGAATTTAAATTCCCTCCGGAGCCATGCCAGCAGTCCAGGCGTGGATTCCGTGGGCATTAGAGGAGAGGTTAAAAAAAGAATTAAATTAGATTGAATTGAATTGAATGGAATTGGGGTATTTGCATAAAGTGAGCGATGCGTTGTGTTCAATAAGCCTGATTTTAGTAATTGAAGAAGAGAAGAACAAGGAGGGAGGATACGACCAACGAAAGAGCGGGCGGCTTTGCTTCAATGTGAAAGATGGTAGAGCAAGCGCTAGCCACCATCTATCTAGATGGCGACTCATGCAGGTGATGATCACACCTGAGATGCCGTAATGGCCGCAATGGTTGGAGGAAAATTTGCATCGCCCTGGAGCTAGAGAAGAGGACCATCGCCGTGCAAGTCGCGGCGCACTTTACAGACGTGATGGGATACATGATGCAGCCTTGACATATTGACCTTCGGACCTTGCCGTTGTTCCGTTCCTGAAGGCCAGTCCAATCAAAATCCATCTCACCATCCCTCTGATCGTGTAGCTCCATAATCTCACTGACTAATCCCGTCATGTGCCTGTTTATGAACCAACCCATACAGTTCTGCCCCGGTGATGTCGATTCAATTTCAAAAAGGTAGACAAGGCGCCTAATATAACATCTTGGCCTTAATGACATCTTTAAACATTGAATGATTCAATAGTGCAAATAGCAAGTAGCGACATGTTATGGTAAACAACTCTGCTGACTAACTTTGTCAAGTGGGGGTTACTTATGGCTAGCTACTTGACTTCTTTTCGGAAGAGCTCCAGTAAGACCGCAACATCCTGAAGCACAGCAACGCTTCCTGGTCACTATCCCTTTTGGGTACCATAAGAAATAAGTTCAAGGATAATTCATATGTCCATTCTTTAGAGGATGTTCGCAATGATAACAGTTTGAGCAAGCTCACGTGTTTGGCGTGCCGTCTACCTGTTGAGACTTACACGGGCTACAGGGTAGTTGGCTATCATCTGTCGATGGAAGTTGCCGTTGTCCTTTTTATGCTTCATAACAGAGGAGGGTCATCGGGCTTTCGAATAAACGCAGTCTGATTCTGTTCATCTTCGCCCAGGAAGAAAAATTCTGCAGCCCTTAAAGGCTGGAGAGAACTTAGGCGGTGGAGGACTTGTAATATATCATAAAAAAATCAACTCTTTTCATTGAACCCAAGGTGACAAATCTGTCAGGACATCTTTATTCAACACATTGGAAATAGCAAACGCGCGCTTCAATTCATGATTTTACGTTAATTCATATATACTTGCGTCGTGTTGACACAGTGACTGGTGGATCTTGGGTGAACGACCTTCCATCTACCTATAAACGTAAGATCTTCATCAATAATGCACACCATCACTTGACTCGTAATTGCGCTCTCGAGGGTATGGGCAGGTCATCAATTGGCTCGGTATGCCGAACCGGCCCAATCCCACCACCAAACATGTCATCTAATGCTTCGGTAAAGAACTTCTGGAGGGTAGGGAAGGAATGTATGTGCGGTCGGATTTGCTCCAGAATCTTATCATTCAAGCCACGCTCGAAGCCTACCTTCAAGACTTTGACGAGTTTTATGCCGGTCCACTTGCCGGGCCGGTTGTATAGCCTGAAAGCCTCGAAAAGGCAGATGGCTCCGACTGATTTCGATACCGCCACTTCAGCCTCCTGGTCGCCGCTGGGGCCATCGGCATCCGAAGATGCTGAACTTGCGTTTCCTGGCAGATGTTTCTTTGCGAGTTGAAGGACGTCATATCGAAGCAGCTCCTCGTAAATCTCGTCGTTGTTCCGCTCGGTCGCCAGATCGAGCAGTTCGCGATAGTCTCTCGTCAACCAGGCTCCCTTCTCCAGCAGCGCATGGACCATGTCCAGGCGGTCGAATGAAACTGCTTGGTAGAGAGGGCTCACGTACTTTCCGCCGCAGGCGAAGAGCTTCGCCCTGTGCCTCAGCAAAAGCTTCATTGCATCGAAATGCCCTTCCACGACAGACGCAATGAGCGGGGAGCCATACTCGCCACCGGAAGCATCGATGTCTGCCGCAGCTTCGATCAACTGGTGCATCATAGCAATATTCCCCTTGCTCGCCGCGGCTTGCAGTGCTGTGCCGTATATGCTGGATGCCATGTCGACGTCCTGGCCCTCATCTATCAAGGACCACAGCCCGTCGTAGTTGTTGTCCAGCACCGCTTCCACAAGCTTGTCACCGGGCAGGACCATGTTGGTGCCCAGCTCTTTGGCGATCGATTGCTCCTCGATCATGTCCCTTCTTGACATGTCCCTTCTTGGCAACTGGGTGATCTTTCCATAACTCCTAGAACAGAGGAATTGGGTCATGTCCCATGGCTTGGCGGACTTTGGTACACTCCACTCCTCGGCATTGGCAACATACGTGTCGGCCTCAATCTTGATCGTGTCACCGTCTTTGATATTAATACGGACAGTGACTCGCTGCCGCACCAGCTCAGTCATCCCCCATGAACCGGATTCTTCTCGTCTCCCGTCAAAAAAGTGACGCGGGCCGCCTTTCTCGTAAAGATGATCCAGACAGGCCAGTGCCTCGGCCGAGAGACCAAATATGAGGAATCCGCCCGTCTCGCCTTGCTCGTTCGGTTGGATGTACGCTAGGCTGTACTGGCGGAGACAAAATCTCGAGTAGCCTGGCAGAACCGCAGGCGTCCCGTGCTGGGCGGCCTCCCTCATCCCGTCGTTGATTCTGTCCCAGTCGCTTTCCACCGTGCGCAGGCGCCTCCCCTGACTAGACGAGTAAATGCCATCAGGATTGAGGAAATGCTCCGCTTGGGCGCGCAGTACGCTGGGGAACATGAGTGTTCCGTACACAAAGAGCGGCCGACGATACTCGGTGGCCAGACGTTGACGCAGCTGCGGTGCTGAGAATCGATTGCTTGCAGCTTCAGATGGTTAGCACTCGCGTTTGTTTTCGAGGAATCGGGAACTTGCACTTACCGAGAAGATATGACGGAACATATGTATTTGGGGGAATGCCCAGCTCTTTGCACGCTCTGGTCTGCGCTGCACTGGCCGTGCCGGGAGCATGAGGCATCTCGGCCTTGATGCTATACGTACCACTTGACCGATCTCTGTGGCTCCTCTGCAGAGCCTTGGATTGGACAACCTGCTCTTCTGGAAGCCCAGAGAACCGCACACGCTTGGTCCTTTTCAGCTCGAATCGACCGGCCTCAGGTTCGAGCGTGGCCGTCCCGCTATCATTTTGCAGATGGGTCCAGCCAAAGTCATGGACCAGGTGCGTGTCGCGCAGATGTTGCCTGAGCTTGTCCATGCTGTCGAATACCTGACAAGAGACGCCCGGACCGGGACTGCACCCTGGCCATGGACAGAGCGCTGTGGATTCCGGAGAGACGAAAGGTCGTGAAGCATGCCTCATGTCATCCGGTATTCTTGAAGATGGCGCTGATATGCCCACATCTTCAGCAGGATTTCCGGTTTTGCTGGTTTGCTTGAGAGGTGGTGGGATCAACTCAGTAACATCCTCCAGAAGATTCCGAGGGTCCTTTGGTGGGTTGTTGTAAACTACCAATGTAGTGTCGCCGTCTTCCACAACAGGGGAAGTGTAATTCTTGGCCGCCTTGTCCTCTTCTCCAGGGACGTTCACTGGCTCGGTCACGGTGTCACAGTCTTCCACATCAGTGACATCTAACGTGTCCGACTCCCAAGACTCCAAAATGTCCGAGTGCGACAGGTCTGTTTCATACGAGACTGGGTGTTGGTGACCTGGTTGAGGGCGTGACCGGTCACTGCAGCAGAGGCCATGGTAGGCTCCCTCCAGCTTGAAGATCCTCCGGACCAGGTCGCTTGCCGTGAGCCTCTCTTCCTTTTTGGATCTGCACATGGCTTCCACGACATCAACGAGAATGGCATCCTGCGGGTTCTCCTCATTCGATAAGATGCCCCGCAGGTATTGCAGCCACGCCTGGAGGCCTCGCTCATTCTCATAATAAGCAGTTGACCCAGAGCCATTGGCTTTGTCTTGCAGGAACTGGCTGAGGTCATGCATGGACTTCCCGGCAAGCACGGTCAGCATCTCGACGAAGACACAGCCGAGAGACCATATATCACTTGCACGTGTCCGAGTCTATCATTTCGTTAGCTTGTTTGACGCGTGGTGATGGTTTCGTAGCTAATGGGAGCATCACTTACCCCGATGACCGCCTCGAGGGGTGCATATCTCTTGGAAACAAACTTCATGCTGGGGTTTGTGGACGACTCGGCAGTGTCATCGACATCTTCCCTTCTCACTTGCGCAGTCCCGAAATCTGTCAGATACACCTTGCTCTCCTTGACGAGAATGTTCTTGGGTTTAATGTCCTTGTGCTGCACACCCTTGATCTTGTTGTTGTGCAGGTAGTCAATGGCGGTGGCAATGCATCCAAAAAAGGTCCGGATGCGTAGGCGTCGGTCAGCCTCGCCGGCCGGGGGGAGCTTCTTCTCCAGAAAGGCCGCAAGATCCTGATCTGCGACCGGCGTCATGAGGATGCCGACGACGCTCGCATCGGTGTACGACCCGACCACCTTGACAATGTGCTGATGGTCGACAAACTGCAAGACCTCCAGTTCGTTCTGGAAGAGCTTCAGGATCTTCCGGTCCTTCGTGTCGTCAATATGCTGCCGGGGTATCGTCTTGAGAGCAAAGTGCATCAGGCTGTGCTTGCCAATCACATGGTCGACCTGCGACCGATAGATCTGAGACCCTCCCTGACCCAGCCTCCGTTTGGTGTAGAAGAACTTGCTCCGTGCATCTCCTTGGCAGTTCTGGTGTCTCGCTCCCCCCGATTCCAAACTGACCCCCTGGCCGTCAAGCACATGATTCTGATATGCCAGAAAATGCGCCCTATTCTCCCCCGTCAGGGCGTCGGGCAGGTTATCCTCCGTGTAGGGCAGAAAGTAATCACTCCGCTCGTCGGTAACAAATGAGTCCATGGCCTGCTCGAGGCCGATCATGTAGAGTATCACGAAGTGCCTCGGCCGCAGAGCCCACTCCCTCTTTCCGCGCATGAGGAGGAGCTCGGCGATGTAGTTGAACTCCTGATCGCGCAGACGGATCTTTTGCGGGCGCTGGCTGTCCTGGCACACGGGCAGGAACTTGTGCAGCTTCTGGCGGAAGTCATCGTCGGAGATCATGCAGCTGGCAGCCGCCTCGATCAGGTTGCTTCTGGACCGCTTCGCCTTCTTGAGTGCTGGTCTGATGTTTCTGAGTATGTTGCACGGCGATTCCGCCATGGTGTATCTCTCTCTGTCGCGGGGATGCATTTTGAGGGTTGCAAGAGGTGATTCGCCATCACATGTGAACTATGCGCCATTGTTCGTATTTAATCTCTAGGCCTAAATCGAGATTTACAGCATTTCTCCAGCTTCTGCAAGGCTGCCCAAGCCGAGATGATCAGCCGCATTTCGTGTAGTAAAACTATTCCGCCCATTTGTGAGATTGCGGCTGGATGTTCGCCCAAACAAGCCCAATGGGGAAGCCCTGAGGCTGTTCTCCATTGGCAGAGCCACGAAAACAGGGATTCTGATCGCTCTGGGAAGGGCACTGCCTTACAGATCAGTTTCCAGCCGCAACAGTGGTGTGCTGGTCAGCAGATTCAGAGACATCACTGGACTCACGTGGATCATTTCCCCCTTCCCCAGCGAATAACTGGTGGCAACGGTCGCAAACTCGATAGTGACAAATAGTTGATGCGAAGGGTCGTACGCAAACTGGGGCAGTGCAGCATCGATCGGGCACGACGCCCAATGAGCAACACTCCCGGCAAGCCTCACTATTACACGTGGCTAGGCTCGACGAGCTGACCTGTGACGAGGTCTGGCTCAGCCATCCAGCCCGATGTGCAAGTTTGGGCTCGCAGATTGTCGCCACCCCCAGAGGGCGTAATCGTTAGGCTTTTTCCGGGGACCAGCCAAGTCCGATAGCTGATGGTGGGGGATGTGTTTTAATTGGAAGGCTGGCATTTGTATATGAGTGACAATGCAGACTGTTCCCAACCACTGGCAGTCTACGAACAACTTACATGCGTTACTTGGACTATGGACCCTATCAGTGCTGCCGGAATTGGCTTGGGCGTCACATCGCTCTCGCTCCAGGTGTTTTCAGGATGTATCAAGGGTGGGTTGAATCCAGTTCGAAGGCGCCAATTACAGAACTAATCAAGTGGCTGGCAGGTTATCAGATGTTTATCGAAATGGTGGGAATGCCCGCCGAGTTTGAGCATCTCCGTACTCGGCTCCGGATTGAACAATCACGATGCCTGCTATGGGGAGAAAAGATAGGCCTGGTCGAGGAACTACTTGACAGACCACACAGGATGCTGCAGATGAACCACAATCTGGTCCTGGACATACTGCATCAGATGCAAACAACATTTAGGGCGTGCATCGAGACCACGGCGGCGTTCGACCATGGGGCGGCGGACAGGAGCTCAGAAGCACCAAGGAATACGACAGAGACTGGGACCAAACCGAGATCGACATTTCTCAGAAAGACTCTCGCAGTATGGGAAAAGGGTGGAAGAGTTGCCACGAGACTCGAGTGGGCAATGCTGAAAAAGGACAGCTTCGAGAAGCTCGTCACCAAGCTCGTCCAGTACAATGACCGCATCGAATCATTTCTGGATCGCAGTGCGCTCGAAGAAGTTAGAGCGATGCAAGCTCAACACAACTTGGCCTTGCTGCAAGTGACGGACAGGATTGACCAAATCCAAGACTTGATCCGTGCGATGAGTGTGATTCGCAGAAGTCCGGCTGACGATTCCGACCTCGACAGCCTCTTCTCCAGAGCAGTTACCCTTGCAGAAGAGCCGTCTGATGCGGCGAACCAGTCCGTCGTGTCGCTCGCCGAGTTCAAGAGGCATCACCTGAGCATTGAGATGAACATGTCACCTGGCGAAACGTTTCTCATACCGCCCAACGACATGGAACTGGATGGGGCGCCCAAATATTTCGGTCGCCAGTTCGCAAGTCTGGACGAGCAAAAGGTGTGGCTCGAATGGCGGGAGAGCGTCGACGACGCATTCTCCCAAGAGACGTACAGCTCGACCGTCGAGACCCGGGTCAAGAAGCTCTCCGCCATCCTTGCTGCGCCTGATAGGCCGAGGGCATTCCACTCCCCTCAATGCCTGGGGTACTACCGTAGCGAGGCAAGCGATAAGCCCGGGTACGCGCTGGTATACAAGTGGCCCGCCGACACGCACGGCCAGGACGCCGACATGGTGTCGCTCCGCGAGCTGCTCAGCAGGATGAGTGTCCCGCCGGCGTTCAACACCCGGCTCCAGATTGCGAAGATGCTGGCCTCGTCGTTGCTGTACCTCCACGCAGTCGACTGGGTTCACAAGGACGTGCGTAGCGACAGCATCCTCTTTGCGGCCGACCCGGACCGCACCATCAACCTGAAAGAGCCCATCTTCTCTGGATTCGAATTTTCGCGACCGGCGTTGCCGGAAGAGGTCACCGTGTCGCATCAGTTCTCGGACAAGCATGATCTGTACCGGCATCCAGACCTCCTGACGCTCGACGCGGGCAGGTCGAAGAAGTCCCACGACATCTACAGCCTCGGGCTCGTCCTTGCGGAAATCGCTCTCTGGGAGCCCATAGAGGACATTGTGGGGATCAAGGTGCGCAGGAAGGAGCTGAAGTCGGTGAGGAAGCGCATGCTGAGTCCCACCCTCTCCTCGTTCCTCGGCGAGCGCGTAGGCTGGATCTACACCGACGTCGTCAGGGACTGCATCGAGGGCGGCCAGGCCCTGGACCTGTTGCCCGGAGACGACGAGGAGGATCCCGAGACGGGCGTGAGACTTTCCAACGCCTTGCATGAGAGGGTGATTCAGAAGCTTGAATCCATCCGAGTGTGATCTGCAATGAGATAAACATGTACTGCATAGATTTTGCTATTTAGTTGTAGATTATTGTCATAAGGGTTGATCTTTGTGGGTACTGCGTTTTCATGCAATTAATCTAAAAGATAGTGTGCTAGGCACAGGGTTAAAGGTCACGATGAGTGCGAAATCTGGGTTTGGATATGAGTCTCAACAATTTCACTGCCCTCGATGAATCTAACTCCCATGGACTGACCTTAGTTGTTTATAGGTACAGACCAAAGAAATGAAATCTAAAGATAATGAAAGATCCCTGCCAAGTTTGTCCTATGTATCGCTGCCTACGTTCCTCGTAGATTCATGGACCCTTTAGTCTCTGGGTGGATCTTGGGCTTGAGAAGAAGGCAGACATATATACAGCTGAAACGAGCCGAAATTAGTTTCGGGGCGCTCTCGGGAACTCTTGCATTGGTGGTAAGTGATTGATCCCGAATTCACGAAGAATTTGCTGGAGGCAGCTGGTAAGTTGAGCGCCAACATCGTGCAGTAGCGCACGAATGGGAACACTCCTTGACCTGGACGCAAGAGTAAATATTTCGTAACTCTCGTGTTTTCTGCAAAAACAACGTGATTCTGCTCATGCGGTGAGCAGGAAGTTCAATAATATTAGATGTCAATATCCACTGCCCAGATCGTATTTCGCATTCCAGGGACAACCGAAAAAAATAGTCTGTCGTAGAGTTATCGCATCCTCATATGACATGCAAACACCAGACATAGCACTCCTGATGTCACCTTCCCAGGAGTATCTAATATTGAAGCCAGCTCACAATGGAAGTCAAAGCACCGGATAGCGGCCGAGAGCATTTGTATAAGAAGGCGAGAGCATCCGCTGGTTCTTGCAACAATACCACCTGTGAACAATACATTCAATTTGATTGACCATGAAGATCCCTTCTGCCATTGTTTTCGCTTGCCTCTTTGGCAGCTCTATCGCAGCCATCGGAGACCATTGTACGTACCCGGTTGAAGGAGCTGTAAGTCTTAAGACATTATCCTTTCCAAGCTTTGAACAGACCTGATAATGCTTATTCCAAACTAGACATATAATGGAATATGCCGCAGGAGGGCCAACTGTGCCAATGATGGCAAATGGTATGCAGACAACAGGTGCCCCGATGGTAAGAGCCTGGGTCCCGAAGATCTACCTCGAAAAGTCTATTAATGGGGAATTTAGATATCGCCGATGTCAAGTGCTGTATTCAAACCGAATGTAAGGTCGGATTCTGCTCCAATACAGAGCAGGGATATTGTGCCAGTCTTGGGGGCGTTTTCAAGAGGTTAGTTCCAGCTGTATTGTCTGTCTGTTAATAATATGTCCATTGACGGCTGACATTTCCGACTGCTCCAGTGGTCTATGCCCTGGGCCAAGCGATGTGCAGTGCTGCAAATTTTGAAAGGAAAAACCGAGCCGGTGGTTCATGATAGGAGGCATTGGTCCTCACCCTGTGTAGAGGATAACGCTGGGTTGAACTACATACCTTTACTTGGGTTTCGCTCTTTTGGTTGTATTGTTAATTAATCACTGATGAATTCCATTGAGTGTGATTGATTTTGCAATTGAAAACTGTGCTTACCTAATCCCTGTGTTGTAACGCTAGAATCTGGAACTAGCAAAAACCCTTCCTCACACACAGCTTTCTAGAGATCAATCCAACAACTACCTCCGACGAAGGCCACTTCACTCGAACAATCCTACAATGAGGAAATACCAACGTCAGGCGCAATCCCAACCAAAACACGGGCCGCCCTCAGCCAGCGGTGCATCCAAAGCCCCGATCGCACCACCCACCCGACGACCAGATGAGAGAGGCTCTGGCATCACCAAGAAGTCCGTAAAACGCCCGTCGCCTCAGGCAACCCCAGCACCAGCCGCAAAAATCCACCAGCAGATTATTCCAGATAGCCTGCAACAGCTGATTCTGGATATCTTTCGGGAAACATTCCCTGAAGTAGATGATTTTGAAGCGCTGAAACCGGCGTTGCGGGAGATAAAGGATACTCTCGATCGCCGGGATTTCCAGGGAGCCTTTGCCACTCCAGAGCACAAGGAGAGATATACCATCCGATGGAGTCCGAGCCAGGCATTAGCATATGCAAACATTTTGGCTTGGATTGCCAAAGAATACAGCGATAACGAATGGATCAAACGCTTCGATGCCGGTGATGTCGAACATAACCCGTCAAGTGTCCTTTGCTTTGGTCGAGGCGCGGCGGAGCTCGTGGCTTTGATCACAATGCTGAAGAACTCTCATGTGAGCGCATCAGGACAGCCTATCCAGCCACAGCCCGCAAATGGACAAGAAATTGATGGAGCGCTTGAATCTTTGGCCGTCTCTGATCAGCGACCCATATCAGACAAGGCTCTGCTGAGCGTTTACCTGGTTGACACGACCGACTGGACCGAGGTCGTATCCAAAATACAACAATCCTATACAACACCACGCCCTCTCTCCAAGTATGCCAGCGCCAAGGCACGACTTTCAAACAGCCCTCCGCTTTCCCCCCAAGCTCTGAGCTGGAAGTTTAGGCAACTCGATATACTTGAATGCGGCGTTGAAGAATTAGGTTCTACGATCGGTCGCGATCCAACGTTAATAACTCTCTTCTTTACTCTGAACGAGATGTATTTGAATTCAATTTCTAAAACATCGGCTTTCTTGCGGAAGATAACTGCGGCGGCGCCTAAAGGAAGCCTTCTACTCATCGTTGATAAACCTGGTGCCTGTGTCGAGGCAGGGCCTACGAACGACAGTACTGAAACAGAGAGGAGACAATACCCTATGCATTTGCTAATGTATCGGGCATTATTTCCTGTGGAAAATCAGAAAATCGAAAAGGTCAAAGAAAAGAAAGAACCTGCTTGGCAGAAGCTGGTCGAAGAAGATAATTGCGTGTTTAAGCTAGACAAGGGTCTAGTATTTCCTGGCAGTTTGGAAAACATAAAGTTCCAGATGCACCTACTTCAACGTTTATAGGGCTGGTGAGCTGGAACATTAGTATCGAGTATACACTGATTTGCGAGTTCGAAAGAGTCCACTCCCAAGATTCATGTCACAGGGAATCTGTTTCTCAGGGTTATCATCTAATCTCGATAAAATTGAAATACCTAAATGCGAAATTTCATACGCAAGAATCAATGAAAACATTGGGATTCACCCAAGAGGATTGCTTCATTGCAAAGCTACTTCAAGAGGCAGTAACATTAATCACCTCGACGAAGCATGGACAAGGCCGAAAAATAAAGGATAGTAGATCCGTAAAACAAAAGCGACGTCTTTTATAGTATCTAGCTGAACTTTAAATTGAGAGACAAATAACTTGTCTCTCGATAGCTCCATTCGATTTGAAGAACTAGCCTAGGACACTGTTCCACGTCGGACTCGAAGTTCCGCCTCCATCAAAGACTACCAGATAATACAACACAGTTCTAATTAAATTGAAAATTGTCAAGGACGCAAAAAAGCTCACGGCCGATGGCAAAATAAAAAGACTCCATAGCCAGCGGTCAATACGGTGACCTAACGTTGGCAAGCATCGTATTCCTGACACAACAGAGGATATCGCCCATCTAACCTTGGAGCCGTCATTACCATCTTGTTCCTGTGGCTTTTCCGACTCACTTAACTGCGCTGTGGGTGCGGGTTGGTCTGTTGCTGACTCTATATCCTGGCCGCTGGGTTGCTGAACCGTGCCTCTCTTTCCAGCGATGAGCATCCCAAAGGCATGAATCAGCACGGCCGTAATGTTGCTAACAATTGCCGCACAGAACATCAGGCTCGTGGAGTAACTTCCTCGTTTCAGCCACAAGGGGACTGGGATGATACGCGCCGTAGAACCCTTTTCTTCGATGGGCGACTCTGCGACCCCTTTCAGGATGGCGAAGAAGATGAATATCCCAAATAGAGGGACTATGCGAGGATATTTTGAAATAGCGAATCGCTGACTCGAGATGCAGAAATAAATGGCCGAAACAGCAAGCTGCATCAATAAGCCCAGACAGCAGGCAAGGGTCACCCAAGAGTTGAGATCTTTGAGACTGGCGGACTGTTCAAACGACGACAAGCGGGCGATATTGTACCATGTCCATAGCTCCGAAATGACCACGCACGGGTAAATGAGAAGTGCTAGGCATGCTATTACGGGCTGGCTTTTACTATCGTCGAAATGTCCTACTCTGGCCGGATAACGTTCTTCAGCGGCAGGAATCCAGAGATCTATGATGAGACTTGTTGCGATGGCGAAGAAAAACACAAAGGCGCAGATTTGAGAGACCGGGATGCCGCGCATGCTCAAAATCTTGATCGCCTGAGGCAGGACCGCAAGAATAGTCATTACAAGCTTGACCATGATTAAATTTGGCTCTCCGTGAGCAGTCTGCTCTGCACGATGCTCCTTCTCCTCTCTTTTGGACATGTGGTGGCGAATTGCCTCGCCTACAATGATGAGGTCAAATATAGCATCGGCGAGACAGACCCATGGCATCGAACGTAGGGGATCGATACTGGTACCAAAATTCATGCTGCGGCCTAGCATCTTGCTTCTCGTGGACGGCAGAGTTGCAGCAGCTATGCCAAGAGTGAGGAGGATCCAGAAGACGGATGGACCGCTCACCTCTTGCCAGTCTGATGCTTGGCCTTCCATGGTAGAAGCGAAGACGAATATCTGAAAGACAAAATAAAGTAAAATCAATTCACTGAGGGATGGCCTTCCTCGCTTATCTCAAATGGGGACACCTCAGCTCACGAATAATGAACCGAAAGAGTAGAATTTCGTCACTTGGATTAGTCACACCCCAAGGCATACAAGGCTTCCCCATGGGCTTACCAGAATCTCACCTAGGCCCTTGTCGATCTGCAGGCTTGTTCGCCCACAACAGGGATTCATCAGGCAGAAAAGCTACCCCGCAGTCAGGCTGAGCGCGTATTCGTTCGAGTTAGGTGTCTATATATTCTTCCAGGAAATCGAATGGCACGGAATTCACATTTCAAAGTAGATGATTTATCAGTTGACTAGTACATTATTAAGTCTGGAACGACAACCATCCGGTAATAAAGGAAGCGAGTCTATCAGAACAAAAGAAACAAGAAGAACATGCTAAGAAATGCCACATGCGTGAATCCGCAACAAAATCATTTTTAGGAAGTTCACATATAAGCCTTTACCTGGGCCTCTGACCATTCCCAGAATGTTTTCGACATGCCGAGCCCACCGGCCGTCTTTGGCTTCACTGCATCGACCTTGTCGGGGGTCATCTGCCACAATCTACCCCAAGGAGCCACTTAAAAGGTGACATGTTAGCCTCTGATGTTATAAATTAAGAAGATTGAGATGCGACTTACCAAAGCTGCCGCTCCTTTCTGATGTTACTTGGGGAGAAAATGCGGAGAAGATGTTGGTGTATCCACCATACACAGCTGGATGAAGGACAGCAACTCGGAGGAGCCAGTGCAAGAACCGACCTGTCGATCGCCAGAAGTCTGAGTCGAGATTGCCGGGATTCAGCGACACAGAGATGACACCATCTGCTTTGTGACGGGCCGCATACTCGGCGCCGTAGAAGTAGTTGCCCATTTTACTAGTGGCATAGAGCTCGAAGGACGACTTTTTCTCGGGATGGTTGATATAGTCCATCCATTTTTCATTGACAACGTAGCCCTCAGTCGCTGAAGAAGAAGCCCAAATAACACGCACGCTATCCTTTGGGGAGTTCCGCGCAGTTGAGATGATGGTAGGTGTCAGGCGCTGAGTGAAGAGGAAAGGCCCGACGCAATTCACACCGAGCTGTAACTCGTGTCCTTGAGTAGTCTTGAGTCCTCTCTCAGGGTATCCCAGACCTGCGTTATTGAAGAGGAGATGGAGCTGTGATTCCTTGCGCAAGAACTCCTCTGAGGCGCTTTTCACAGCAGAGAGATCGGAGAGGTCAAGGCGCAGGTACTCCATCTGACCCTTGGTGGTATCTGGAGATGCAGCTTTGATGTCATCAATTGCCTTGCGAGTCTTCTCCTCTGAGCGTGCGGCGAGGTACACCTTGGCGTTCTTCGCGTAGAGAATTTGTGCGATCTCCTTACCAACGCCAGTGTTGGAGCCTGTGACGATGCAAACCTAAGAGAGTGAATTAGCGACCTACTGGCTAATGATGAATATTATAGAAAAATACCTTGCCCTGCAAATCCGGAACATCTTTCTCAGTGAAAACGACCTTTGGGGGGAACACTTGGCCAAAAGTGCTTCTCATGTTGGCGAAAGACATGGTGACTGATGGTTGGTTTAGTCTTGTTTGAGAGGGTTCAAGAGTGAGTTTTAGATCTAAGAAAAAAGGGATCTTAGTAGACGGATATCAAGATTGAAGTTGCGATTGTTGTGCTTCTGGGATAGAAAATATTGATCCCATTGACTCTCTAGGTTCTCTTATACCAAGATGGAGTGAGTGTCGCATTCCGGCGGACTGTGGAAATACCGCGGGATTGAGCTGGCAGGAATCCGGATCAACTCAGTGGCAGGGAGAACCGCAAACCCGCGGGATTCGGTTCCTCCAAGTCCGGCGCTGCGGTCATCCAATACCGCCATTTGACGGGCTTTATCGCGTTTAACTCCGCTCTTCGTTTGCCATCTTCGGTTGATCGCATATGGTTCAGTCGTACTCGTGTATTACTTGTGTGTCCAATGAGAACGGTCGAGCTGCTCTGTCATTGACTTGGTCTACTACCCTAGCGAATTCCGCGGCTTCGAAGCTGATAAATCCCAGCCAAAACATCCACCGGATTTCGTCGACTGAGGCCAGCCATGGGCTCTGTTCACCGTGGGTCGGGGCAGGATGCGATCGAATCTTGCAAGCCTGCCCCCTATGGAGGCGCCTGTTCAGCATGCTCTAGAGCAAAGTGCAAGTGCTTCTACCGTACGGACGGTTCCGGATGCGAGCGGTACGTATATCCCCCCCTCCCGCTCTCCCTTCTCGCTAAACCTCAACTCTCTCATCCTTGGTCTGGTGATCCCCCTCAACATATTCTTGGTCGAGCCCTTGAAGCGTTGTACTAATAAAGCAAGCAGTTGCCACCGACTAGGAAAGACATGCGAGCCATCAAACACTATTCGTAAACGGAAAGCTCGTGACGGTTCCCCGCCGCTCCGAAGATTGTCGCCCCCTTCGCGAGGCCTGCTGGAGGAAAAGTTGGACGACCTTGTAACACTTCTCCGATCTCAAGCTACGACTGGTCGTGAAGCACAGGAGTACAAATCGTCCCCGTCGTCCCTTGCTACATCTCCGGAGGCAAGGAAGCCAACGGTTCTCAATCCCGATGTTGTACTGGACACAGTTGAGACCTTTATTGATCTCCTTCGTCCACCCGAATCGCAGTCTGGCTATCAAGATCGTGATTTAGATATGGGGCCATCCTCGCCGATATTCCATGATGTTGAGGTCCATCATGTTCCGGATTTGGAGGCGGAGGATAGGTTGAATATCTTCCGACGGGCATTCCTGCCGACTTTTCCATTTGCCCACCTTCCACCTGCAATCCATTCAGCAGAGTTGCGCCGCCAAAAACCATTCTTATGGCTGGTCATAATGTCATTAACGGACAGAGTGGTGGACCGCCAATTTGCAATGGAAGAGACCATTTGGAAGATCATCTCTTATCGGATCGTAACACAACACCATGCTGACCTGGACTCCCTTCTAGCAATCATATGCTTCTCAAATTGGTGCGTGTAGTTATCATATCAATTGAAGCAAAAAGACTGACCCTGGAAATCGCTAGGTCCCACTATTATAAGCAGGAAAAGCCGTTCATGAATATGTTGACTCAGTTGGCTTTGACTGTCGCATTTGAACTGGACCTGAACAAAGAGAGCCACTCATCATCTCAACAAGGCCCAAGGTATGGCCGGACCTCAAGCCGGTCTAATACTCAAACAGATACTCGTACTCTGGAGGAGAGACGAGCATATGTCTCCTTGGTAAAGCTCACATCAACGTATGGTACACCCAATCATGAGTTCCTAAACATCCTAAACATCCTGCTCAAGCATGAAAGTCTCAGTTAACATGGTAATTTCAGGACCTGGGAAGCATATAGAAAATTCCGACCGCTTGGTTGGACTCCATACCTCGGGAAGTGTTTACGTATCCTCGCAGAGATGAAGGAAACGAAACTTGATGCTTCTTTGGCCGCTCAAGTAAACTGCCAGCTTTTCATTAACCCGATTTTGTACCCTTCGTCGGAAGAGACAGGGGAGGAAATTAGGGGCCAGCCCATAACAAGATCGTTGTTCGCCGCCTCCATTCGGAATATTCAGGACATCAAGCGGGACTTGCTACCAGAGTTACTGTCAAGTTGTAGGTTCTGTTCCTCTAATTTCATCTTCATGCGTTGAAGCTGACATTTCGTTATCTAGGCCCATTGCGGCTCTACTTTAACATTGCGGAATTGAAACTGAGAGACCGATTCTTAAACACTACAAGGGAATCAAGAGACTCTCAAGGTCAACTTCAGAGAATACAAGACCTGGAGGCTACAATGGAGTGTGTAGAGAGATGTCTGAGCGTAATACACGAGATGCCTCTCGAGGACTGGGTCGGTGTCACAGTGGATAAGTTCTCGGAATTCATGCACTGCTTGATTGCTCTTTTCAAGCTCACAACACTCAACGAGCCACTTTGGGACACTGAAGAGGTAAGGAAGAGAGCGGACGTTCTCCAACTTATGGACAAGTACTGTGAGACCATGGCCCGTGTCGCCGTCGAAACACGGATGGTGGACGCTGAACCGCCACGAACAGGACTGTTCTTCAAGGGACCTAGCTTACTTCGGGCGATCAGGGCCTTGATGGCTGCTGAGATGGCAAACAAAGGAAGCTCTTCGGCGACTGAGAAGGCCCCGGCGGGGGATCATGCCATGGAAATCATGACAGACGTCCCATTTGATGTGGACTCTCAGGAAAATTTTCTGTTAAATTTGGATACTGAGCCCTGGTTGTCTGATCTTTTTATTGATTCTTGGGCTCTTGATTTGGACGGTACCGCTACTTTCATATAAGGCACAGACGAGGTATGTCTGGTCGTATCTTTCAAACAGGATCGTGCATTCAACATCAAGTTTGGGCCTCAATCAACACTTTCGCCTCTCCATTACCCCTTTTCAAAGCTTATATAACCCTCATGAACATGTTATAAACATGGTATGCACTTTAAATCAGTTGATATCAACGGACTGTGCTAGAAGCTCCTTTAAAATGTCAATATTTTTTCATTTAATGGCCCAATCAATACATGCTAACTCCCTATCCATCATCATAATCCCAACCAATGCATTACAACCGAGGCTACAATTTAAACTACACCTGACCATTCATTTCATTCCGAGTCATCAATCATTTTTGCAGCATTATACAGCAATAGGCGCCTTATTTCCCTCCTTGTTCAACTTGCAGCAGTTGACAGCAGTGCAGAAAACCTCATCATTCTCGGTAGCCTTAGCCTCACCGGGCAGCTTCTGCCTCGCTGGCCAGATCTCCACGCCAGCCGCCTGCTCCCGCGAGCGGTGGTCGTTGGCAAGCTCGCGGATCTTCTCCTGGAACTTGAACAGGCCGTCGTCCAGGGTGTGGTGCAGCTCGCCGTGGGCGAAGACACCCGAGTTGAGCTG